TTTTGTTGTTGTTTTGGTGAGACTGAGATTTGAATTTAGGGCTTCAAACTTGCAAAGCAGGCTCACTGCTTGAGCCATGTCTCCAGTCCATTTTGCTCTGGTTATTTTGGAGATAGAATATTCGCTCAGACTGGCCTCGAACCATCATCCTCCTGATTTCAGCCTCCCAAGTAGCTGGATTACAGGTGTACCCACCTTCAGTGTATACTCTTGTTTCTGATTTCTTTTGCTTACAATAATGACTTTGCAATACATCCCTCTTGTTGCTTGGATCAGGAATTCATTGGGTATACCACAATTTTCCATCCTACTGTTGTGGGATTTTGTAGGCATTTTTTAAATTGTCTCTGGCTGATAAGAGGGGATTGGATTATAGAGTCTCTTGCTCCGATATTTAATAAAGAAATATTGGTTGTCTTGCTTACAAGGGGGAAACCACTTTGAAGTGAAGACTATAGAAAGGACAGGGCCAAAGAACTATGAAATAACTGCCAGCATCTCAGGAATATCTCCGCCTGTAAGGAAGCAGATGGAAGATGGGTGTGTTGCCCCCATTCTCCCAACCAGATGGGAAAGTTCAGTGGTTCTTAGAGTTACATGCCTTGAGGACCATAGAATTATTGACAAGTGTCTCATGTAGGGTGTGGCAGATCTTTTCAGGTGCCTTATCTATAAGATTCCACTCTTTCTCCCTTAAGAATTGGCCACATCTTGTGTGGTGTGATGTTGCAAAATGTGGAATGGTAGGGTTCTGTCTAGACCATGTTCTGGAGTTCTAGATCTATCTGGCATGAGAACTAAGGCATTTTAATAAGAATTTCCAGTTTTTAATTATATAATTTTTAACTTATTTTTGTCTTAGGGTTTTATTTCAAAATACAGAACATTAAAAGGTTTTCTTATGGTTTCAGTCTTTAACTTCTGTCAGAAACTCAGGTTTGGGGATATAGTTCAAGTGCTAGAAGCTTCCCTAATAAGCACAAAGGCTCTGAGTTCAAGCCCAGGATTACTTCCCCCCCCAAAAAAAAAAACAACCCTCAAACTTGCTGTGTCATTTGAATTGATAGGATGAGCTTATCAAGTGGTGGCATTTACTTCGTAAGATTTTTTTTTCCATGTGTTAAGTTATGGAAAGAAAACATTTGTTTTCTGTGTTTAAATTAATAATATTTGCTTTGTATAATAAGACTATTGTGATGAGGTAAAAAAATTTTAAGTTGGAGGAATGGATGTAGTAGTATTTTAGCTCCAGAATTTTGTTTCTGTATTTGGTTTTGATCTGATTTTATCAAGAAAATTCATTCTCATAAATTGTTGCGCTAACATTTTTTAAAAATAGTTCACATTATCATATTGGTACTCTTCTTTCATTTCAACTGATTCAAAATCTAAAGAGAATTAGTATGACATTTTGTTTGTATGACATATTTAACAACTGGTCACACTTGCTTTTCATAAATCTAAAAATCAGGCAAGAAGAATCCAAAATGTAATATAATCATGGGTTATTTGTTACACATTTTGTTCACCCTTACGTCATGAGGAGGTCATGCTTCAGCAGATGTGCTTAGCCTTAATCAGAAATCACTTCAGTGTGGCATAGTCAGTATATAGTCTGTAGTTCAGTATTTACTGTTCTTGCTACATACAAGCGGATCATAATTATTTAAAAATGCCCAGTACAGAGCTAAATCTTCCCTAAGCAGGTTTATCAGAAACTTAAATATGCCCAAAGGTGATGGGGAAAGCTTTATTCCAAGGACTGCACAGAAAATGAATTATTTGGCAGCACAAGTTAAATTTTAACTGGCAGTTTCTTCATTTCCCTCACCAGAGTCTTCACTTTTCACTTTTCTTTCCTTCTAGTGTTCCCAGTTTTAGAGGTAAAGTCTAGAGTTTTGTTTTATCCCTGCAATGAGGATAAAACAAAATACCATTTTTTTTCAAGGATTCCCCCCATCTTTCTAAGTGAGAAGTTATTTTTGAGATTACTTGGGAGTTGGGAGGAGACCATGCACACTGAGACTCATGGGTGAGTGAAGGTGATGGCTCACCTTGGACTCATCTTTACAGATATTCCCATATGACTCTTGGCAAACTCTTGGAGACAGGAGGCCACTGAGGAAATGGTATGATGCAGGAACAAGTCTGAAGGTCTGCTGGGATATATTGACCTCTGATTTGAGGTTTATCTGTGAGCAGAGGGTGTTTTTTTTGTTTTGTTTTGTTTTTTAACTTCTCTCTACATCAAGGAAGGAGAAATGAGGCTTACTGATTTTTAAGAATGTGTTCTTAACCGGGTGCTGGTGGATCAAGGCCTGTAAATCCTAGCTAGGCCTGGGCAAAAGTTCATGAGACTCCCATCTAAACCACTAGGTATAGTAGTGTGTGCCCGTCATCCCAAGCTACACAGGGAACTGATATTGGGAGGGAGGTTCACAGTTCAGGCCAATCTGGGCAAAAAGTGAGATCCCCTCTCCAAAATAACCAGAGCATAAAGGGCTAGTGAGCATGGCTCAAGCATCTGCCTAATAAGTGTGAATCCATGAGCTCAAACCCCAATACCGTAAATAATAAATTTTAAAAATGTGTTTTTTATATAACTACCCAAGCTTTTCTCAAGTTGTCTAAAACTAATTGCAAACCAAAGAAGAAACAAGACCTTACTCTTTGCTTTTATTAACTTTAAGAAGATAGTGATTAGATTCTAGGCCTCTCCAGCAATATTTATGTTCAAAATTATGACAGGTAATTCATGATTATGAATAGTTAATGGCTTGATTTAGTTAATGGCTTGATTTAGGATACTTACAAATGCTGTAGGTTTTTAGAATTTTGTGGGGGGGGGGGAGGTGTGGCACTGGGGTTTGAACTCAGGGCTTCATGCTTGCTAGGCAGGCACTTTTAATGCTTGAGCCACTCCACCAGCCCAGGGTTTTTAGAATTTTTAAAAGCTTAGTTAGATTACACAATACAACAATTATAGGGAAAATGTTCTCTTGATCCAGGCTTTATGTAGCTGTCTTTATATAATGAGTTTCCCACTGGAATCAAGTGAACTAATCTGTGAGATGAACTAACTCAATTCTTTCTTTTATTTATTTAATTCCTTCCCTAATTGAGGGGGGCGGGTGGAAGCTAAAAGCAGAGTGACTTTTATTGTCACCTTTGATTAAATACCAACCAAAATTTTTTTTTCGTGGTATTGGGGTTTGAACTCAGGGCTTCACACTTGCTAGGAAGGCACTCTTACCACTTGAACCACTCCATCAACCCTTTTTTGTGTTTGGTATTTTCAGGATAGGGTCTTGCTATTTGCCCGGGCTGCTCTCTGATCAGTGCCACCCAAATAGCTAGGATTATAAGAGTGAGCCACTGGCACCTGGCAAATGCAAAATAAATATTTTTAAGTTAACATTTTATTTTCATTAATTTTAAAACTCTTTTTGCTCTGTTGTTTAGGTTTGTTTGTTTTTTCTTACTAGGTAGCCCAAGCTGGTCTACAACTGATCCTCTTGCCTCTGCCTCCTGAGTGCTGGGATTACAGAGCTGCACCACCACACCCAGCTTCATTTAAGACATTTTATTACATCAATAAATATGTAGTGTGTTTTTCTGCCTTTGGCTAGGTAAATAATCTCCATTAGTGGTAGAGATGTTTGGCAATCAGGGAGCACTTCTCATCTTGTGTCATGGATCAGCTCTGCAGGGAGTAACTTACCTCAGCACCCTGGACCTGTTTTCTAATCTTATCAGTGAGTTGACATGATGCTGCCCAGTAAGGGAGCCTTCGAAATGCAGCTAGTTCAAATTAAGATATACTGTACATGTGCAATACGCACCAGATTTTAAAGACAGTAAAAAACATAATAACGTAAAATCGCATTGCTGGTTTGTTTCCATTGATTACATTGTTGGGGTGATAGTATTTTGGATTTATTGGTTAGATAATTTATTAAAATTAATTTCATCCATTTCTTTGTTTTTAATGTGACTGTTAGAAAACTTAAAATTCTCTGTGTGTGTCCTATTACATTTTTGTTGAATAGCATTTCCTAAACTGATTAATGAAACATTTATGTATTCAGTAAAAGAGAGTTTGGAAAGGGAGCACTGTTGAAGAGAACACCACAGTAATTCCTATCCACTGGTGATTATTAAGTACATGAAATATGAAAAATTGCAGTGTGGAAAAAAGGAACTGAATTTTAAACTTTATTTAATTTTAATCAATTTAACTTTAATATAAATAGCTACATAAGGCTAGTAGCTAATGTATTGGGGCAGTGTGGATCTAGAGGATTTGGGGGATTATTTTATTTAAAGACTTGTATAAGCAGGACTTGCTTATATTGCAGACTTGTCAAGTAGTATAAGTGTACAGTTTGTTTATTATAAGTAGTAGTGAAAGATCAATAATAATATATCATTTATAGCAGGCACTGTATATATAACAGACAGGATTTGTATGATAAATTACTTAATGAGCCTTTAACTATATCACTCATGTTTTGAAATAGACTTAATGTGATGTGAATTCCAGGACACTGTGTGGGCTTGATGTGTGTTTTCCTTTTTTTAATGTGAGCCCTTCTGTGAAAACTAGGCTCCTTTTGCAAAGTCTGAACAATGTGCAATCTTGTTAAAGGATTTTCTCTTGAAAGGGAAACCTGTGCTTTTTAACAGATGACAATGATAATGAAATTTTTTTGAAAACTTTTAAAGTTATCCTTTGGGCTCTAAAAGGGGTGGGATATATGCATATACAAGTTGAGCATTCCTAACCTGAAAATTCTAAAGATCTCCAAAATTTGAAACATTTTTTGGAATCAAGCATTTTGGATAAGGGATACTCAGCCTCTATACACCTAGATTTATAAGTACCATTGTTAGGTAACATTTATTTCCTTTGTATGGACACACATACATTTATAAGTGCTAGTGTTGTGTAGTGTACATTAGTAAATAAATTTACTAATTTATTTATTACTGCTTTACAGTGAAGAACTGTCACCATGTCTGGAATCAAGCGAACAATCAAAGAAACTGACCCTGATTACGAGGATGTATCTGTGGCCCTTCCAAACAAGCGCCATAAAGCAATTGAGAATTCAGGTAGAAATTGACACATCTTAAGAAATTATTTCTTTTTTGTTGGTCTGGGGTTTGAGCTCAAGGCTTCATGCTTGCTAGGCAGGTGTTCTACCATTTGAGCCCCTCTACCAGCCCAAGAAATTATTTCTTTGTTGACATTTGACTCCGTTGTTAAGACCTTCTGGAAATGAAATGAAATGAATTTCTATTGTTGTGTATAATTCAAAGGGGTTTGTGAGAAGGATTAGCCAAGTACCCTGTAATGCATCATGTGCAGAAGTTCTGGCAGGAGCATGAGCAAGTAGACTGTGGCAAGGATGAAACAGACTAAGTTTTAGCTATTGTTGTATGTATTACTTATAATCATAAGGTCTTAGGATGTATATACTATAGTGTGGTATAACCACGTAAGATCTTTTTTTTTTCATTCGTAAGGGGGTATATAGATGAAGGCTTTTTAGTTTTAATAGATAATATTTTAATGTATATAGAAACAAGAGTGTGCTTACTGCTTATTAGACTTGTTTTATGGCTACTAGTTAAAAATATTTGTGTTAATTAAATGTTTTACATGTGTGTTAGCCTGATTTCCATCAGTGTGACAAAATACCTGAAATCAATAAAGGGAAAGTTTTATTGTGGCTTATGGTTTCAATCCAGAGTTGTCTGGCTCCATTACATTGGACCTGAGGTGGGACAGAATATCATGGTGGCGTCTCATGTGACAGAGGAGGCTGCTCACTTTTTGGCAGCAAGGAATGAAAGAGAGAGAGAGATAGACGGGGTCTAGGGACAAAATAAACTTTTCAGAGGCACACTCCCAGCGGTCACCCAGTGACCTACTTCCTCCAAGTAGACCCTGCCTCCTAGAGTTTCCACTGCCACTTCCCAGTGGTATTACCAGCTGGGGGCCAAACTTTTATGTTTGTTTTGTTTTGTTTCGTTTTTGTTAGTATTGGGGGTTGAACTCAGGGCTCAGGGACTTCTGCTTGCTAGGCAGTCAGTGAAACAATTTGCCTCATTACCCCACCCTGGGACAAAGTAGCACATGGTGGTGTGGCGGGGAGCACATTTAAGATCCAAACCAAATTTATTGGACAGTAAATTTAATGCCTGTAAATTGTTATGTGTATTTAAGAACATTCTTTTATATAACCACAGTACAATTATCAAAAGCAGGAAAATGTAACATTGTTACATTATATAATCTGTGGTCCTTATTCAAGTTTTTATCAGTTGTCCCAGTTGTATTTTAGAACTGTTTATCCCTCTTCAGGGTTCAATTAGGGCACACTGGGGGATTTTAGTTGTCCTATCTCTTTAGTCTCTTAAGTCTCAACTGTTTTTTGGTCTTATTTGACTTTAATGTTTGAAAGGTACAGACCAGTTATTTTTGTAGAATGTCCTTCAGTTTGGTTTTACGAAATTTGGCATTTTTTGTAGGAATGTAGTAGTCGTCTTAGTGCATCATATCAAAAAGCACATGAAATCAGTTTGGTCCAATATTGGTGACTTTAATTTTCCATCTTTCGGTTAAGGTGATGTCCGCTAGGTTCTCTACTTCACAGTTCCTGTTTCTTGGATTTCTTTTGCTGCTTGCTGACTTAAATCAAGACAGCCACTGAATTGGTCTTGGGTGTATTCTGTGTTCTTTATGTAGCTCGAGACGCAGCTGTACAGAAGATTGAGACTATTATCAAAGAACAGTTTGCTCTTGAAATGAAGAATAAGGAACATGAAATTGAAGTCATTGACCAGGTATAATGGTATTAAGTTGGAAAAAAAAAGCCACCAAATCTATGGGGAAACGGTCTATATATGATGAATTTAAAAAAAAAAAAGTCTGTTGAGAGTTATAGTTTGCTGTTGCTGTTCTTTGGTTTGGGGAAAAAAACACTTTTTTTCTTTTTTTATGAGACAGGATCTCTCTGTGTAGTCCAGGGTGACTCAAACTCCTAATCCTTCTTTCTCAGCATGAGCTGCCACACCCAGCAAAAATACTGTTTTTTGTTTTAATGAAATTGGAGAAAAGATTTAAAAAGAAAAAAATGACCTGAAATTCTGTCCCCAGAGATTCATCCTTCTTTGATATTGTTCTCAGTATCTTTGTGGAGATTTCTCAATGAAGATAGTCGTACATATTATTAATATATCTGTATACCTTGGATCACTCTTACCATTCTTTAAATCTTTGCCAAACTTACGTAAGAAATGTCATTTTTGTTTTCTTTGATTATTAGAGAAGTTGAGCTCTTTTGTTACTTGTGTTTCTTACTTTATGAATTACACATCTTTTATATTTGCCTTATTTTAAAGTAATGTGTTGTGGGGGTGTGGCTCAAGTGGTGGAGCGTCTGCCTAGCAAGCGCAAAGCCCTGAGTTTAAATCCCAGTATGGAGGGGGAAAAGTAATGTGTGTTAACACTTGTTTTTAGCGACTCATTGAAGCAAGAAGGATGATGGATAAACTTCGTGCCTGCATTGTAGCAAACTACTATGCTTCTGCAGGTCTCCTGAAAGTTTCTGAGGTAAGTATTCCTCATTCAGTCACTTCCCAGCCATCTTTATTGTCTGAGAGGAAATTATGTCAATGTGGAATCCTGCTCTTGACCTTTAGAATCCCATAAGTTTAGCCTACCTTTCTATATTGACCTTTAGAATCCCGTAAGTTTAGCCTACCTTTCTGGGAAGATAAATTTTTCAGGCCCAACCATAGTCCTTAAGTCATTCCTTTCTACATTGTCAATGATCCTGAGTGATGTTTTTTCCTATTTACTTTATCCTTTTCCTACTAATTGTTAGCACTATGATAGGCTCTGCAGGTGCAAAGATGAGTGAAACCTCATTGCAACTTGCCTAAGTTACTCCTCTTACCTTATTCAACATGTCCTGCTTGTCCCCCCAACTTTTTATGACCTGTTTCAGATACATAGGAAAGGAGAATAAGCACCTGTTTGTGCACCGTGTAAATTCAACAATTTTAGCATTTTGCCATAGTTGCTTTTTCTCTAAAACATTGGGAGGTAAGTTTCAGACATTTTAACATTTCTACTCTAAATACTGAAGTGTGTAATACTTAAAAGATAATTCTTCTTTGTAATCATAATCCCCAAATAAAGTTAATGAGTCCCTAATATCTGATAACCAGTTCAAATTCAAGTTTTCCCAGTTGTCCCCAAAATGTTTTTTTGAGGCAGAAGTTCCATATGCAGTCAAAGCTGGCCTGCAACTCATGATCCTATGTCAGCCTCCCAAATGCTAAGATTACAGGCCTGTGTGTGTGCCACTGTGCTCAGCTTTCCAGACTCTTCTAAACTGGCTCTTTTTCTAGACAAGGGTACATTTAGTTACTTCTAGAACAGTCCTCATATTTATACCTTTTTTTCTTCCACAGTGATTTAAATTTATCTCTCTTTTACCCCCTTTTGGAACTGGTGATTTCACCTGGGGCTTCAAGAATGCTAGGCAAGTGCTCTACCATTTGAGCTATATTACCAGTGAATAATTGAGCTTTTTTTTTTTTTTTTTTTGGGCAGTACTGGAGTTTTGAACGTAAGACCTATACCTTGAGCCACTCCACCAGCCCTTTTTTTAGGATGGGTCTTTTCGAGATAGGGTGTGGAGAACTATTTGTCCAGGATGGCTTCAAACCATGATTCTCCTCATCTCTGCCTCCTAAGTAGGTAGGATTATAGGCATGAGCCACCAAGCACTTGGCAATAACTGAGTTTTTTTGAGACCAGACCAGGGGATGGCAGAGTGGCTCAAGCAGTAAGAGTGCCTGTCTAGCAAGTGTATGGCCCTGAATTCAAACACCAGTGCCACAAAAAAAAAAAAAAGAAAAAAAAAAAACCCAAAAAACAGAGACCAGACCATTTATTTCATAGGCTGTCCCATGTTTTAGAACTTTTTCCCTTATGCTATTCCTTTATCCCTTCCATTTTCTTTTTGGCTGCACTGGGGTTTGAACTCAGGGCCTCACTCTTGCTAGGCAGGCACTCTCCCACCTTAGCCACTCCTCCAGTCCTTTTTTGTGTTGGGTATTTTTGAGATATGGTCTTGTGAACTATTTGCTCAGGCTGACCTTGAACCACGATCCTCTTGATTGCTGCCTCCCAAGTAGCTAGAATTACAGGCATGAGCCACTGGTGCCCAGCCCTTTTTTTCTTTTCTTTTTTTTTCCCTGAGGTGGTACTGGGGTTTGAACTCACTAAGGACCTCGCTCTTACTAGGCAGGTGCTTTACCACTTGAGCTACTCCACCAGCCCATCTATTTTCTTATAAGTAGAAGTCATCTCTGAGGGCTTGTAACTTAGGTTAAATATTTTGGCAAGGATACTTCATAGGTGATTCTGTATTCTTCATGTTGCATCACATCAGGAAACCCATAATATCAGGTTGCCCTGCTAAATTTGTTCACTTGGTTAACATGATTATCACTGGATCATTTAAATTTTAAAGGAACACCTTTTCCTAATTATGTTTTTGGAAAGTAAGTATCTAGCTCCATTTTTCTTTTTTTGATGCCGGGGATCATACGTGTTAAATGTATGCTCTACCACTGAACTACATCTCCAGATATCTAGCTGATTTATTCTAGTAATCTGTCTAAAGTCAGGCGTAGTAGATTGGACTGAACTGAAATAGAACTATTTATTCTTATTTGGTGGTTTGATAATTTTAGCATAACTTCTGTTCCTTTAAATTTCCTTTTTCGTATACTTTGTCAATTGAGTTAGTCTCAAGTAATTATCCTCTTGGACATTACTGACTCCATAAGGGAAGGGCAAAGCAAGCACTCTACCACTTGAGGCACATCTCCAGTCTATTGTGCTCTAGTTATTTTAGAGATGGGGTTCTCAAAAGTATTTTCCTGAGCTGGCCTCCTACAATGATTCTCCTGATCTTAGCTTCTCAAATAGCTAGAATTATAGGTGTGAACCACCAGCACTCGGCAGTATTAATGATTTTTAAAGTATTTAATACTACATTTTATTCCTATGTGGGTGCCATTTTTAATACTCTGTACTTTTTTCCTTTTTACTTTTGTTACAGTGATACTTTATTTAGAGCAGTTGATATGTGTGTGTGTGTGTATATATATATATATGTAAAGTGGTATGATACATTTCTTAAAGTTAAATCTTACTTTCTTTATGTTACTATAAATTTTTCTCATTTTCAGATTCTTGTAGCTTCTTGTTTTGCTTTTTGAACATGGTCTCACTACATAGCCCATGCTGGCCTCAAACTCATAATCCTCTTGCTTTAGCCTCTCATGTACTGGGATTATAGATGTGCCCCACCATACCTGGCTCCTTCAACTTTTAGAGTTACAACTTTTGCATAAGTATTTGTCACTCTAGTTATTTGTTTTGTTGATATGGCCTCTATTTTAAGGACTTTATTTTATGAATACAGAGGATTTTAAAACATTGATCTTTTCGTAGCTAAGGTTTTTTGTGAGATCAGATTTTCGCTTACTTTTGGTAGATTGTATTAAAAGTCTGCTTGCTTTCATTTTTTTCCTAGGGATCAAAGACATGTGATACAATGGTTTTTAATCATCCTGCTATCAAGAAATTTTTGGAATCACCATCTAGGTCATCATCTCCTACCAATCAGAGATCAGAAACACCATCTGCTAATCATTCAGAAAGTGATTCTTTGTCTCAACACAATGACTTCCTGTCTGACAAAGACAATAACAGCAATATGGATTTGGAGGAAAGACTCTCAAACAACGTGGAGCACAGAACAAGCCAAAACACTGGCAGGGTACAGAGTCTCATGGAGGGAAGGGAGCCAAAGAAGGGAGCGAGGATTTATTTAATAAGTTTGCACATATTTCTCATTCACCTTTTCAGGAGCACCGGGAAATAGCCTGTATTCCTTTTAGAGTGGAGAAACTGAGTCTTGTTGAAGCTAAAGTTACATTTGCTCGAAAGTATTAGAACTGAGAATTAAGCCTGTGTCTTTCTAACTTTAGAGCTGAGTGCTCCAGTATAGCATAACTCCTGGATGTTGTCCATGTAGATATGAAAAAAACCTTTGGAATTGATGATTCAGTGACCTGTTGAAGGTCTTTCTACTCTGCCATGTTTGTCCCCTCAGGTGGCTCTTACTGTGAGACTTGATGTTCTACGGTGCAGTAGTAACTGGAGAACATGGGACGAATAATAAATAGATTGAAAACGGTATTAATCTTTGATCCTGCCAGCTTGTTATTTGAGTTCCCAGCTCATGCTACTCTCAACTTGTATAATAGTCAAATTAGAGCTGTATTGGATTAGACCAGTGGTTTTTCTCAGTGACATTTGGTGATAAGAAATTTCCAGGTTATTTTTCATGTACTCAGACATCAAATATTTGACTTTTTAAAAATTAATTTAAAATTTAAGTTTAATTTTATTAAATTTTTAAATTAAATTTTATTAAAAATTTTGGGGGGCTGGAGGCATGGCTCAAGTGGTAAAGCACTGCTTTATGAGCATGAAGCCCTGTGTTCAAACCCCAGTATCACCACAAAAAAAATAAATATTTATTTTTCTAACTATAAATTCATGTGTTCATTGGTAAAAATCACAAAATACAGAAAAAAAAAAAAAAAAAAAAAACTTTCCTAAAGTCATTCATAATGCTGCTACCCCAAAATCGGAAATCTTAATGTTCAAATTTCCTTGTATCTTTCCAGTATTATTTCTGAGCAAATACTGCCAATTTTTCTTTTAAGAAAAAGCATTTAGGTCATACTAGCCATAGGATTTATAAATTTAGATTTTTTATATAATATGTGGTCATTTATGTGTGTATTTATATAACAAGCATTTAGTGTTTACTGTGTAGCAGGCACTTTTCTAAAGAACTTACAAAAAAATAAAGTAGGTGCTGTTAACATCCTTGAGAAAATTACAGCAGAGAAAGCAATTACCCAAAATTATGCATTAGTACATAGAAGGACCAGAATTTGAATCAACAGTCTGTCACTGAAATCTGACTTTAACCATTGTATTTGTATTACTTCTCACTGAGAAATTTTGATTCGTACAGAAATTTGAAAAGAAACTAAATTTGATCCCTTTCTTCATTTTCATTCCCATTTTCATGAGACAACCATTGTAATTGTTTATGTACCCTTTCACATTTTACTTGTGTATGTAAAGTAGATACAAATGAGAATATTGAAAACATGGATTTATGCTATACAAACTTTTTATGTAAATTAGTACAATATTAACAATAAATTAGTTTTTCATGCTTTGAGAATTTTGTAATTTAAAACATTTAAAACCAGAATTTTATAATTTAAAACATTTTTGAGTTATTCCATTTGTAGCTTTTATGATTGTATAATTTCTTAGTGAAAATTGTTTAAAATGAAAATGAATATTGATTATGATTCTTTCAGGACACTTCTAGTGTTACTGGCTCCCATAAAATGGAACAGCGGAATGCTGATCTCATAGGAGATGAGACTTCACGGCTTTTTGTAAAGAAAACAATAGTCGTGGGCAATGTGTCCAAGTGAGTATCAGTTGAGTTGTCTCATTGAATGCCAAAGTATTCAATGCCAAAGTAGTAAACAAAAGTCCAGTGACTTTGTTAATGTAACCTTGCTCATTAGTAAAATAAGTCAGAATTTGAATTTTTTTTATTTAGGTATTGCTTCCTCTGTACTGTGCCTTCTGGCTTGTGCCATATCCACAAATACCACAGTATTTAGATATTTGAAAGCCAATGAGAATGGTCAGTTCTCACGCACTGCCTTCAACTCTAGCTCTTAAATCTGTATTTTTTTTTTTTTTCTCCACACTTGCCATTTGTGACTGGCACTACCAAAGCTGAAACCAGTTCTTCCTGGGATCCCACTTGTTATTCTTTGCTTTCTCTTTGAAAATGGAAGGATTTAAGTGATAGGTTTCTTCAACTTTTTTTTCTTCTCAAAAATGATTTTGAATCCTTTAGTGTGATGCTATAAGGCAAACCATAGAGGTTTGAATCTTAACAGTCATTGGGATAGGAGAACAAAGTAGATAAGATCTCATTTCCAGTTGTCCATATACATGAATACTTTGGCAAAAGTATTCTTTATTACCTAGTATTATGGTAGGAAGAGTCCCAATCCCAAACTCTTCAAAGAGTTTTTGTTTAGAAAGTAAACAGGTCCAGAGACTTAAGTACTTGGTAAAAATTTCTAAGATAGGATCTTTTATACAAATGTAAAAGATTGAGAGTGGGTCTTGAAAGTCAGTGTTTTTCTAAGCTAAAGAACTAGTTCTTTAACAGTATGATCTCCTATCTTGTGGGAGTGTCATCACTTTTGCAAGTGTCTGCAGATAGTATAAATCTCATAGCAGGTGCCTAGAGTGGTGGTTCAACTAGGAGGATCATGGTGTGTGTATGTGGTGCAGGAGGTTCTGCAAGACCCTGTCTCAAAAAAGAAGCTGGGGCCTGGGGATGTGGCTCAAGTGGTACAGCAACATTGGAGACCCTGAGTTAGTTCAAACCCTACTACGACCATCAAGAAAAAAAAAATCCGATAGCATGGGAATATTATGCTGTGTTAATATTTAGTCCACATATAGATGCATGAAAGGGCTTCAGTTAAGGTTGATGGGAAAAGGAATTGATCATAGAGGTCAGAGTTTTAAAGGTTTTTTTTTTTTTGGGGGGGGTACTGGGGTTTGAACTCAGGGCCTACACCTTGAGCTACTCCATTAGCACTTTTTTGTGAAGGGTTTTTTTAGAGATAGGGTTGAGAACTACTTGCCTGGACTGGCTTGGAATTGTGATCCTCCAGATCTTTGCCTCCTGAGTAGCTAGGATTACAGGTGTGAGCCATTGGTACTCGACCTAACCATGGATCTTAAGTACAGAGGGAATGGTTGGCATGAGAGAGGACTAAAATAAGTGTCTTGTTCTGGAAAAGATTAAAAGTATTGGTTAATTTTAGATTGTGTTAAGAATGTTAAAATGTTTAAGATAACCTCTAGAAGTAGAGACGTAGAAATTTAAACTTTCAAACTAGTTACAGGAAAAATAGAGTGAAGAAAGGGAAACAATCTTGATTTCAGAAGAAGATAGGTGAGGGCAGAGGAGGGATGCGGAGAAGAGAATAAAGCAAATAATTTATTAAAAAATGTTTTGCTTTAGTTATTTTTCAGGTAGGGTCTCAAGTTTTTGAGTAGGGCCAGCCTGGACCTCAGTCCTTCTTAGGCCTCCCAAATAACTGGGATGGCAGCTTCGTGCCACCATGGTAGGATTTTTGTTGAGATAGGGGCCTCAGTAACCTCTTGCCCGCTCTGGCCTTGAACCTCAGTCTTCCCTGATCTCCACTATAGGTATGCATCACCATGCCCAGCCAACAATAAATCTTAATATATCAGCATTCTCGAAAATGTCTAGCTAAAAGATAGAAATTGTTAGATTGAGATGAAACTTCCTGAAATTCAGCTCTCTGTTGTTTACAACTGTAGTTTCAGCAACTTTAGAGGCTTATTCAGGAACATGACTTGGGTCCAGGAATTCAGAGTCAGCCTGGGCAACATAGCGAGACTGTCTCAAAATAAATAAATACAGGAAGAATGAAAATAAGCAAAAAGAAAAAGAATCCTCGAGGGGGTCTTAGCTTGCTTAAGAATATAAGAGATATTTACAAAAATGAGCTACACAGTAAGTCATAAAACAAACTCAACAAATATTAAAAGTCTTTAGTCATATAGTCTTTTTTCTGATCACATTGCAGTAAAGTTAGAATTAATGGCAAAAGGATAACTTGAAAACCATGAGTCAGGTACAGCAGTGCAGACATGTAGTCCCAGCACCCAGGAAGCAGAGGCAGGAGGATTATGGATTTGGGCTACATAGTGAGTCCCAGGACACTTGAGCTACATAGGAAAACCTTGTCTCAAAAAAACAAAACAAAAAAGGAATGAAGAATCATATTAAAATATTCAGACAAAATATAATTTACACTTATAGGATAACTCTAAAGGGAAATTTATAATTCTTCATGACTGCAATAGAAGAAAAATTTTAACTTCATTTAAGCATCTCACTTAACCAGACAAAATAATGCAACGAGAGAAGCAAAAAAAAAACGGCATATACAAACCTAATTAAATTACTCAAAGTAAAAAGAGAAGGTACAAATAAGTGTAAGAAATGAAAAAGTTGAACTACAGATGTGGCACTGTAAAAGGTAAGCATGTGCTTGGCTTGCATAAGGCCAATCCCCAGCACCACAGAAAAAAAGAGATAAACTATTAACATCTTTATGCCAGTACATTGGATATTCTTTTTTGATTTTTGGTAGTACTAGAGTTTGAACTCATGGCCTCATGCTTGCTAGGCAGGTGCTCTACCACTTGACCCACTCCATCAGCCCAATGCCAGTACATTGAAAATTTAGATGAAGTGGATATTCCCTAGATGAATTCAACTTAATCAAAATGACTCAAGAAGGGTAAAACCTTGAATACTCATAACTACGAAGTAAGTTTAATTAATTGCTTTTTAAACATTCCTACCCCAAAAGCAACCCACCAGACCTTTACAGGCTGAACGAACAGATAATTCCAGAAACACAGAAAATGTGGAGAAAAAGAGACCACACTTTCTACCCTCTAAGGGTAGCTTAGTTATGTTAATAAAACCAGACAGTTCACAAGAAAGGAAAATTGTAGGACATCCACACTCATAAATATGGTTGTAAAAATAATGAAATAATTAGCAAACTGAATTGTGTAACTGAATAGAAATGGTAATGCTTTCTTACCAAGAAATATAAGTTAGAATTCTCTTTAGAAAATTGGCATGTATAATTACTTATTCATATTAGCAGATTAAAGAAGGAAAAACACAATTACCTCAAAAGATGTGGAATCAACATTTAGCAAAACTCAGCATCTGTTTATGATGTTTCCTCTTGGCAAATTAGGAATTTAGTTAGCTCAGATGAAGATTTTTAAAATCTACAACAAGTGGTAAACTATTAGCAGCCTTCCCTTTAGTGTCTCGAGCAAGACAAGAAAGAGATGCCCGTTATTAACTGCTATTATTTAACATTGTACTTAGAGATACTGTCGTTTGAAAATAAAAGCATAGTTTTTTAAAAAATGATACTAACATTCGTTGACATAATTAATAGCTAAATACGATTGCACAGAAAGATCAAATAATTTTTAATAATGTTTTAGCATTAACAAGAGAGCTAAACAAGGTTATGGAATACAGTATCAATACACAGAAGTCAATTATTTCTGTTACAGCTACATATTTAGAAAATAAAAGATACTTTAGCAGTAAAAATACAGTGTACTTAATAAAAGACATACTACTCCTTCATGAAGACTTACAAAACTTTATTGAAGACATGATAAAAGAACTAAATAATTACAGCAGTATGTTGTAATTCAAGTATAAGGAGACTCAGTATATTAAAGATAGTCATTTCTCCTCAAATTGATCTGCAGGTATTGTAATGAAAATCCCAACAAGATTCATGAAATTCAGAATAGTTTTTGGGTTTTTTCTGTTTGTGGGACCGGGGTTTGATTGCAGGACTTCACACTTGCTAGGCAAGTGCTCTGCTGCTTGAGCCATGTGAAGGGGGTGCTGTTTCTCACCCTCCCTCCCTTGCTGGAGCAAGCTTTCTCTCTTGCTCCGTGGTTATTACTGGACCTAACTGGGCTTTACTGAGGGCGACTGCAGATTTTAAAGAAGACACAGGATAGATAGAAAGTTGGGGTCATGTGTGTTGTACGCTCAGCTGGAGATGCACAGCCCTCATTGCTTCTTTTCTGTGTCTTGCTTCTTTAAGGCCTTACTCCTTGCAGTTCTTTAAAACCTTGCTTCAAACCTCTTTCCTTAGGCTGGCACTGTCCCTTGAGTGCTCTCAGCTTATCTTTAGCTTAATTGCTCTTAAAGTCTTTTGGCCCCAGGCTTGCATTGTACTCTCTCTCTTTAGCTCTCTCAAAACCTCAGGTGCTCACTTGCAAACCAGCAGCCATGCCTAAAAACTGCATATGCATAACTCTTAAGGGCTCAGTCTTTAGACTTGCACTGTGCACTGTCCCATGTTCTCTTTGGCTTTTCTTTAGCTTTCCTAAGGTCTATGTATGAAGTTCTTTCTCAACTTTGCTTTCTGAAGCCTATGTTAAAGTCTTGTTACAGATTGTCTGTCAACCCCTTTAACGTTTTCCCTTCAAAAATTTTTCCCTTTAATAATTCTTTTCTCTTCCAAAACCTTCCCACACCAAAAAGCTCAAAGTAAAGACCCCAAAAGCCCCTCTTCCTCCTTCAGGTTCTTTTATAGTAGCAAACAGGGAGAGGCGTAACATTGCAACAGGGGAAACCTGCATTCCTTCTTCTCTGAACACAACTTAGGAGAAACAGCTGTTCTGCCTTTCCCTGTTCTGTGGCTGGGGGCTGTGCCTATGTTGGCCTACAGGTAAAAGCAATTAACTGTATCTCGCCTTGTTAATGTCCAGTTCTCATAGGCTTTAATACGCTCCCTACAGCCATGCCTCCAGGTGTTTTTGCTGTGGCTGTTTTGCTTCTTGCCTGGGCAAGCCTGCACCTCAGCGGTCCTATTTTGTGCTTTCACTTCCCACCTTCGCTGGGATGACAGGCATGTGCCACCCCCATCTATTTTCCCATTGAGATGGGGGTTTCATGAACTTTTTTGCCCCAGCTGGCCTGGGACCATGCTTCTCCTCCCACTTAGCTGTTGACTAAGTTGGAGTCTCTTCAACTATATGCTTGAGCTGGCCTTGAACTACCATCCCATGGATCTCAGCCTCCCAAGTAGCTAGGATTACCAGGTTGAACCAGCAGCACTGAGCTCACAGACTAGTTCTTACATAGAGAGGAATGAAGTGCAAAGACTGGACAAGAACACTCCTGAAGAACCAAGTTAGGCAACTTGGCTCCTGCATTATTAAGGACAGTCATAAGCACAGATGAACATACAGAAGGCTATGTCCATGTTTTTCTTCAGAACCTAAGAAGGAGACCTTGTATATTGAAGTAGAGACAGAAAGGAGAAAGAGGGTTTAGGTGCTAGTTTTATCAAGGTCAGGAGTGAGGATAGCTTGTTTGAGCTTTGAGGGAGCACGAAATGAGGTGTAGCCTTCTTGAGAGCAGCAGTTAGGTGCCAGAAGGACCTAAAGTTCTGGCTCCCTGAAACCTGAAAGAAATCAACCTAAAGACTAGAGGCTCCCCAACTCAGAAATAAAAATATGTCCAGTTAATTTCCATCTCAGCTACTCACTTAACAGGAAAAACAAGTTTGAATTTGTTTTTAAATCTCAGACTGATAACCAGAAAATGAAACTTTAAGAGAATGCCCTTTACACCCCAAAAAAAGTTTTGAAAATTAAAAATAAAATGATTAACTACAAAGAATGTTTATAGTTAGGTGGTGTCACTGTTAAATATTACTAATTTTAATTTACTTTTAAGTAGGAGTTCATTGTTAAGTTTTTGAAGGATAAAAGAATTAAGTTTTTTCTCTCTCTCTCTCTCTGTTTTTTTCTCCTCTAGGTATATACCTCCGGATAAGAGGGAAGAAAATGACCAGTCAACACATAAATGGATGGTGTATGTCCGAGGGTCTCGTAGAGAACCTAGCATTAATCATTTTGTCAAGAAAGTTTGGTTCTTCCTTCATCCTAGCTATAAACCAAATGACCTTGTGGAAGTTAGGTGAGCAAGCTTGAACTATTTAACCTAAGCACAGATTTATGGAAGTATAAGGAAAGCGGTTTAACTTCAAAATATTCCTTGGAAATTCTTGTATTATTAGTATTTTATTCAGTGTTAGCTCTAGTTGCTGTGTAGTTGTAGCTGTGGTTTCCTCTTGCAGATTACTGTCTCACTGCACAGTCAGCATCACCTGTCAGATCATGAATGTGTTGATGGTATAAGCTGATTGCTCCCCTCTGGAAATAGCTAAAGCTTGTTCATACAGATGCATAAGAAAATGCTGCTGTTTTATGTGTAACAAGATTCTGACACCAGAATATTTGATGTTGAAAGTTCCCATGATTTCACCTGCTTAAAAGTAACCTCAATGAATATTCCTGTGTATATTCTGACATAGTATAGTTGGTTGTTGTTTCACAAAAATGGGATTTTATGTATTGTTGTGAAATTAACTTGTATCATTTAGATACATTCTTTATGTCATTATATGATTATATACATATATACCTTTATTGAATGTATTGTGGAAGTGGATAGGGTTTACCAGTGAAATACTCTATCTCATCTGCCTTGTCCAGAACATTCCTTTTCTCCTGACTCTTTAAACATGACTGTCCCCTCAAGAACCCTTTTAAATGACAACTGTGTTTTTTCCTCTCACATACCTTGTACCATTGGGTCTGAAAAGGGGCGAGTGTCTGCCTTGTCATACATGTGGATCCCATACCACCTTTTCCTTCTCCCTAAAAAAACCTCAGATGTGTTGAAGCCCAGTATGGCCTGCTGCTCCTCCTTTGTGGAGGTATTTATTAATTTCTCATATTAGTCTCTTCTTTTTTTTTTTTTATTCATATGAGCATACAATATTTGGGTCATTTCTCCCCCCTTCCCCCTCCTCCTCCCTAAACTCCCCCCCCTCCCGCCCCTTCCCTCTCCCCCCCCGCCCCGCCCCTTCCCTCTCCCCCCATCCTGCCCCTTCCCTCTCCCCCCCATCCCCTTGCTACCCAGCAGAAACTATTTTGCCCTTATCTCTAATTTTTGTTGAAGAGAGAGTATAAGCAATAATAGGAAGGATCAAGGGTTTTTGCTAGTTGAGATAAGGATAGCTATACAGGGAGTTGACTCGCATTGATTTCCTGTGCATGTGTGTTACTTTCTAGGTTAATTCTTCTTGATCTAACCTTTTCTCTAGTCTCTTCTTTGAAAAAGTTTTAACACCCGGTTCACTGATTTTTCTCTCTATTAGTAGTACTCTTGCTGTTGTTCTTTAAGGACTTTGACATGCACTTAGATCATTTGGAACCCCGGTCTCTTGTTTTATTGGTTTCCTCACTTTAGGGAGCAGGTTATTCTTGTGATGTTAAATAGAACCTAAGCTTAGGAGAGTAGTGAATTAGATAAAAGCAATGATGGATAGTGAGAAATTCTGTGAGCAAGAAATAGGAAGTTTCAGTGGGGTCAAAGAATTAGGATTAGAAATGGAAACATAAAGGTAGGGGTGTTCAGCAAATGGAATACTTGGAAATGAGATTTTTATAGGTGATACAGTACATTTATCTTCACTGTACGAAGATAATAGTTGTCCAATTATCAGCTGATATGCTCTTTTTCTATGTCTTATACACACTGAATTACCACAGAAACATGGATCTGATTCTAGACTCTATACTTCCTATAGTAGTATTACAGTATCCTGATTATTTTCCCTAATACAATATTTCAGACAGTAATTCCCCTTATTTCTTTACATTTTTTCTTGACCATTCTTGAGTATACGTTTTTCCAAATTACTTACAATCAAATCAGATTCTAAGTTGCAGATTAGAATTGCATTGAACTTAATGATATCACACTTGTAATGTTACTTAATCTTTCTATCTCCTGCCTACCCAAGAGAATCAGTCAGTAGTAGTCAGTATAATAATTTTCCAATGCAAATGACATTTTTTGCTTGTACTGTTAATAAAATTTCCTTCATTTTCTTAATGCTTCATTGTATAGCACCTCAGGAAAGCATTAATACATATTTTATTTCAATGATGAAATTTAATTGATAAGGGAGCAGTTTCATTTTTAGGCTCTCAGACATTAGTGTTGAAATGACCTGATCTGTGATTTGGTGTAAATTTTTACCTGATGCTTGAGTCCTTTAAGAAGGGCCCTGTACAGCTGGGTGGCTCACTGTGTAATCCTAGCTACTCCGGAGGCAGACCTCAGGAGGATCGCGGTTTGAAGCCAGCCCAAGCAAATAGTTCGCAAGACCCTATGTCGAAAAAACCCATCACAAAAAAGGGCTGGTGGAGTGGCTTAAGGTGTAGGTCCTAAGTTCAAGCCCCAGTAAAAATGCCCTTTATAACTAACTTAGCATCTTCACTGTCTTGCAAAACCTCTGGTGACCTAGATGTGTTTTCTTCATCTGGAATACCATTTATCCTCCTATTAATCTGTCTTCTTCATACACACGTGGACATGCACATGCAGCATAGCCATCTTTGTGAAGATCTGCTGTTTACGCTGCAAAATGGCACTCAGAATTTACTTCCTCAGTAAATCCTTCCTTGCCCTACTTTCTTCCACAGGTTAAATTGTAGAAAAATGATTGTTTACTTGAGGATTTAGGATGTTAATGTTTCATAGTTTAACAGTAGCTTATAGAATAACAGTATTTTCTGAATGTAGATATCCTAGCTCCAGGTGATCACAGTATTTTAGTGAGTTTAATTAAGAAATAGAAGAGTTTTATTTTTTTTTTTTCTTGACAGTACGGGGGCATTGAACTCAGGGCCTCACACTTAACTAGGTAGACACTCTACTGCTTGAGCCATTCTACTAACCCAGAAATAGAAAAGTTTTAAAAGTGCTATCTATAAAAATGTATAGACAAGAACATTTGTGCACTGGTGTCTCAAGCCTATAATCCTAGCTACTTGGGAGGTTGAGATTAGGAGGATAGCAGTTCCAGCCCAAGCTAGGGCAAAAACAGTGAGACCCTGTCTCGGGAGAAAGCTGGGTAGTGTGCACTTTACTGGCTATAGCAGGAAGTGTAAAGTAGGATGATCACTGTCCAGAATGGCCTGAGCAAAAAGGGCTAGAGGCATGGCTCAAGTCATAGAATGCCTGCCTTTAGCAAGTGCAGAACCCTGAGTTCAAATCCCAGTACCACTGGCAGAGTGGCTCGAGTGGTAGAATGCTTGCCTAGAAAGTGTGAGGCCCTGAGTTCAAGCCCCAGTACCAAAAAAAAGTACCACCAAAAAAAGGAAAATTTTTTCTTTGTCCAGATCAACAAAAAATTCCCTAATAATGACAAAAATTAAATTCATTGTCATAGGTAAATGTTTTATTTAACATGAATAATGTGAATCAGTTATTGACAATAAACTTCTAATTCATAAAAAAAGGATTAGAAATTCATTACATAAAAGCCCTAATATTAATGATGCAAACCAGTGCCTATTTTATTTCTCCATTCTCACACCAAGAATTGGAATTTGTAAACCACTTGATTTCTTTTAAATTGTAATTAAAAATCATGCAGTAACAAATTAGATTGTACTTACTGAGAAATCTTTGTGATCTGCAGTTAAAGGTGTGGCAGATCACTAGCAGAATGTGCTGTAACAGTTTGAGGAAGTCCAAAGAATGAATCCATCAAACTCCTTTCATGTTTCTCTTTCCTCTTGTGCCTTTTGCTAAAAGTAAATGAACTTTGTTTTGTGAAATTTGTGATATTTTACATCATTAAATTACCACTGACCGTTATTTTCAGTTTGGTCTGTGTTACTGTGACAGTGTTAAGTAGATGAGCTGCTGTGACATGACTGACCAGTTAATTTTTTACAGCCTAATGAGTCATGCCATTGTCGCATACCTTCCCCAAACTTCATTAACAACACACTTAGGACTTTCAAATACTATTTGAAAGAGATCCTTGCTTATATGCCATCATGGCTGTTTTGTGGTCTTTTGCAGTCCAGATGATAGTGCCTGACACACTCCATTTTATTGCTATTCCTCTTAAAATAGTCGTCTTTGAATTGAACTTAACACTCTAGATAGACTATATAAGATACATATATAATTATAAGATATGCATATATATAAGATATATATTGGTCATATAGATGACCAGTATAAAGTTAAGTAAGACGTGTGTCCTGGATTTAGTTTTATTTGTTTGTTTGGTAGCACTGGGATTCGATATCAGGGCTTCACACTTGCTAGGAAGGCGCCCTACCACACTTCAGCCACTCCGCCAGCCCTTTTTTGTTTTGGATGGTTTTGAGATAGGGTCTTGAAACTATTTGCCCAGGGTGGGTGTCAAACAGTGATCCTCCTGATTGCTGCCTCCCGAGTATCTAGGATTACAGGCATGAGCCACTGCGCCCATTTATTTTTGTTTGTGAGACAGGGTCTTGCCATGTAGATCTTCCTCCTGCCTCATCCTCCTGACTGTGGTGTTACAGTGATGTAACACCATGCTCATCCAAGATGCAATAAATGGTGAATTCTGGGTCACTATGAGTGATTGTGAAAAATTGATTGTCTACTGATTGTGGTTTTCCTTCTCAGTGCTTAATATGTTTCACCCTCTATGAGAAATCTAGAACTACAGAATTTCTGTTCAGGGAAGGCAGTTCTTTGTGAACAGAATTTTCATACATAATATCTTCTCATTTGGTAGGTCTTAGGTTCCTTTTTTGTTTCCAAAAATATAGTCATGGAGGAATTTACTGTTAAAAGGCATAGTTCCTTTTTCCTGGCTTTGTGCTGTTTGTCTGTGCCTTTCCTGGTCACAGTCTTTCCTGATTGTTCTCTGAAGGTTAACCTGTATACATAAATTAGAAACATACCCAATTTATTATATCCATTTTGTAGGAAATTTAGCATACAAACAATATTGTTGAGGCATATTGCAAAATGAATTTAGACCAGCCTCTAACTGCCATCCACAGAATTTCCATTAATTATGTCCTTCTGTCAACCATGATTCTAGGAACCATTGTATCTTTGGCCTTGGATTCTTTTTTGCTATCTCAAGTCTACCTTCTCATTGACCTCTTGCTTGAATCTCAGCCATCATTATGGCTACTTCTCTTACCTCAGCTGGTGCTTAACTGGCTTCTTCCATCTAAGGCACAGTAGCTTTGATTTCTCTCTGGTTTCCAACATGGGTGTTACTTTTCTGCTTTCTAAGCTGCTCTTGTACTCAGGAGTTTTCCTGTGTTGGGCTTTCCTGGTAGCTCATGGCTCTGTGCTTATTATTTCAGATCTGGTAGACACCTCTCAGGTTGTGTTCTTAGACACTGCCCTTACTGAATTTATGTCTTTGCTTGGTTTCCCAAAAACATATCCCATTGAAAGTGCTTTCCCCTGCAATCTCAACATCTCATTATAGTAACTCCAAGCCAGGGAGTCAGACACATTTTTAATTTAAAGACATTCTCTCTTGTCCCCATTAACTTAAGCCTTACTGTTTGGAATACTTAAAGATTTCAATTAAATTTCTAAATTTGTTAAAAAATTTCACACATATCCAAAAGTAAAGTGTATAAGAAACCCTTACATATCCATCACAATTACTAATAGTTTGTTCTAGTCTGTCTTTCTTTTTTTTTTGTGGTACTGCAGCTTGAACTCAGGGCCTATCGCTTGAGCCACTCCACCAGCCCTTTTTTGGGATGGTTTTTTTCCAAGATAAGGTCTCATGGAACTCTTTGCCAGGGCTGGCTTTGAACTGCGATCCTCCTGATCTCTTGCCTCTTGAGTAGCTGGGATTCCAGCTTGTTTCAGTCTTGTCCCATTAATTTCCCAATTTTTTTTTTTTTCCTCCACAAATTATGTTGTGGACGAGGGGCATGGCTCAGTAGGTAGAGTGCCTGCCTAACATGTGCAAAGCCCTGGGTTCAATCCCCAGTACTGCAAAAAGCAGAGGGGCCCTGCTGAGAAAAATCCATTTCAGTTTGGCAGATATTCATTGAATTCTTTCTCTAATCAGTGAAAAATAACAAAGGCATTTCTCAGCAACAGATTGCATTGTGACTAAGAATTCTTCAGTCTAGTTAGCATTCACAAATGTTCTCTAACCAGTAAAATCATAGCCAGTATATGGGGAAGATCATATTATGAACACATGATCTTTCCTTTGAGTCCTTTTACCAGACAGTTTAAAAAAAAATGACTACTTTCAGAGTGAGCATTTCATGGTTTATTTTTGCCTCTAGCAATCTGGAACATATTCCTCATAACCCAGGCCTGTTGAGTGCCTGTTGAGTTCTGTTCTTGGTGTGACTTTCTTCTGTCTCTTTAGTTCCCTTATCTATGAAAATGACTTTAAATTGTATGATTCAGACCTCTTAACTCTAAGCATTCAGTAACTGAAAGTTTAATGTAGGTGTGAAATAAATTTTATAATTTAGCATTTTTATGAGGTTCAGCATGCTGATTTAGCTTTACATGCGGAAACCTAATGATTCTTAGAAGGATTTGAATTCCTGATTTATCCATTGTTAGAAAACTTTTTCTCTCTAGAATGAGAGCATGGACATGGGTGAATGTGTAAATATCTGCTTTTCTCTAGAGAGCCTCCTTTTCACCTGACCAGAAGAGGCTGGGGTGAGTTTCCTGTCAGAGTTCAAGTTCACTTTAAGGACAGCCAGAACAAGAGGATAGATATCATACATAATCTGAAGGTATTGTAACAAAGCGTTGCTCCCCAGAAATAAAGTATCTCTCTTACAATGGTAGTGTTAGGTCTTCTGAGGGAAGTCGCCAAAGACAGTGAAGCAGGATGATCTTTTGGGCATTTTATATGTACTGCTATAACATTTCTTTGTCCTCGGAAGGTTGAGGGCACAATATGTATCTTTAAAAAGTCGACCTGACTGTCCAGATAAATCAGCAGAACACTTGAATTTTTTTTTTTAATCAAACCTCATTATTGTGTTACTTGAGACTAAGTTACTGAAATCTTTATTTTAAAAAATCTGTTTACTTTTTTATAAAATGAGGCAAATACTTGGTGTGGCTTTGGATTCATTTCCTAGCACTGCAAATATGTATGCATACATGACACACAAAATGAAGCAAGTACTAAGCCTTGTCTATTTATATCATAAAGAATTGAGAGAAATGACCATGTTTGGGTAATTGTAAAGTACCATGCAAGGTTGCAGTAGTCTGATTTGCATAGTATGAAATCCTTCATTGATACATCCATGTTATTTATTAGCCAGCCACTATAAATCATATGTTAAGAATTGTCCTCTATACATGGGGAAAAACTATCATTATCATACATGATGAGTGTAAAACCAGTTGTAGACAGTGCTAGGGGTATAGCTCAGTGGTGGAGTGCTTACCTACAATGCATAAGGCCCTGGATTCAAACACCAGCATGGGCAAAAAAAAAATTAAAAACCTGTATGTAGGACTGTGGTGTGGCTCAGTGATACAGCACTTGCCTAGCTAGCATGTGGGTTTAATATTCAGCACTGCCAAGAAAAAAATAAATAAACAAAATAAATATGTGTATATGTGTGTGTGTATTATGTCAGCCACAATTTTTTTTTAAGGGTGGAAAACAAGAAATGCTACCAAAATGTAATAATTACAGTAATGATATTGTGGGCAATTTCCCCTACTCTTTTCTCCATTTTTGTTTTTGTTAACAGTTTTGTAACTTTATATAATAAACATGTAACTTTTGTAGTTGGAAGACAGACCATTTTTTAATATTGCTGTAGGCCCTCTTTATGCCATATAGCAGATTATATCATTTATACATTTTCTATATGTATGATGTAATCCTAATACTGTTCCTGTTAATGGCTCCCAAAGTTGAATTAAATAAAGCTGAGTACATCTCTAGAATTCCTTTTTCATTACCTTTGTTCCACAAATGCACCTTTTTCAACGATGCAGCATGCTGAAATTTTCCCATTAGTGATTGACGGTACTGCTTAATCTGATTGTTATTTTCTAGAGATTACTGGAAGACTAGATTGCTTTTGACCTCAGTGCAGACCAATTTGTTCCCATTACTTAGAGAAAGATCTAAGATAATTTTGCTTCTTATTTGATCATGCACATACCACCTTATGTTGCCTAGTCCTAATTCCTAAAATAAACTTGTTTATATAGTTCTTATATATTGTGCCGATCTTCAGTGTTCCCAGTGGAAGATTGATTTAAAATGACAGTAAAGTACTTACCAGTTTTTCTAGAAAATATAATTTTAAGTTGGATGTGGTGGTGCACACATATAATCCCAGATACTTAGGTGACAGAGGCAGGAATATTGGGAGTTGGAGGCCAGCTCATGAAGTTAGTGAGACCCTATCTCAAAAATAAAATAAAAAGGACTGGAGGCAAAGTTCACCTCAAGTAGTAAAGTACAGTGCGCTCAAGGCCCTGGATTCATTCCCTGTCAAAAAAAGAAAGGAGGGAGGGAAGAAGAAAGAAAAGAAGGAGGTGGGGAGAGAAGGAAACAAACAATTATACTATTTTGTTCTATTGGCCTTGGTACTGTAAGCACATGTATTGTGGCCATATGATCTTTATTTTTTACTGGAGTGTTTATTGTTTTCCCTGCCATCTTTGAGTCTTCCCTCTTTTAAATATTTGTTAAATTGAAGGCCATTATTTTTTCTAAATAATCTTTCTTACATCCCACCATTGCTAGTCTGTGATTCTCCTGTCACCTAATTGTCTTCTTTAATCTGTTTCCTTTCCCTTAGGCCATTCTACATACCACCCTCAGAATCATTATGCTATTCCTCTTTCAGAAAATACAATTGAATTCCTGCTACTGTTCAGGGTTCTTCCTGTTTTGACTCAGTACACCTCACTTAAGTCATCTAGTACTAATCCTCTGCGTGAGCCTCCTACTCAACCATGTCAGTCTGCTCATGCCTTAGAAATGCATTGGGCTTTCTTCCCTGGTGTTTCATCCATGGTCTTCTCCTGAGTGCTTGTTTGAATTACTTCCATTCTTTAAGTTCTGTGTAGCTTTTCCTGGCTATTTAAACCCATAGTCGTCTCTGCATTCTGAAAGTCTGTGGCATATAGTGATGTATATTTGATTTTGTAAATGTATTAAGTATTAATTATTCTAAGTGTTAGAGTTGTATAAAATTTAAAGCTCACACAATGTATAAAATTACCCTATCCTGCATCCCTGATGATAGCCTTCATGTCTCCTCCATAAGTCATTTCTTCTCCTGGCAAAACTTGTTCCTGTGACGTTTCTCATATGATATGTTTTCTAATTCCCCATGCTGTTTTAATAACAATTTCAGTGTCTCACTTAAAATTTGTTCCTAAAAATGAAACATAAGCTGGTGCAGATTATAGAAAAGACTGTTATTTCTAGTCTATGGAGGTTAGGAAAATGGATGTAACCTGAACTTGCCCATATCTTTTTAGAGTTTTTAAAACTCTAGATCTTTTCCACAGAATTACTAATCACTCTATGTTGTTTTTTATCTTTTGAACACTAAAATCTCATTACTGACAGTTACCCTCCCTGTGTTGGCTGCTGAGGAACTCAGCCAGACTTGACCTCTGCCTCTTCCAAGCCTTTAAAACATTGAATTCACTAACTGATTCCCAGCTTCATTTTTCCCTTCCTATCCTGCTTAGTTGGGTTCTTCCTATTAGTCTTATTTGTACAATGTTTATATTGATAAGTTGTCCACAAAGTCATTTTTAAATAGTAGGATATAAATGGAAACACGGTAAGATTTAACCTCTTTCTATATAATTGTATAAACTCTTGTTTTTATTATTAACTTCAATATATATTCCTTTCAACAAATCTTTCAAGATGCTAATATACTTGAAGTGATTAGCATTGCCTAAATTTTCATTCATTTTTTTCAGTAGTGCTTAGTAATTATACTCTGAGTATGTGATTACATCATTACTTTACATACGTATTTTTATAGCCTGGCATTTAAAATATTTTTGCATGATTTTTGTAAACTCAAATCTTACTGACTATATAATACTTTACAAATTGGTAGTCTATGAATTACTTAAGAATTCTTTTTTACTGAACATTTATGCTTTTAGTTTGTGTTCATGGATAATGCTGTGGTAACCCTTTTTTTGTGTTAAACTTCATTTTGAGATTGTCTTTAAAACAGGTTTTCACAAGTATATACTTCATATTAAGTATACAATAGCTATATGTCTATGGTTAGTTTTGCTGTTGCTCAGATTTTCCCCCAGAAAACTGAGGATTTTTATTGAAGTGGGAGATTGGTAGTTTACATTATGAGAAAGTAGGGCCTATAGTGTGAAAACACATGGTGAAAGGGGTTTTAGACAAGATTGTATCCTGAATTTATGAATAAGCACAGGGAAATCTAATGTTCTCCTTCTTGTCTTTCAATAGCTGGATAGAACTTACACTGGCTTGCAGACCCTCGGGGCAGAGACGGTAAGTGTTTTTGCCCTTGTGGTATCTTTTTTTTTTTGAGACAAAGCCTCGAACTCCTGATCCTCCTGCCTCAGCCTCCCAAGTACCGGGATTACTAGTGTGCAGCACTACACCCAGTTGATCTTTATTTTTAATTAAGGGGAATAAAATGAGTATTAAGTTGTTTTTTTTGTTTTAACTTTTTTTTCTCCCTATTCCCCTTTTGTGTTTTCTTTTTTATTGTGGTATAAAAACATACAGGATGAAATTTACATCTTAACTATGTTTCAGTGTGCAGTTCACACTGTTGTGAACCATCATCACAACCCATCTCTTGAATTTTTTTCAACTGAAAGTCCATACCTATTAAATGATAGTTACTTGTTCTCTCCCACCACCATTCTTTCTGTCTGAATATGCCTGCTCTTGAGTACGACATATAATTGGAATCATATAGGGTTTATCATTTTATCATTTCCTTATTGCACTTAGCATCGTGTCCTAAAGGTTCATCAGTGTTGTAGCATGTGTCAGAATTCCCTTCCTTTTTAAAGCTAAATAATATTCTGCTGTATGTATTTGCCAAGTTTTGTTTATCCATTCATACATCAGGCTTTGATTGCTTTTACCTTTTGGTTATTGTTAGTAATGCTGCTGTGAACATGGATGTACAGATAGCTGTTAAAATCTCTCTCTCTCTCTTTTTTTTTTTTGGTTCAATTCTTTTGGGTGTATATGCAGAAATGAAATTGCTGGATCATATGGTAATGCTATTTTAAATTTTTTGAGGAACCACCACAGTATTTTCCCTGCCAGCTGCACCATTTTATATTCCCTCCACAGATGTAGAGTCCAGTTTTTTCCATGTCTTCATCAACATTTACTAATCTGTTTTTTAATTTATAGGTATATTCTAATGGTGATAAAGTGATTATCTCATGGTCTTGGTTTGCATTTCTGTGATTAGTGATGTTGAGCATCTTTTTCATGGGCTTTTTAGCTGTTTGTTTTATTTTCTTGGGAGAAATGTATGTTCAAGGGCCGGGCCCTGGTGGCTCAGTCCTCTAATCCCAGCTACCTAGGAGGCAGAGATCAAGAGAATCTCATTCAAAGCCAGTCCCTAGCAAATAGTTCAGGAGACCCTATCTACAAAAAACCAGTCATAAAGAAGGGCTGGTGGAGTGGCTGAAGGTGTAGGCTCTGAGGTGAAGCCCCAGTACCATTAAAAAAGAAGAAGAAGAAGAAATGTCTTTTCAAGTCCTTTGCCCATTTTTTTAAGCAGGTTATTTTGAGTTGTGGGGGTTATTTATATGTTCTGAATATTACAAGTATTTAAGAAATCATAGCTAATGCATTCAGTATTGTGAAGCATTTCCTCTATGTTTTCTTCTGAGAGTTTTATTGTTTTAGCTCTTAGGTTCAGGTCTTTGATCCATTTTTAGTTAAGGGTCCAACTGCATTTAGATAAGGCTTCATCTGCATTTGCATGTGCATACCCAGTTTTCCTAGCACCATTTATTGAAAAGGTTGTCCTTCCGTTGTTGAATGATCTTGGCACTTTTAATTGAAGAATATTCGGTCATACATGTTTATTCTGCTGGTTTATATGTCAGTCTTTATTTTGGCACATACTGTTTGATTACTGTACTTTTGTGGTAAGTTGTGAAGCCAGGAAGTATGAGACCTCCACTTTCTTCCCTACCTTTCCTCCCTTTATGTATTTATGATATAATATCTACAGTCACCATTATAATCAGAGTTAGCTAGTTAACTCTTACTGTTTTTAGAAATAGACTGTGTTATATCAGAAGATACTTACTGAGCACCTTCTGCATGTTATGCACTGGTCCAGGTATTATGAATGCAGAGATGAATAAGATAGCTTTTATCCTCAAGGAGTTGTAGTCTTAATTTTGAGAAGGAGAAGAATAGGCAGTAAACACAAAAGTGAATAAGATCATTTCAGTTAGGAAATAGGTAGGTGCTGTGAAGAAAAGAGCTGGGGCTCAAGGGCATTATATCAGCTAAATGGTTAGGGAAGATCTGTCAGAACTGCAGTGAGAAAGGCAGCCATGGAGGGAGCATGTTCTAAGTAGTAGAAACAGCAAATGGGAAAGCATTTATTTCACTGAAGTATCCCAATGTTAAATCAGAATAGATTACATTGTAGGAAAATCCTTTATTATTCAGATAAAAATTGCCTTTGAGATGTGGTTAGAAATCATTTGTCAGTCACATCTCTTAGAGTCCCGTGTTTTGGGACAGTATTTGAGCTTTCTGTAACATTGATGATGGATTTATGAGCCCAGTTGTTGTCCCATTGTGTAGGTAGTGGATGTTGAACTCCATCGGCATTCTCTTGGAGAAGACTACATTTATCCTCAGTCCTCTGAGTCAGATATCTCTGATGCCCCTCCATCTTTGCCTTTGACCATTCCAGCCCCAGTGAAAGCTTCCTCACCAATAAAGCAGTCCCTTGAGCCAGTATCTGATACCTCTGTGGAGAAAGGTAATGCAGCATTTTTCCTTTTATGGAGGTGTTCTTTGGGAAATTTCTTTCTTATTTGCATAACATGATATCAAACCTTTGCCTTCAGCAACCTAGAGTATGTGGAAAATGAATTTTTCGTAAATAGGCACACTGCCTGTGCCATATAGTTCTGTTATTAAACTAGTCAAACTTCTGCTTTTCTCAGAAGCATTTTTCTCTTAAATTTCTACTAGCATTTGATAAAATGCAAAAATCACTGAAAACACTGGACTTGCATATTTTTGCTAAAGATTTTCTAGATCAGCTTCTGATTGTGTGACTATGAGACTTGAGTATTAAATAGCTAATCTTATTTAAAGTTTTAAAATAAAATGTTAAACATCAACAAATGTGGCATTTTTTCATTTAAAAGGAATGTAAGTCAAATAAAAATGTACTTAAAGTGTTCACATATATAAGCAGATAAGATGTAAAATTGATTCTAAAAGGTATTGATTTCATGTCAAAGTTTGTGTTCTAATGTAATGTTAATATTTAGAAGATGTTGATTTTATTTCTCTTTGTGGGCATTTAATGAGATTAGATTAAGTGAACAATTTCTTTTTTGAATTTTTCCTTCCTAAATAGTTTTTTACTTTATATATTTAAAAATGGAGGACCATAATAACTCAAGTCCTTTTTATAGCATGAATTTATAGTTAATATGTTTACTGATTTTTTTTTACAAGAATTCTATTTTAATTAAATAGGTTTCAAAACATGCATTTACTTTCTACCAAAAAAAAGTATAATGGGGTGAACTGTTACATTTTTTATACCAGTAATTGGTATGGGTATTACAATATTGAATTACATAGAATATTTTTATTCTTTTCCCAATAGTAACTTTTTTATTTCAAAGAGACTGATGACCTATCATTTTCTTATTAAATTTCAAACAGGATTCCCAGTCAACACTGAATCTGAGAGACACACTACATTTTATTCTTTGCCATCTTCATTGGAAAGAACACCAACCAAAGTGACAGCAGCTCAGAAAGTTACCTTTTGTTCCCATGGCAATTCTGCTTTCCAACCAATAGCATCAAGTTGCAAAATTGTGCCACAAAGTCAAGTTACTAATCCTGAGTCACCTGGGAAATCCTTCCAGCCCATCACCATGAGCTGCAAGATTGTTTCAGGTACACAGAAGATAATGGGTGTGTTGGCTGAATGTTAGAATTACTGGAAGTTCTAAGCAGTGTTTTTGTTTATCAAAGGAGTTAATCACTATCAACAGGCAAAGCTGTCACAAAGGATAAAACTTACGAATATGGAAAGAGTTTTCAAATCAGATGAAGAGATGAAAACCAAAATGGTCAAATTTTTGCCTGCTAGAATTAGCACAGGTAAAATTTTTCCTAAGGTGTAATAGCTGGTTGACACTAAGGTAGGAATTGAGTTTAGTGATTCTATGTGGAAACCAATGTGACTGGTAATAGAAAAAATTAGATGTCTTTTGGCTTAGAGTTAACTTTAAGAATTAGAATTGATTTGATATTGAAGTATCTTTTATTCTTTCTCTAAGCACAGTAGAAACTTATTTCTGGACTTCTTTTATTAAGGTTGGATTGTCGCTTGCCTTGTGACAGTTTCACATTTATATGAAACATTTTAGTAGAAATACACTTTTATGATTTGTGCTTCAGAAAGGACATGAAAGGAACCAGTTGGGCTGGTGGAGTGGCTCAAGTGCTAGAGTAGCTGTTTAGCAAGCATGAAGCCCTGAGTTCAAATTCCAGTGCTACAAAAACAAAAAAAAGAAAGTAATTGAAAACAGGGAAAATGCTTCTTATAATACATAAATTAAGAAAGAAAACAGAGGAGTCTTCACTGATAAAATTGGACAGTTAAGCAGAAATATGCTCCATGCCTGCCAGTTAGAATTTTAGAACTTGCTGTTTTGAAGTGGAATAGGCTAAACATACAAATTGGTTTTCAGTTTAGAGAAACTCACAGATGATAAATCTGATCAGAAAGGCAGTTGATGTATATGAGTAACCTTTGAGAGTATTCTTTGTAAACATGAATCTTTCTGGACTATGACTGTGATATAGTATTGACAGATTTTTTTCTTGGGTAGGTGAATTTCACATTTTCCTATTTGAAATTAATTACAAATGAAAACATCAAGTTTCCCAATCCTCAATCTAATTGTTCACTTACTAATTCTCTAACCTAACTTTAGCATCTTTGAGTATAATCAGTATTATAAGAACCTGCTTGTGATATTTAGAGATTCATTGTGCCAGATACAGTAGTTGGACATTGTTACATAAAGCACAGCATTTTGAACTTTAAGGTGAATTCCAGGAGATCTTGCTAAAATGCAGAGTTACATTCAGTAGGCTGGGTTGGAACCTCAAAGTCTGTTTCTAATTAGTTCCCCAATAATGCTGATGCTGCTGGTTCACGGATCAGGGGTGGTGAGGCATACTGCTCCCTGCCTCAGTTTTGCTGCTGCTCAGTACCTAAAGGACACAGCCCCATTCTCTCTTCCCTACTTATCAAAACCTTTGTCTTTTTTCTCTTTCTTTTTGGTAACTGGCATTTGAATCACCTTTGTCTTTGATGTCTTCCTAGATGAGTTGAATATTTTACTTTGTTTCTCTTCTCTCTTCTGAATTAACAAAAGGCTCCCCAATATCAACTCCAAGTCCATCACCATTGCCTCGAACCCCAACTTCCACTCCAGTCCATGTGAAGCAAGGCACTACCAGCTCTGTTATAAATAATCCTTATGTTATCATGGATAAACCTGGGCAGGTTATCGGGGCCTCCACTCCCAGTACAGGTGTGTATTTGGTAATGTTTGTGCAGTCCAAAGGATTGGATCCTTTTTTCTTTTTTTAGTGGGACTGGGGTTTGAATTCAGGCCTTCATACTTACAAAGCAGGTGGTCTACCACTTGAGCCACACCTCTAGTCCATTTTGCACTGGTTGTTTTGGAGGTGGGGTCTCACAGACCTATTTGTCTGGGCTGGTCTCAAATCTCAGTCTTCCCCATCTCAGCCTCCCAAGTAGCTAGGATTATAGGTGTGAGCCACCATTGCCCAATTTAGGATTTGATCTTTTATTAAAGACGAAACTTTAGCATGACTTAGTAGCTGTGTAATAAGATATTCATGTAAAAGGAGAATGAAATCTCATCTGTAAACAAGAGTGTAAGTGACATCGAGTACTGGAAGCATGACTCAGTGGTAGAGCACTTGCCTACAGTGAGTTCAAACTCGAGTACCACCAAAAACAAACTTTAAAAGTAACATCAGTAATGTTTCTTTGAAGGAAGATTTACTCTTTGTGAAAGTTAAATTTTTAAGAATTAAAAGTTATAACTCAATTTCCTTTTAAAGAAATAGTTGGTTTTCTTTTCATTTAGAAGTGAAAGTCTTTAATATTTTTGGATCTATAAGTAATGTGGTTACTAACTTTTCCAAGTGAAGCTTTTAGAACACATAGCTTTGTGAGCCATGCACATTTATCCCAGGTCAAACCATATGCTATTTTTCTGCAAATGAAATACATTTGTTTGTGGGAAAAAAATTGAAACCTACAGAATAAGAAGTTTTTGGAGTCTCATTTGGTTTTATAATCCGAAACATAACTACATAGTGCTTTTCAAGGGTTTGGTTTGGTTTTGTTTGTTTGTTTTTTCCATTCTTTATCTAATTATTTTATCCCTTTATTTAGCATGTATTTAAGCATGTGTGTAATCTTCCCCAATTAAGGGAAATAGTAAAGAGAGAAAAGAAATAAAATGGTTGATTATAAGGTAAAAAGGCCAGGTGTGAGGCTGGGCGGAGTGACTCAAGTGGTAGAGCACCTGCCTCGAAAGTGTGAAGCCCTGAGTTCAAATACTAGTACTGCCACATGCGTGCACACACACAAAACAAAAGGCTGGGTGGTTTTTGTTTGTTTTATTACTGTTGTTTGTGTAATTAGGAATTGGACCCAGGCCCCTCACCCTTTTTTAAAGTATTGGAATTAACACATACTAATGTATGTTGAGCTTTCCCAAGTAGGCTTTTGTCTTGTTTTGGTTTTGGTATTTGAACTCAGGACTTCACACTTGCAAAGCAGGTGCTTTACCATTTGGGCCACACCTCCAGTCCATTTTACTCTGGTTATTTCGGAGATGGAGTCTTGCCAACTGTTTGCCTGGGCTAGCCTCGAACTTCAGTCCTCCCGACCTCAGCCTGCCAAGTAGCTAGGATTACAGGCATGACCCACTGCCACCCAGTTCATATAGTTTTTTTAATTTTGTTTTGTTTTAAGCTAATAGTTTTGTGTGGAACTCCTTTAAAAAATACTCTGTCTGAGCTTACCTACTAGCCTTTTGAATATATTTAGGAATGTCAAATAGATGTCTTCGAGGATGCTTATTAGTTTTAGGAATCTGCCACTGCAGAGTGGCAAGTCTGTAGAGGCAAGTTTGTTAGCTGGGTAGGTGATTGAATACCATTTTTGGTCTTGACTTAATGTTTACTGTTGATAATGTAAGTTATTTTTATCAGACTCTAAAAGTTGTTGTGCAGATAGCTATAACATGCTTCACATGGGCAGCATTTTGGGATAGGTCTGACCTACTTCTTGTGAAACTATACTGCAGAAGCTAGGAGTCCCTTGAATGTGTGCTTTTTGGTCTACTTGTTAAACGACCAATACCATTATATTGTAGTATCTCTTACTATATAAGGAGTAGAGTACATAATATATTCTTTGTATTTTTGTCTTTTCATCCTTACTAGCTTCTTAAGTCTTTTCAGGTTGAGTGTGTGATCAACTTTGTAGGGATCCACCTTTATGTTTTTCCTATAATTGTTTTAGAGTTGTGAGTTTTCAACCCTTAAAAATGAAAATAAGCAGTAGGAAAGAGGGGATGGTGTACAGAATGGTTTAAGATTATATTTTGTAAATTTTTCTTTCTTTACTTAATGTTTAAATTTGCCTTGCTTATCAGGAAGTCCTACAAACAAGCTCTCTACGGCTTCTCAGGTCTCCCAAGGAACAGGTTCCCCTATTCCTAAAATTCATGGAAGTAGTTTTGTAACCTCTACTATAAAGGTAAAGCTCTTACTATATTATTGCGTTTTACTAGTTTCTAAACAGGTTATATGCAGCCTTGGCAAGTGTGTCAGTTCATGATGCAGATTTCATAGACTCTTCACACTGAAAAGTGTCTTAAAAATCACCTACTCCATACTCCATTACCTCACTTTGTATTTTTCTAGTGTAGAAAATGCTTCTCACCACTTCTATCAAATGATCACCCAGTATTGATAGAAAAACTAGCATGCTGAAGAGGTGGCCTTGTTTATATTTTGGAGGGGACAGCTTTGTCAAAAATACTTCCTTATAAAATATTGGTATGATAGCATATTTCCTTTTTCCTGTATTTTCATCACAAAGGAATAAATATATTTCCTTTTCCACATAAACTTTTTAGTTATTTGAAAATAATTCTTAGCTCCACAATTTTTTTCACTCCTTTGAGCTGAATAGTTACCCAAAATTTGGAACTCTAAATATGATCTGATTCTTAATGAAGCTGCTAAATACTGCTTGCCATTTGGTTAGCAAATGCTAACCATGCTCTGGTTAGTTATCCAGCATACTTGTTATGACTGCCTTAAACAGAAGCCTTTGAGATGAGACTCCTAGCTGAGCATACAAAGATAATTTCTCATTTGAAACTAGTGCTGAACATAGCATTTCTTATGTTTAAACACTCAGTTGTGACACTCTTGAAGTTCTGGTCTAAAGTGAGCTTTTCCTCTTAAATTCTCTGCAGTATATAAATACCCTGTTAAATTGATGTTGGAATTGTAACAGTTCCTTTGAGATCTTAACCTCCGTGATTTTTTTTATTTTAATATTTATTGTTGGTCTTTTCATTACATGCTGAACAACTATTCTTAATTTTGGTTTTTGCTCCTAAAATTTAAATAAGTTGCCTCTGAGATTTCAATTTCTCAGAATTAGAGACAAACTGGTAGTTTTGAATTGACCCTGTTGTCTTTTTTTTGCATATGCCTTTTTAAATTCTTTTCATTTTTTGTTGATTATTTTGACAGTTACTAGGATTTGAACTCAGGGGTTTCAGCTTGCAAAGCAGGTGCTCTACCACTTGAGCCACGCCTCTAGCCCTTTTTGCTCTTTTTCATTTCAGAGATGGTGTCTCGTTTTTTTGCAACCCTCCTATTTTACACTTTCTGCCATAGCTGAGATGACAGGTGCACCCCGTACACCTAGCTTTTTTCTGTTGAGATGGGGTCTCGTATACTTTTTGTGCTCTTCCAGTCTTAGCCTCCCACATTGCTTGGGATGATAGGCATGAGCAACTGGCACCCAGCTTGTTCTTTTCTTTCCCTTTATTTTCTTCTTTCCTCCCTTCCCCCCTCCCTCCCTTCCTTCATCCTTTCTCAGAGTCTCCTGCTTGCTAAGCAGTTGATCTCACTTGAGCCACACCCCTAGCCCTTTTGCTTTAGTTATGTTTCCCATGTACTGGGATGGTAGGCATGCAACCCCACACCCAGCTGTTGGTTGAGATGAGGTCTTGAGAACTTTTGCTTGGGCTGGCCTTGAACTGTTCTACTCCCTATCTCTACCTCTCATGTATCTGGGATTTCAGGTGCGAACCACTGTACTTGGCCTCATTTTCTTTTCTTCTTCTTTTTTTTTTAAACTATCATTTAAAAAATTTTCCCTTGTATTCTGCGTATTGGGTAAATTTCACAAATCAAGTTGAGAGTGTATAAAAAGAGAACATATAGTAAAATATTGCAATTACTTGTTTCAATTATTTACTTTGTGCTTAGGTTCTAGGGATATGAAATACACAAAATTATAATCCCTGTCCTTAAATAGCTTACCATCTGTGTTAGGGGACTGGGCATTTAAACCAGTGAAATCTAGGCTTTTGCTAAGTTACAACTGCTCTTTCCATTTGATTTTTTTTTTTTTCTTGAGATATGATCTCACTCTGTAACCCAGGATGTCCTAGAACTTAAAATCTTCCTATCTCAGCCTACTGCTGGGATACAGGAATGGACTGACAGGCCCAGCTTTTGTATTTGGCTTCTAAAACAAGATTAAAATACAGGTACAGAGGCTTGGAAGATCCCCAGGAGTTTTGAGGTTTTTGTTTTATTTTGTCACTGGTTTGTATTAAATATAAGTGACTAGAATATCTGAAATCACCTATTTTAACCTGACTGTACAATATATATTTTTAATACACACAGCAGGAGGAGTCTTTGTTTGCCTCTATGCCACCTCTTTGCCCAATTGGGAGTCACCCTAAGGTTCAGAGCCCTAAACCTATAACTGGAGGACTTGGAGCTTTCACAAAAGTGAGTATGTGTGAAGGTCTTGTCCCTGGAATTCGTATGGTCTTATCACATAATTCTTGTGGCATGTTAGGGTGCATTGTGACTGTCTCTTATCTTTGCTAGTACTACCTGTACTAGTCTCTTTCAACTCTCAGATCAGACACTGCTTCTGAGATGGGTCCATTTGTTTAGTGATGTCCATTCCCTTAGAGTCCAGTGGGATGGGGAACTCAGAGATCACAAACTGCATGTTGTTTCCTTCTACTGCCTTTTTGCCACCAATCTCTAAAACGACTGATTGAAGCACAGAGTACAGTCCAGATCCTGCTTTGGTCTCTTCACTAGCTGTTAAGGACAGTTTAAAACAGTACTTCTACCCTTCTCATGGAGTCGTCATTTCATTAACATTAAGTTTCATGAATTCCTGCAAACAGTAGGTTCAGGTACTAGTAGGTTTTTTGTTTGTTTGTTTTTTCCATGAGATACTTACTTAGTGTCATTGTCATGTCTATTGCAAGGTCATCATCAAACAGGAACCTGGGGAAGCCCCTCACGTGCCCACAACAGGAGCTGCCAGCCAGTCACCGCTCCCTCAGTATGTGACTGTGAAAGGGGGTCACATGATAGCTGTGTCCCCGCAGAAACAGGTCATAAGTGCTGGAGAAGGGACTACCCAGTCACCAAAGATTCAGCCCTCCAAGGTTTGTATGGGGTAGGAACGGGGAGGTCAATGTATAAATGAATGTTGCTTATCTAAATAGTTGACAAGTGCTGAAATGATTCAGGATGATAGGGTTGCTGACCCTACACAGACCTGTAAATAGCTGGAAAACCAACAAGCCCATGTGGTCCTTAGTATCCCTAACAAGACTTGGGCATGTGCTAAAGAGGCCCAGGTATAGTAGTCCAAGAGGCAAAGGAACACTGTGTCTTCTCTCTGGCAGTGATGCTCCATGGACACAGCTTTCCACTTGATTCATATTGTAAGATGGGGTACTGTTTCATTTGTTTCTGTTAGGAGAATGCTGTAGTTTATGCCACAGGCTGTGTGATTTGTTGGATGATTCTTTGGCTCTTGAGTTTATTTTCCTTATAATTTGGAGATAGTGGAGGAATTAATGTATTAGGAGAAATGTAAAGTAGCACATAGATCTGTATTTCCTACACCAGTTAGAAAGAGTATTTACTGAGTGCTTACGTGTGCCAGGCTTATAATTGCACACCATCATGTAAGATGGATATTTTCACTCCCATTTTACAAACAAGGAAACCATGATTCTGACAGATTAGGCAGCCTCCTGGAGAACATACAGCTAGGAAGTACCAGGGGGCTTAAACCCAAGCCTGCCTACTCCAAACTCTATTCCAAAATTAGTGAGAAATTGTGAGCCATTGTTCTAACCTTAGCATGCTTTTAGAGCATACAGAGTTAAATTAGTGCAGCATTTTGACAGTTATACTCTAAACCTAATAAGAATATTTTGTGTACTTCTTTTCTACTTGAAAGCCAGCCTGTCTAGGGAGAGTGAATTGTTTTCAGAGGAATAAACTAGAAAAAGGTTTTAGATAAGTTAGTTTAGATAGCTGGATAAGAATTCAGACAAATATTCATGGTTACAGATGTTTCTAAAATCTACAAGAGTCTGTTAACTACTTTCCAGAACTTAAGTCAGCAGAACCATCTTATTGATTTAAAAAGTACCTAAGCTGGGCATGATGGTGCACACCTGTAATCCTCCATGGAAGCTGAGGTAGAAGGATTATGAGTTGCAAGCAGCCTGGGCTACATAGTGAGATCCTGTCTCAAAACAATCAATAAGATAAAAAAAAAAAATTAAAAATACTGATACCTAGGACCTTTCTCAAACTTTTATTGCATTAGAATCTTCTCTAGAGCCCTGGGAAGCTGAATTTGTACTAAGCCTCCCTGCTGACTCATATGCTTAGGCAAATTTAGGAACCATGGATCTGCAACATCAAATTTGACTTTGGGGTCTCTGCAGCCAAAATCAGGCACCCACTGTTGAATCTTAATTTCCCCCTCCCCTGTTGTTTTGGCCTTGAGGGTTCGTATTCTTTCACAGTCCTTTAGTGAATCAGTTGTGTTCATCTGAACTTCCTATTCATACTTGTCTTACAGCATTTCTCAAAATGTGTTTTGCTTCATATCGGGATGCATGGTTTTACCGATACAGGTTTTGAATCAGTCTGGCATTGCTAGTGATGCTCAGAAGATCTGGGATAGGATAGTCTCCGCTTTTCACCACTTTGCATTTTGCTAATGCACTCATCCAGTATTGCCAAATAACCATTCTGTCTTTTCACATTGCCCCCCCTCTTCCTAATGATAATACAGGACTAAGAGAAAGTACCTAAGTTTGTGCTAGAATGCCTTGAATTTAGGATACCTGGAAAGAGCCAAGCAGAATACAAGCAAAGCTCCAGAGCATAAGAAAAGGCATCATTGTTTTCCGGGAAATTTAGTTACACGTCCCAGACTCAAGATAAGAAGCTTGTCTGCAAATACAGACTGTCTGGGTATTACTGAAGTGCATTCCTAGAAACTTCCTAAAAACAGGATGGTGGAAAAGGTGGTAGTTTTCTTTCAACCCAACCCTGGCATGGTACAGTAGCTTCCCCCCTCCCCCACTAGGGTTTGAACTCAAGGTTTTGTACTTGCAAAGCGTGATCTACCACTTGAGCCACACCTTTAGGCCATTAATGCACTGATTATATTGGAGATGGGGGTTCTCACCAATTATTTAGCCAGGCTGGCCTTGAACTGCAGTCCTCCTGATCTCATCCTTCCAAGTAGCTAGGATTATAGGTGTGAACCACCAGCACCAGACTGCTTACTTTTCAATAGGGTCTCGTGTTTATACCTAAGCCAGTCTAGACCAAGATCTTCTTATTTATGCTTCTTGTGTGATAGCTTTCTGCTGGTTGAGATAGGGGGGATTTATTTCTTTTTTGGGTGGCCTTGAACCACAATCCTCCTGATCTCCACCTCCCAAGTAGCTAGGATTACAGGCACGAGCTTAAAAAGCACTACTTTTAGCATGAAAAGGGAAATCTGAGGAAAAATTTGGGCCATGTGGGAATGAAACAGAAAGAGATCATAAGCTTCAGAATTAGTTTGTTGCAAATCTCATCTTTAGTCACTTACTACCTTTGTGACCTGGACAGGTTATTTAACCCTAATTTTTTCATCTATGGAAAAGGAATAATACTGCCTGTCTTTCAGGACCATAGGAAAATGGGAGATCATGGTATATAAAGGTCCAAGCAGAGAACAGGTGCTCAGTAAACGGTACCTACTGTGAATGTCATTTGTACACATGCATCGGTACTATGGTAATAGTATTGAGCATAAGTGACTATAGATATCTTTTGAAAATCTAGAGGGAAACTTGAATATACAGAATTTTCCCCTTCGGGTTGCCAAATTCTGACTTGCCAAAGGTTTGTAGACAACCCAAGAGGAGCAGAAATAGAAACATTGGATTTAAGCATGCATCAAAGTGAAGCATTTATAGCAAAGACAGAACAAACATTGTCTCCTTTGTAAAGCTGGGAGGAAATGAATGATACCCAGAGAAGAGTTTTGGAAGGGGAAGAGAAGAGTTGGTATTGAGTTCAGGTTCTAGGCCAAAATGTGTTGCTTCCAAAGGAAAAACTGATTGGAATTATAGAGTCCTCCTTAAGGGCCCATTCTTCCTCTTTATGGTGTCCATAATCAGTTGTGCAGAGTTTTTCATGACAGAATGCAGACTTCCTCATGTTCAGTGGTTCAGAATAGGGGGAGACATTCACCTTGGGAATGGTTTGCACATGATGGATAAGCTGTGCTAGTAAAGATTGCTCTCCTGTGCCTAACTTGGAAGGCCATATTTTATTAGGCTCCTGCAGAGATTAAGTGTGCTGTATCCTGAAAACCTTGAAGTAGTTGCCACAAGAAGGGAAAAGCAAGTCAGATGCATGGAATTTGGGGAAAGAAATTGAAATAGGTCCTATACATTGTTTCCCTTTAAGATCTTTGCCATCTTTGTTGGTATAGGAAGATGAAAATAGATGATATGTAATAATAGCTTCTGAAATGGACTAAGTTTGATATATTTAGGACATAATGAAAATTCCTGTCTTAGGAAAAAAGTACAACAACAGAGAAATCCAAGTACCAGAGGCTTCAAAAGTTTACTTCTGTGACACAGTAAAAACTAGCAGGCAGTTTTGCTTTGGTGGCTCCACAATCATCAAGAATGATTGCCCTTTTGCACTGCCATTCTCAAAATTTGGTTTTCGGTTTGTGGACAGATAGGTGCTTCATCTCATGCCACCATGTTCATACTTTTGGTGGTACTAGAGTTTGAACTCAGGCCTTGTGCTTGCTAGGCAAGCACTCTACCACTTGAGCCACACCCTCAGCCCCGTATTCAGCTTTCTTGCCAGTAGAAAGGAAGTAAAGGGAAACTGGAGGGAGGTATATGCCCCAAATTGGATTGACATCTCATCACTTCTCACATCTCTGTAGTCAGAAATGAAATGGCCATAGTGAGGTACAAGAGGGGTGGGAAATGTATGTCATTATCCTTTGTAGACTACCCCCAGTTAAAAACTGGGAACTCTGCTACTACAAGAGAGAAGGAGGTAGAGGGCCTGCGTAGCAAGTTCAGAGCCCTGAGTTAAAACCCCAGTACTGCAAAACAAAACAAAATAAAAATGAGAGAAGGAAAGAGGCCAGGCAGAATGGTGCATACCTTAATTCCCACACTTGGGAGACTGAAGGAAGAGGACCATGCATTTGAGACCAGCCTGGACTACATAGTTGGACCTTTTCACAAAATAAAAATAAAGAGTGACATAGAGAAGAAAAGAACAAATACTGGGATTCAGCTAAGTTTCTACTGCACCTCCTTCCCCATTTTTTTCTACATTAAGAAACTTCTTTCGTAGAAAAAAAGTTCATGCACAGAAAAGTTCTTGATTAGTAAGAAAGGTTTTTTTTATATCTCTGTATGTACAGGATGACTTCATCCAGCTCTGTGCCACAGAAACTCTCCATGTCCACGTCCCCTGCAGAATAAGGCTTCAGACAGAAGAAAAGAGATGTGGATATACAGTCAGCCAAGCCAGGGGAGCTAGAGGATTTCTTGTCTCTATTCTAAGTTAACTTGCTTTGGGTGTCAGCTCAGGATGTCCTGGAACTCAAGGTCATTTTGTCTTAGCCTCTCAAGTGCTGGGATTATAGATACCAACACACCTGTCCCTTTTCTTCTTCTTTCTTATACATACATAAAAAGTAGAATTGCATAATGAACCCATGTGCTTGTTACCCACTTTCAACAGTTTTTAACATTTTGCTACTCTTACTCCTCTTCCTAGAATATTTTAAAGCAAATCCCAGATGCTATTTAATGTCACTGATGATTAATTTTTGTTTGACTAACTGACCTAGGTTTTAAGAGCAAGGTCCTCTGATAACAGCCAAACGATGAAAACAGCAACAAGTGTTGGTCCTTTGGCTCTCCTCTGGTTACCACATAGCCTCATGAATTACCATTCTTCAGTTCATAATTATAAGAGTTCGTGTGAGCAGCCACCATTGTCTTAGCCAGGCATTTTATAAACTTATTCTTAATTTGCTTTATGATTTTATGGGGTAGATGTTACCCATGTTTTATAGATGAGGAAGCTAATGCTAAAATTCAAAGAAGTTAAGTAAGTTACCCAGCTACTAGTTAGTGAAACTGAACTGGGAAAACAGATCTGTATGCTCACAGAGATTTGTGCTCTTTTCCTCTGTTACACTGTGGCTATAACAGTTGATAAGGGGACCATTTTCTTCACATAAACCATATTGTCCAAGCACCTGGCAAATGTATTTTACCATTGTCAGTCTAGGAAAGAAGCCATGTGTGATTTAGTAATTATTTAATTAAAACATCACATTAACTACTTATATATGGCATATCATTTTGTTCTACCTCCTAAATGATCTAATGGGTTTTTAGACTTGAAAATTTTAGTAAAATAGAGAAAACAATAATTGATGTCCACATACTTTCTACCCCAAATTGACACATTTATATTTACTTTAGATCTTTTTTCTCCTAATGAAACATGAGTGATAAAGTCATAAATTTGGTATGTAGCCTTTTAGCCCATACTTTCATTACATAAATAGCTGTAGAGACCATGGAATGTTTGTGTTTGAAGGTATACATATTAAATACTTATTCTTAGCAGTCCCTTTTTTAACCCAGTATCTATTCAAAGTCTGTTTATGTAGGCATATAAAAATTCTCATTTTGGGCTACAGGCATGGCTTAAGTTGTAGAGTACCTGCATACCAAGTGTGAGCCCCTGAGTTCAAACCCCAGTACTGCCAAAAAAAAAAAAAATACCCTCATTCGTTTTCACTAGTGTATGATACTCCATTTTGTATCTTATACCACACATTATCCACTTGTCTATTCTACATGTTATAGACATTAATGTTACTAATTTTTTTTGTAGTTGCAAGTAGTGCTATCTTGCTCATTTTTGTATAAGTTCCCTTGAATACATGTATAAAATTCCTTTATATTCAGCTTAAAGTAGAATTTCTTCTACATTTTAGTAGAAATGCTAGTACCTCTCTGGAGTGGCAATACAAATTTACTTTCCTACCAGCAGTGAGCAAAAGTTCGTGTTTCATAGTACCCTCTACCCAATTCCTAATACTATCAAACTTTTAATAACTTCTTTTTTCCAATTTTATGGGTGAAAAATACTACTTACTATGTCTTTTGCATTTAGAAGGCAGATAATTTGCTTTTCTTTCAAGTTTGAACTCAGGGCCTTGCACTTGCTAGACAGGTACTCTTAACACTTGAGCTATGCTCCCAGCCCTTTTCCCTCTAGGTAGTTTTGAATAGGATCTCATTGTTTATACCCAGGCTAGCCTGGACTGCCATCCTTCTATTTATGTTTCCCATGTAGCTGGGATGATAGGTGCACACCACCATGTCCAGCTTTTATTGGTTGAGATTGGGTCTCATGAATTTTCTGCCTGCGCTGTCCTCAAACTGCAGTCCTCCTGATCTCCACCTTGCAAGTAGCTAGGATTGCATACATGAACCACCACACCCAGCTTGCATTTCTTCTGACCTTATGAAATTGTTTTGTTTACTTTGTGGTAAAAAGTTCTTTTTATGAAGTAAAATGCTGGGGAATGGGAAACTGTCCCAGTTTGCCATTAATTAAATTAGATCTTCTAATTTAACATTCATGGTTTACTTTGTTTTAAAAGAGCTATACAGCTGGGTGCTGGTGGCTCACACCTATAATTTTAGCTACTTAGGAGGCTGAGATCGGGAGGACTGAAGTTTGAGACCAGTTTGGGCAAATAGTTTTTGAGACCTCATGTTCAAAATAACAAAAGCAAAATGGGCTGGAAGTGTATCTCAAGTGGTAGAGTGCCTGCTTTGCAAGTATGAATCCCTGAGTTCAAACCCCAGTCCTACCAGAAAAGGTTAAAAAAAGCATAATATTTTCTTACTGAACAGAGTTCCCTCAGAACCAGATTTAAACTTTCATTATTTGGGTACTGGGGTCTTTTTTTTTTTTTTTCTTCAGTTAAGTATTACTTTTGTTCTTTTTTAATCAAATGTCTACCTTCAAGAGAGGAAAGATTAGAATAAAAAGATTAGAACTTTTCTTAAAAATCAGTTGGGAGAAGCAACACACAGTATGTTATATAATAAATGACATGAATTATTGAGAGTTCTAGAGATGAAAAGAAGAAATGAGCGTTGCAGATAGGGACAATACAGGAGAGGTTATGAAGAAGTGATACTTTGAAGTTTCTGTTGGAACTTAGCTTATATTTCTATGTGAAAATATTGTACAGTTTTTAATAATGTCAAATTTTAAATTACCTAAACATCCAGTAGGGGCTGGGAATGTAACTCAGTAGTAGAGTGCTTGATTAGCGTGTATGAGGCTTTGGTTTGATTCACAACACCACCAAAAAAAAAAAAGCCAGTGGTAGTGAAATGTTTACAGAGACTGTGGTATATATATTCTGATACATTATTATTTGGTCAGCTGAAAATGTGTTTGAAATATAACACTGGAAAATACTTGTAGTATTTTAAATATTAAGTATTTAAAAACTTTATGTACAGTGTGATCCCAATTCTTCATTTTAGAATATACATTAGAGCTGGGTAAGATGGTGCACACCTGTAATCCTGGTATTTGGGAAGCAGAGGCAGGAGAATTAAGAGGTAGTTCAGTTTTTTGAGGCCATCCTGAGCTACATATTAAGACCCTGTCTCAGAAAACCAAAACCAAACAAATAAAATGTACCCTGAAAGAAATTGGAAGTAAATATATTATAAATGTCAAGAGATTATTTCTGGATGAATAGAATTTTTTTTCTTTATACTTCGAGTGTTTCCCAAATTTTCTCATAAAAAAGCCTAAATACTTTATAGTCAAAGTTCTGAAAAATAGCTGAGATTAAGACAACAGTCCTTAAGATTTTAATATTATAATGTCCAAATTATAAGAGCTGTTTTTTCATATCTGTCCAGGCCTTTACTAGAACAGGGGCCAGTTTGTTTGTGAAGCTCTAAGAGAGACTATGAGAGTAGCAGTGCTCTAGACTATCTTGTGCTTTGAACAGGTTGTTGGGGTGCCAGTCGGGTCTACCTTACCTTCAACAGTGAAGCAGGCTGTGGCAATCAGTGGTGGCCAAATCCTTGTGGCCAAGGCCAGCTCTTCTGTTGCCAAAGCAGTTGGTCCAAAGCAAGTTGTGACCCAAGGAGTCGCCAAAGCAATTGTGAGTGGAGGTGGAGGAACCATTGTTGCTCAGCCAGTGCAAACCTTAACCAAGGCTCAGGTTACTGCTGCAGGCCCTCCGAAGAGTGGATCCCAGGGCTCAGGTAACTCATCCTAATTGGAACCCCTTTTAGCCACATCTCTGCCAGATTATCTTTTGCTAGTGATTTTATTTGGTATTTGAGTCTGACCAGGGAAGCCTAGTAGGTTGATGCTATCAGAATTTTATAAAATGTTTTTTTCTTTTTTGTGGAACATTTTACATAGTGGTTCATAAATTGTTTGATTTAAGTTTTATTACATTTACTATTTAAATGTGCAAGACTAATGAAAATCTAAAATATTTATTGATACTTCTTTCAAATCTAAAGAATAATTCTCATCTGTCCTTATCCCTACTTAGGTTGTATTTCAGACTTAATTAGTAAGATATTTAAAGAATATCATCCTTTAAATCATCTAGGAAACAAACTTAGTTTACTCTTTGTTATTGTTTTGAAATGAGTATTTTATCATTCCCTGTTTTTATTAGAGTGTTGCTCTCTCATAAGTTCCAATTATCTGTTTCTCCTCTTCCCCTTTCCCTTTTATCTCTTCAGTAATGGCAACATTGCAGCTACCAGCCACTAATTTGGCCAACTTGGCAAATTTGCCTCCAGGCACTAAGCTCTACCTTACCACAAACAGCAAGAACCCTTCAGGAAAAGGAAAACTACTGCTGATCCCTCAAGGAGCTATCCTGCGAGCCACCAACAATGCTAGTTAGTCCTTCATCAAATCATTTGGTCCTTAGGTCTCTGTGTGTGTTCATCTCTTCCTGTTCTAGGAAGTATTTCTATAAGTCTGTTCAGTGGTATAATGGTAGCACTTGCTCAGATAGGTTTAAAAGTACACATAATTTAATTAGTGTTTTTTAAATAATCATAGTCTTGGGCGGCAACACTGTTTTTGGGTTTTCCTATTCAGAATTTGGGATCAGGGATGGATCACACTGGAGAGGTCTGGCTATAGACTGTGTTGGGAGAAAGCTGTCTGGAGGATAATGTAGATGGACCTACCTGAAGGAAGGAGGTATATTTTCACCTTAAATAAGATGGAATAAGGTTGGAATGAAGTGTCTCTGTTTGCCATTATTTAGACATGTATATATTTTCTAGGTTTGGAGATGAAAAGAGAAATATGGACCCAACCTAAAATGTGTATGTCTTAAAGACCCAAAGAAATTAGGTAGTTTATCTTACATAAAGTTTTGTTTTGACATATAGAAAAAACAAAAACAAAAAAACCAGTGCAAGTGATGTTGAAAAGAGCAAACAAAATTATTTCCCTCTGAGTCAGAAGTAGAGTGTTACAGCAGTCAGGTTCATTAGAGGTAAACTACCCTACTCATTGTCAAACCACCTTGAATGTACCCAATTTCACATGATCCCAGAGACCAAGGAAAGTTAGACTTGGTTAGTACTTGAATAGGAGAAATGAGCCACCCCTGACAAATGTCAAAAAACTAGATATCCAACAAAAGAATAATGTAAGTATTCCAAAATGCCCCCAGAAAGCTACTTAGATTTTCATGATCTTCTCAAGATCAAAATAAACCATTGGGAAGGAATTTATCCCAATAATAATGGTCGCTGAAATAAGGTGAGGATTTCTAATATTTATTGAGTGAATATTTATCATCCAGGTAGTTCATATACATTACCTTACCAAAATGGAAGTTAAAAAGTTCCATAGGCTTTGAAGGAGGATGTGAAAAAGCCAAAAAGAATGGGACCCTGGAGTCATAAATGAATATTTGATTAAAACATTTGGCTAGAAAAATATTTCTCTGAATCTCCCATAACTAAGTGAAAACATTTGTCTTCTTTGTACTCAACTGGAATGGTCAGCTGCCATTCATTTGAAAATACAGATCGAGGACTGGTATAGAGTCTCAAGAGTTAGAGTGCTTGCCTAGCAAGTGTGAGGCCCAGAGTTCAAACCCCACTACTGCACCCAAAAAAGCAAGTACAGATTGAGGGTCCTCTGTCTAAAGTGCTTGGGACCAGAGGTATTTCAGATTTCACAGTTTTTTTGGATTTTGGAATATTTGCATAGACTTTACCAGTTGAGCATCCCTAATCCAAAAATCTGAAATCTCAAGTGCTGCAGAATTCAAAACTTTTTGAGTGTCATTTTGGTACTCAAAAAATTTTGGGTTTCAGATTTCCAGATGCTCAACCTATAGACCAGTTTCAAACTTTAAACTCTAGGAAGTTCTCACTCTTGTCATAGTATAGACAGATTACATTCAAAGAAGAAGAGTGGTATATGAGGAAGGCATCTCTAAGCTCAGCTTTTTTTTTCCATTGAGCTTTTCTTTGCTTGATATTTCTCATGATGTTACTGTCCCATTGCATTTGTAGACCTCCAGTCCAGCTCTGCTGCTACTGCTGGTGCAGGAGGAGGGGGAGGTGGTGGAGGCGGCAGTGGAGCAGGAGGAGCCCAAAGTGCCACCAGCCCTGGAGGGATCTCCCAGCACCTGACTTATACATCCTACATCCTCAAGCAAACTCCTCAGGTCTGCTCGTTTGTGCTCGATCTTGTGATTGGCCTGTTTGATAATTGCTTTTAATTTTGGTTGGCTTAACCTTTACTACTCTAGAATGGAGTTCAATACTAACATATTAGCCATATTACAGATATTTATTATTTGGGGCTTGTTTAATATCGAGACATGAGGAAATAGATTCAGGAATACATATATCTAAGACCTCCCTGTTAAGCTAATAGTAAAGTTTTAGTTTAAACTTAGATCTTTCTACCTCAAAGAAATTTTTCCACTATGTTAATTGCTTCCCAAATCCATGAAGTAATAATCAATAGTGGTGTGTAACTGAAATTTTGCTCTCAGAAGGTGATAATCAAAGAACGATTCTCAAGGTGTATTATTTGGAGTTAGGTTGGATTCAGTAAGGAGCTGGTTCCCACCTTCTCCCTTGTCCCTGAAGTCTCACTTTTCTTTAAGAGATGTAATAGGGTTTTGGTTCCAGACATTATTGAGAGATTGATGATTATCAATCTCAATGATTAAGTCTAGATTGCAAACATTGAGTGTTCAGCATCCTGCTATGTAACTATTGGGCAAAGTTTGAGAAATGGGGATTCTTAGAGCTGACTGACTCTTAGTTATTTTGACTGAGTTGTGTGATGAAGGGGAAAGCATTGTAGTGTGTAACTTGGGACGTGATTGAAAGCATCAGAGCAATCCATTTGAATTTATTTAGTTTTTGGTTAATTCTCCCCCTAAACTCCCTTTTAGGGGACATTTTTAGTTGGCCAGCCATCACCCCAGACATCTGGAAAACAACTGACTGCTGGGTCAGTGGTGCAAGGAACGCTGGGAGTCAGCACATCACAGGGACAACAGACGTTAAAAGTCATTTCTGGACAGAAAACTACTTTGTTTACACAGGTAAATTCATACCCGAATACACTCAAGATGTGATGATGGTAGCATTCAATTATATTTGTAGCTTCTCTCTACGCACATTCTAGGAAGTTCTGAAGAAGTTTAAGTTACATAAGAAAATAAACAATAAAATATTATAGAAGAATAAGAATAAATCTTGAGGTTTTGGAAAAAATAAGAATGAAAAAAATAAAGCCAAGGAATATTCAGATATGCAAATGGTAGAAATCTGTATATAGAATTAATAAAATGAGGTATAAATTTGGCAGCAAAAAGCAAAATGAGCATGATTGGTTATAAAATCACACTAGTTAGTATGTATTTCCTTAGAAGAACAAAGGTTTTTTTCTTTTGGTGGTGGTACTAGGGTTTGAACTTAGGGCCTCACACTTGCTAGGCAGGTGCTGTACTGCTTGAGCCACCCTTCCAGACCATGGCAAAGATTTCTTGATTATTTATGCATTTTCTTCAGAAAGACTTCATATAAGAGACCTTGAGTAACATAGTAGACAATTTCAGATGCAATGTCCAGACATAAGGGCTGTAACACTTACAGTGGGTTTGAACAATATTTCTACATCATTCTTTAGGATAAACCAAAGAATGACAGAATTTTGACTGGGCGAGCTAGATCTCCAAAACTTATCAAATAGAATCCACAGGGTACTGTTCACATTTTCTGTATCTGTATATAGGTCAGCATTTCTCAGAATATGGAATATTAGGTCTTTTGTCAAATAGTCACATTTTCTGTGTCTGTTGAGCTGATCATATGGTTTTTCTTTTTTTAGTTTGTTAATTATATTGATTGATTTTTTTTTTCTTAATGTTAAACTAACCTTGCATTCCCAGGATAAACCTCACTTGGTTGTTATGTATTGCCCTTTGTTAATACATTGTGGGGTTTAATTTGATGAGATTTTGTTCAAAATTTTTGTATATGATGATGATCAATAAGTTTTCTTTAAAATTTCTGTCTGATTTGGTTAGCTCCAGGTTGAGATGAAGTCTCTCAAACTTTTTACCTATGCTGGCCTCAAACCTCAGTACTCTTGATCATTGCCTCCTGATTAGCTAGGCATGAATACAGGCATAATTGTTTCTGTTTTCTTGGGGTGCTAGGGGTTGAATCCAGGGCCTTGTGTGTGCTAGGCAAGTGTTCTACCACTGAGCTACATCCCTTGGTCTAGTACTTCTGGATTCTAATTGTGACTTCTCTAGTTACTGGCCATGTGACACTGCTATAGTCACCAGGCTTAATCTCCTTATCTCTAAAATAGGACTGAAATCTGCCCTATAAAGTTAATGAGAAGAATCACTTATGAAGGACATTGATACATATAAGTGCTTTCTGCCATTCTGGTACTTAGTAAGCTGTTAGAAACTGGAAAATGGCATCTACTTCTGATTGGCATTAATTTGGGGTATTAATCATTTAGATGAGGGATCTAAAACTCAAGGCTTTCTGGTTTTGTGAATAACATTTTATTGGAACACAGCCAACCCATTTCATGCTATTTTAGTGACAGAGATTATATTTTCTGCAAAACCTTGATTTAGATTATTGAGATGGTTCTCCAGGGCTAATGTGCTAAGCCTTTATCTACCTTAGAGTACCATTAACTTCTTCCATTGCTTGGAATCTAGCCCTGTGTCTGGGTTTGAATGAATTTATTTATTTATTTATTTATTTTGGCAGCTCTGGGGTTTCTTTGAATTCAGGGTCTTATACTTGCTAGGCAGGCACTTCTACTTGAGCTGTTCTGCCAGCTCTGTTTTGTATTGGGTGTTTTTGAGATAGGGTCTTGAGCACCATTTGCCTGGTGCTCTATCCTCCCGATGTCTGCCTCCTGAGTAGCTAGGATTACAGTTGTGAGCCACTGGTGTCTGGCTTGAGTTTGATTTTGATGTTTAGAGAGGACTTCAGACTCAATTATTGTGAAAATAAATTTTTGAAGTTATTATTGTTGCCAAATAGTAACTTGCAAATGTATTAGTGGTAAAGGAACTTTTGTAGGTCAAAGATCATAGGCTTGTTGGAAAGGATCATAAACACCTCATATAGACCTGATTAAGAAAACTTCCTTGGATATGCTCTCAGACGTAGATAAGGAATAAGTTGTTATTCCTTCTACCCATTTTGTTTTCATAGGCAGCCCCTGGAGGACAGGCATCTCTAATGAAAATATCCGATAGCACTTTGAAGTCTGTTCCAGCCACTTCACAACTCTCAAAGCCTGGAACCACAATGCTTCGAGTAGCAGGAGGAGTTATCACAACTGCTGCCTCCCCTGCAGTGGCCCTCTCAGCAAATGGTCCATCACAACAGGTGAGAATTAGCATAGCAGTAGAAAATCATGATGAAACATGAAAGTCGGATAAACAAGGAAGCTATCCAGCAAGCACACCAGTGGACCTTTTTAAAAATTGAACTATTCTTTTTTTAAAAATTGAGATGTAATTCACATATCGTAAGATTTTTCTGTTTGTGGTAAATAGCGGTTTTTATTGTATTCATAGGCTTGTGCAACTCTAATGATCTAATCTCAGAACATTCTTGTTGTTCCACAAAATACCCTATGCCCATTACCATTACCAGTCACCCTGACCCCTTCTTTCCCCAGCACTAGGCAACTACTAGTCTTTTTCTTTTTTTGTTTTTTTACAAATTTTTGTATTTGAGATGTTGCATGTAAAGGTAGTCAACATGTGGTTTTTTTGTGTCTGGCTTCTTTGGTTTAGCTTAACATTCTCAAAGTTCATCATACTGTAGCATGCATCAGTACTATATTCCTTTTTATAGTTAAATACTGTTCTTTCAAGTTTATGTGATATATCACATTTTGTTTATCATCAGTGATGAGTATCACATTTGAACTCAGGGCCTCATGCTTTCTAGGCAAGTACTCTATCACATGAGCCATGCCCCAGTCCTTTTATCTTTAGTATTTTTCAGATAAAGCCTCAAGTTTTTACCCTGGGGCTCAGACAGCAATACTCTCCTACTTACAGCCTTCCACATAGGTAGGATCACAGGTGCACCACCGTGCCCAGTTTATGGATTGAGATGGAGCCTCACTAACTTTCTTTTGCCGGGTCTGGCCTTGTGCGGAAATTCTTCCAAGAAGCTGAGATTACAGGAAGCTGCTGCTCCTGGCCTGTTTTCTACTCTGACTATTACAAATAATTCTGCTGTAAACATTTATGTATACATTTTTGTATAAACATATATTTTCATTTCTCTTGTCTGCCTGGTTAGGAATAGAATTATTGGCTATAATAACCTAATATAATACCCTATATAACTATAGGGTAACCAGTATTTATCATTTTGAAGAATTGAAGCAGCTGTACTATTTTTATATTACCACCAGCAATTTGTGAGGTTTCCACTTTTTTCTTTTTTTTTTAAATTATTTTATTTATTATTTTATTATAATTATTTTATTATTATTTTATAATTATTTTATTATTCATATGTGCATACAAGGCTTGGGTCATTTCTCCCCCTGCCCCTACCCCCTCCCTTACCACCCACTCTGCTCCCTCCCTCTTCCCCCCACCCCCTCAATACCCAGCAGAAACTATTTTGCCCTTATTTCTAATTTTGTTGTAGAAAGAGTATAAGCAATAATAGGAAGGGACAAGGGTTTTTGCTGGTTGAGATAAGGATAGTTATACAGGGAGTTGACTCACATTGATTTCCTGTGCGTGTGTGTTACCTTCTAGGTTAATTCTTTTTGATCTCACCTTTTCTCTAGTTCCTGGTCCCCTTTTTCTATTGGCCTCAGTTGCTTTTAAGGTATCTGCTTTAGTTTCTCTGCGTTAAGGCAACAAATGCTAGCTAATTTTTTAGGTGTCTTACCTATCCTCACCCCTCCCTTGTGTGCTCTCGCTTTTATCATGTGCTCAAAATCCAATCCCATTGTTGTGTTTGCCCTTGATCTAATGTCCACATATGAGGGAGAACATACGATTTTTGGTCTTTTGGGCCAGGCTAACCTCACTCAGAATGATGTTCTCCAATTTCATCCATTTACCAGCGAATGATAACATTTCGTTCTTCTTCATGGCTGCATAAAATTCCATTGTGTATAGATACCACATTTTCTTAATCTCCACTTTTTTCCACATCCTTATTCACACTTATTCTTGTCTTTTCCTTTTTAAAATCACCATCTTAGTGGATATGAAATTGGTATCTCATTGTAGTTTTGATTTGATATTCCCTGACAATGATACTGAGAATTTTTTTATGTACTTACTGGTCATTTGTATATCTTGGGAGAAATATCATTCAGATCCTTTGTCCATTTTTAAGTTGGGTTATTTATCTTTTTATCATTGATATGTTGGAGTATTTTATATATTCTATATAAGTCTCTTACCAGATGTATAAAAGTTTTCTCCCATTCTGAACTGTCTTATCATTTTCTTGATGGTGTCCTTTGAACCACAGAAGTCCAGTTTACCTATTTTTCTTTTGTTGCTTGTTCTTTTGTTGTCACAGCTAAGAAGCCATTGCTAATCCAAGCTCACAAAAAAAATTTTTTTTGGTGCTGGGGATTGAACCCAGGGTCTTGTACATGCTACCACTGAGCTACGTGCCTAGCCCCCAAGGTCACAGAGTTTCAGCCTGTGTTTTTTCTTTCTTAAGTTTAGGTCTTTGTTCTATTTTGAGTTGACTTTTGTTTATGTTGTGATGTGGGGACCAAATTTCCTTTTTTCATGTGTAAATACCCAGTTGGCCCAGCAACATTTGTCAGAAAAACTGTTTCCCCTCCACATTATCTTGGAATTCCGAGGACTTTTATGATCTGACTGCTTACTTCTCAAGGCTTATAGCCTATAGCTGCTACTTCTCCTCATGTGCAGACTTACTAGTCACCACACTCTACTTTGAAACATGCAAAGGACTTTGTATGTGCTCTCTTCTTTCAGCTCTTCCTTTCTCCCCTAACTCTAAAAGGGTCTGGTCCCATTGTCTTACCTGAAACTTTCTCCAGTGCCCTCCTTTTTGCATCCGTAAGAAGCAGTATCCTCAGTTGTGTCGGTGCCATACACCTGTGCCTGCTATCATAGTCACACACTTGGCGACCCTCCCCTCCTTGATGACATTTATTTCTGATTATGTTTTACATTGAATACTGTGCCCACCAAGTAGTAGATGTGTTTTGAATGACGTGACAGACTTTAAAACCTTGTAGTGAATTTTTAATAAAGCTCATTTTGTTTCACGTTTACATCCTAAGAATATGTCTTCCTACATTTTTTGTGTTGAAATAGTCTTTTATAAAGTGGTATAATAGGTGGTGAATTTTTTTAACGTGGTAACCCTACAACATTCCCTCGTTTTCCTGATTTATGAAATCTAACAGTATAGGAAGCACTGAACTAGACAAGCCATCTTTTTTTTTTTTTTCCACTGTCAAGACATTTAACTAATAGGCAATAACTAAAAATTGGTATTTATTGAGTATGTTGTATGGCAGTCACTGCTTTAAGTAAGTTACACTGCTGTCTTAATTTCTTCATTTCTGGCTGTGTGGGTAAGCAGTCTGAAGGAACAGCTCCCAGTTCATCATCTACTATTGGTTCTGTAATGAAAAATGCTGGGCAACCCCAAGTGTGTGTGAGCCAGGCCGCCGTGGGAACCTGTAAGACTGCGACTCCCACTGTCGTCAGTGCCACGTCCCTGGTGTCCACACCAAACCCCATCTCCGGGAAAGCCACAGTATCAGGTCAGACTATGATATTCCTGCTTTCTTTGTTTCTCTCATTGAGCTAGAATATTTTTGGAATGTCTTAATGTTACATATGATAAATTATTAAACAATCCAGAAATATTTTCCAAATAGCTCCCTCTCCTTTTCTGAACAAGTTTTTAGCATGCAGTGCCTGAAGTCTCCTTGCTTTAAGTTTTAGTTTCATAAGGTGCTGCTGATAAACTTTCTGTATGACTTTTTTTTTAAAGGATCAAGTTATTTCCTACAGGCCACTGGCAGTTTTTTAATTGTGTGCATTTTGATCTATTTCACATAAGGTCACTAGTGAAACTGGAGTGAGCCAAGGAGAGTGGTAGGTGAGCAGAGTACATAGGGCTGTGTAGGTCACTGTAAAGATTTGGGCTCTGACTTTGGGGGAACAGTGCAAGGGTGTTGAGCAAAAGAGCAGTGACCTGCTTTGTCTGTCTTTAAAAAGGATCCTAAGTGCAGAACTGAGAGTAAACTAGAGGAGTACAGGTAGAAGCAGATCAAGGAGTGGACACTAAGAAAGAAAATTTGAGTATCAGAGAGCCCCAGCCAGTCCAAAAGGAGTTCCAGTAAGAAAATAGGGGAAGAAAATGATCCATAAGTGAAGCAAGAATTTTCTCTGGAATGGAAAGCTGTAAACTTCAGATTGAAAAACTCATTGTCCAGCACAATAAACAAAAGATGGCCCACACCCCAGGAAAGCAGAACACCAGGTATAAAGATGTTAAAGGAGAAATAGAAAAATTAGAAGAAAATTAAAGGAGAAATAGAAAAATTTAGAAATTGCATTATGTTACCATCAGGTTTCTCCATTAGCAATACTGGGAGCTAGTGTATTGCTTTTCAAAATTTTAGGGGAGGGCTGGAGGCATGGCTCAAACAGTAGCTCACCTGCCTAGCAAGTGTAAAGCCCTGACTTCTAATTTCAGTACTGAGAAAAAAAAAAAAGGAAAGAAAAAATCCACACTATATTAGAATACAGGAAAGAGAAAATGAAAGTGTCTCACAAATTATCTACGTAGTAGATGAGATGGAGTAGGTCAGGGCCACAAAAATTGATGAACCAGTGCTTGTAATATACCTGTTCTTTTAAAACTACAGAAGCAAATTTAAAAAAAAAAGGATCAAAAGTGGGCTGTGGAGGAGGAGGGATGAGGGAAAACATGGAGTGAATGTAATTGATACATTGTAAGCTCATGTGTAACATATGTCACAGTGTATCCCCCTGTGCAATTATTATATGCTAATAAAAGGTTTTTTTTAAAAAGGATCAGGCTGGGCGTCAGTGGCTTGCATGTGTAATTCTAGCTACCTAGCTACTCGGGAGGCAGAGATCAGGAGGATCTCATTTTGAGGCCAGCTCAGGTCGTTCTCCACCCACTCCCCCCCAAACCCCCCCCAAAGAAAAGAAAAAAAGTAGTGAGACCCTGTCTCAAAACACCCACTGTCAGAGTGACTCTCTGGCTAGAGCACCTGCCTGGCAATCCTGAAGCCCTGACTTCAAACTGCAGTGCCACAAAAAAAGTGAGCTGGATACTTTGGCTCAAGCTGTAATCCTAGATACTTGGGAGACAGAGATCATGGTTTAGGGCCAGCCCATGCAAAAAGCTCGTGAAACCCCATCTTAAGAAAAAAAGCTGGACATGGTGGTATATACCTGTCACCCCAGCTATACCATAAATAAGAGGATAACAGTCCAGGTTTGCCTGGGCATAAGGTGAGACCCTATCTCAAAAATCATTGCACAAATGGCTAAGGGAGTGGCTCCAGTGCCTGCCTAGCAAGCAAGAGACCCTGGAATCAACCCCCAGTACCACCAAAAAAAAAAAAAAAATAGAACCACAAGAGTTAAATCTGGATGGTACTGAGAATAGGGAGGTGGAACAATGGTTGGCAGTCTTTAGTTATCTTTTTTACTTTTCATCTCCTTAGTATATAACATTTTGATAAAAACAATTTTTAATCCTGTTTTTATTTTGTTTTTGATGGCACTGGGGTTTGAACTCAGGGCCTCATGCTTGCTAGGCAGGTGCTCACCACTGAGCCACTCTGCTAGCCAAAAAAACTTTTAAGAATTTTTTGAAGTACAAAAACACCAGGACATTGTTGTATTCTGTCCCAGTAAGCATTACTGCTTTTTTGATACTATTATGTTCTCGTACTTGGGATACATTGTGACATTTACAAAAGTTCTTACAATAGATCAGATAAATTCATCCTCTCCATCATTCTCCTTTATCCTCCTCTCCCTCCATTCCTGGAATATTTTCAATATATCTCATTTTTCCATTTAGTGCTTACTACTTGGTAGATGTAACAACAGTCCTCTGTTCCAGAAAATTTTCCTGTTTACTGAAGTTTGATCTAGGATGTATTTCAAGCTAGCTGCTTTCTTTTAGGAGCTTCCTGTAACCTAAGATGCTGTTTTTAGTATTTGTTATCATGTTTGTGTTTGTATCTGGTGTGCCTTCACACTAAAAGCCCTTTGCAATTTTTTTTTCTTGGCCCTCCAAGAAATTGTATAATGCAAATGGGACCATGGAAATTACCTTTATAATAAAATGACTGACCCTCTCTAAAGTGATAGAGAAAATTTGATGTTTCAAGAATAAGGGCTACACACAGATAGGAAATTGGGCTGGTGGAGTGGCTCATGTAGTAAGAGTGCCTGCCTAGCAAACATAAAGCCCTGAGTCCAAACCCCAGTACCACCACCAAAAAAAAAGGAAATGTATGTTATGGTATGTAGATGGAGAAGTATAGATGTGTAGCGACAGTGTGAAAAAGATACGGGTAAATAGGAACCAGATTAAAATGGACAGTGAAATGATTTGGAGCCAACTTTTGGAAGTATTCTTTAGGCCATCAGGAGCCAAGATAACTTTTAAGTAGGACAGTGACAGTTTTCTACATCAAAATACAAAACTTTTTACCCAGATGTGTATATCACAGCTGTGTACAAAACAAATAAATTATAGAAAACAAACATGGAAAAGACCTATCTTATGCTTCCACCTCCTGAATGCTGGGGTTAACAGATGTGCACCACCATACCTGGCTTCCTTTTTTTGTTAGTCATGCATTTGCAAAATTTCCTATATTTCTTTATGGTTGAGAGGCAAGGATACTTTTTTAAAAACTTGTAATGTCACATCAGTGTCTCATTGTGAAATCTTCAGCCTCCATTGCCTCCTGCTTCCTGCTCTTTTTTACTGAAAGAGTGAATGTCCTGGGAACTTCATCCTGGGAGAAAATAGGACTGGCCAAGAGGGCAAGAACTTGAAGGAAGCATCTGATCTTTAGCAAGGCCTTATCTTCCAACTTACTTTAGGATTGTTAAAGATTCACTCCAGTCAGTCCAATCCCCAGCAGGCTGTCCTGACAATTCCCAGCCAGCTCAAACCACTCAGCGTAAACACTTCTGGAGGTGTGCAGACTATCTTGATGCCTGTGAACAAAGGTAAGTCCATCACCAGGGCCTGTCACCAGGGCCTGTCACGCAGGCCCGTCTTGGGGAAAGTCGACGATCTACCAGATGGCGATGGCTCTTGCCTGTACAGCGTGTCCTTTAGCTATTAAGGCATGCTCTGCCACCTTGAAGTTGGGGGCTAAAAATAAAACTCAAATCACTGTTTGTTTCTAAGTAGCTGCCTAATTATAAAGGAGGAACAGCTTAACCATTTGTGAGAGTTTAGGTTAATTGGATTTTTATTTTCTTAGTTTGCTAACAAGCCTCCATTTCCATAATTAAGGATATAGACTAGTTACCCTGGTACCAGTAATAAAAAAATCCAGCTTGTCAGATGAAAAAAGGACCTTACCGTTCCCATTGTCCTGAGTTCCTGCTATTTATGTAAAATGGGTCTTTCACGTGGGAGTTAAGTTAGATCATCATCATAAAAAATAATTTCTGGGACTGGAGATATGGCTCAAACAAGAGAGCACCTGCTTTGTAAGCTCTAAGCCCTGAGTTCAAACACCAGTCCCTCCAAATAATAATTTCTGTCTCTGTTGTATCCCCCTCCTGTTTTGTCCTCTAGTGGTTCAGTCATTTTCTACCAGCAAATCACCTACTGTTCTGCCTATAGCTGCCCCAACTCCAGCTGTCCCCAGCTCTACTCCAGGAACTGTTGCAAAAGGTATGGATCTCATGGTATTTTTGTGGGGGACATTACTATAATTTGAGTCCTGTGAAATTTCATTATCAGAAACAAATCAGTCACTTTGCAAATACGTACTTTCATGTCTCGTTCACATTGAGAGAAATTCAAGAATTTATAATCAACTTGAAGAGAGTTATAGTTGCAGCAAGCAGTGATTGGTAAAAGCAAGCTAAGTGGCCTGGAAAATGATTGCTATAATATTACAGTCTTAAGATGTCTGATCAGGGATGTTCGAGGTAGGAGTTTGTAAGGGAATAGGTTATAAATGGGACTTTAAGGAGTGGAGTTTTTCCCCTGTGGAGAGGTCAAGGGGTATGCCAGATTTAGGGAGCAGTAGAGGTATTCAGGGGGCTTATTTGGGGAAGTGGAACAATTAGAGACACATTTGGGGACCATAGGTCAAGGAGCTTTTAAGTAGGAACCAAATTTAAGCAAGCTGGCAAAGGGACATTCCTGATCATAAGAATAGATCATTATCCAGTAATAATGACTGCTACCATGTGTTCAGAACCTACAGTGTATATATTATATACATATGTATTGTGTGTATATGCACATATATACATACATACATATATATTTCAGTACTTCAGCATAGCTATTAAGCCCATTTTACAGGTGAGGAAACAAATTTGGAGATACTTGTTATCTTGGGATATTCTTCCCAAGTCTAGAAAGGTAGAAAACATTGAAGTTGGGACTTGAAATATGTCACTGCTGTGCCGAGCTGCTTTTCAGGCACTTCAGAACCTCATCTCAGCCTCCCAAGTAGCTAGATTACAGGCATTAGCCACCAGCTTGGCTCTTATGGCTCTTATGAGTCTTGGGAAGAGGTGGATTTGTAACTTATTAAATGCTAATAATCAGAGTTTGGCTGATTTGGGTCTGCTGTCTGTTTTTATAAGCAAAGCTTTATTGGCACATAGCGACAGCCATTCATCAATATACTGTCTTACAACCAGAGTGTTGTTCCCACAGAGATCATATGACCTACAAAGCCTAAGTTGTTTACTAATTAGTCCTATATAAGGAAACATTTGCCAACACTTGATTGAAAAATGACTTATGAAGCTGAGCGCCAGTGGCTCATGCCTGTAATCCTAACTTGTTGGAAGCCTCAGATTGGAAGAATCTCCATTTGAGGCCAGCCCCAGCAAATAGTTCAAGAGACCCCCATCTTCAAAAGAAGTAGAGCAAAATGGACTGGAGGTATGGCTCCCTGCGTTCAAACCCCAGTCCTACCAAAAAAAAAAAAAATCACTTTTGAAAGAATTGGTGTCTCGACAGATTTCTCAGTAGGAAGTATATCTGTCATAGACCTGCCTTGTACAGATTCTGATTCATTTAATTTGGGGCTAGGCCAGAGCAGTTCTGGTTTGATTTTAATTGAAGCAAAGTGATAGGTAGTGAACTGCAAAGATACTAAGCAAGCCATTTGATAAATGTATAAACCCATGAAACCAACATCCCATTCAAGATACAGACATTTCTTTGATCCATGCCTCTTATAGTCAATTTCCAGTCTTTACAGCCAACCACTTTTCTGATTTATGTTACCATAGGTTCTTTCTTTCTTTTTTTAGTTTTTAGCAAGGATTTATTTTAGTGTATAGAAGGAGAAAATAGGGGGAAAAGGACGAAACATTTCCTGTTCCTCACAGAGGAAATGTAAGTACAGACTACAGTTGTGCCAGGTGCCACTGACTCATGCCTGTAATCCTAGCTGCTTGGAAACTGAGATCTGGAAGATCAATGTTCCAGGCCAGTCTGGGCAAATAGATCATGAGACCCCATCTCCAAAATACGCTGAGCAAAATGGACTGGAGGTGTGACTCAAGCAGTAGAGTACCTGCTTCCCAAGCATGAAGCCCTGAGTTCGCACCCCATTCCCAACAAAAAAGAAAGCAAAAAACTCTGGTTGTTTCTATTTTTGAACTTTTCAGAAATGAAAGTGCATACATTCTTTTGTGTTTCATGCACTCAGCATAATTTTGAGAGTCTTCCATGTTGGTCCTGAGTAGTAGTCTACATTGGAGGAATGCACTATAATTTGTCTTTTTTCCTATTGAGGGACAATAGAGTTGTTTCCAATTTAGGATTACTATGTATAAATCTTAGAGAACATGTACTCATTTCTTTAATAGAAGAGCTGTCTTAACATGAAATTGCCATGATTATATAATTCTGTAATTGTTCGAATGCCAGATTAAGTGGATATATTTGAACCTACAGAACAGTGTCTGAGCTCTTTCAGAGGACTTCCTCCTATTTCTTGAAGTCTCAGACTCATTAGGGGTTGGGGAAATGTGTACTACTGGCAGTGAAGTTAGCAAGGTCATTTAATACTCATTTACAAGGGACTGTAAGTTGATACTACAAGTCAATATACCTTGGAAAGTCATTTGATTTTCTATAGAAAGTGAATTTTTTTTCTTCAAGTACTGGGATTTGAACTCAGGGCTTCATACTTTCTAGGCAGGCACTCTGCCACTTACACCACTCTGCCAGCCCTTTTTGTGTTGGGTATTTTGAGAGAGAGTTTCTCAAACTATTTGGCTGAGCTGGCTTCAAACCATGATCCTCCTGATCTTTGTCTCTGGAGTAGCTAGGTTTGTAGATGTGAGCCAGCAACACCTGGCTACAAAGTGAAATTTAAAGAAAACATTTATAACAGTAACAAAAATCAAATATCAGTTAATAAAAATAAGGAAATATGGAAGAATCTACTAAAACAATGGTAGATTACAGAACTAATCTACAGTCTAATTTTTGAGAGAAATTAGGACTTACTATTTGAACAATGATATATTATCAGTTCTTCATAGATAATGACATACATTCAGTATGGTCCCACTCATAGTCCATATAGTATTGCTGGTGGTCATTTGCATTTCTAAAGTCTGAAATATATATGTAAATGAAAAATCCTAAAATAAAATAGCCAAAGCCAGGCTCGGTGGTGTGCACCTGTAGTCCCAGTACTCTGGAGTCTAAAGCAGGAGATAGCCAGTTCAAGACCAGCCTGGGCTATCCTGTCTTAAAAGTTAAGTAAATAATTAATTCATAGCAAGATAGTCTCGAGCAAAATAATCAGGAAGACTTTAGCTTATCAGACATAGTTACTATAAAGCTACAGTATTTGGCAGTATTAGGGGTGTGAACTCAGGGCTTCATGCCTGCAAGACAGGCATTCTACCACTTGAGCCACACCTCTAGTAGCTACAGCATTTGAAGTAGTCTAGTATTGGCTTAAGAATAGACAGATTCATGTAACAGAAAAATAAAGCCCAGAAGTAGACTCATATATACTTGGTAACCCAATTTATAACTGATTCAGTAGAGGAAAGATATGAGGTCTTTCAGTAAATAGCACTGGGTTAAGTGAATCTACTTGGGAAAACAAGGAATCTCAACTCCTACCTTATACCATTAAAAATTAACTTGAGTTGGATAATAGAGCTACATGTGAAATGTTAAAAAAAAAAAAATGACTTGTAGAAGAAAACGTGAGAATATCTTCACAGCTTTTCAAACAAGACAGGAAAAATAAAAATAAAAAAGTGGTAAATTAGACTTTATAAACATTGGGAACCTCACTTTATCAAAGGACATTAAATGAGCAAAAGGTTAAGCCACACACTTCAAGATGTTTACAGTACACATATCAAACAAATCATATCCAGAATATATAGTCATCTCTTAAAAATTAATATGAAAAAAACTGACAAACAGCATCCATCTTATGTTCAGTTTATCCACTTCTAGGAGAAAAGAGTATATTGACCAAAAGACATGGCAAGAGTTGCACTGTTGCTTCTAACAGCTAAAATGATGCTGACACAAAAGAGTATGCACAGTGTGATTCTAGGACTATGAGATTCAAAATGGACAGAAGGTGGACATACTTGTCTTTGTCAGAGAGGAACTGCCAGAGGCCAGTGGGCTACATCTTCATTTGAGTGATGGGTATTCAGGTATATGCATACATAAAATTTACTGAACTTAACGTTTACTGAATGCACGTTACGCATCAATAAAAAAGAAAAGGGGGGAGATGGATATCTCACTTTTAGACCCTTGTTTTATGGAGAGTTATTGAAGAATATTGAATAGGGGAATGACATGTAGGAAGTCTTTTGGGAGAAGTGTGGATATACAGGTGTATTATCAGGGGAAGAGAGTGGAGGCAGGGAAACTGGTACAGAAGAATTAAGTGTGTTGTCATGGTATTTTGATCAAGGAAGACATCGAAGGAAAGGGAAGCCTGTACACCTGATACATTGCTATCTTCTGTCAGTAGATTTAGTACAAGTTGGGTATCCTTTATCCAAAATGCTTTGGACCAGAAGTGTATTGATTTTGGGGTTGGTTGGTTGTTTTTTGAGGATATGGTATTTGCATATATATGATGAAGTATCTTGGGGGTGGGGCTAAACATGAAATTGATTTATGCTTTATATATACCTTATATACATTACCCTGAAGGTAATTTTATACAGTACTTTTAATGGTTTTGTATATGAAACAGAGTTTCATGGTGTGAGTTTTTCTACTTAATGGCATCATGTTGGCCAACCTAGGCAGAAACATTTGGGAGATCCCATCTCAACAGAAAATAGCTGGACTGGGCGTGGGAATACCTATCTGTCAGCCCATCTAGGCGGGAATTCTAAAACAGGCCGGCATGGACAAAAAACAAGACCCTATCTCCAAAATAACCAAAGAAAAATGGGCTAGAGGCATGGCTCACATGGTAGAGTGCCTGCTTCACAAGTCCTGAGTTTAAACTTTTATCACCAAAAAAAAAAAAATTCAGCTTAATCAGGTTTAGAAATTTCCAGGTACACCAGACTGATTTTTGCTCTCTGCATTGTGTCTCAGAACACTAGAGTAATGCTGAAAGTCAGTAAGCTTGGCTAGAGAAATGATTAAATGGTCATAATATTAGGACTTAGAACAGCTGGCTTTTTTTTTTTTTTTCCAGTAGTTGGGGTTTGAATCCAGGGCCTTGTGCCACTCCACCTTTTTTTGTGAAGGGTTTTTTTGAGATGGGCTCTCATGAATTACTTGCCCAGGGCTGGCTTCGAACTATGATCCTCTTGATCTCTGCCTTCTGAGTAGCTAGAATTATAGAACATGGGCCATTGGAGCCAGCCAGCTTGCATATTTTATTACATTATTCAGCCCTATGGGGGGTGATGAGAGAAATCTTGCATAGCAGTGTGGGTGTCCCTTTAAGAAATTTGTAAAAAAATCATTTTATTCCCCTCGCCTTCTCTTGAGCCTGGAATTGCTTCCCCCCCCCCCGAGACCCAAGCAAACAGTTCTTCTCTTGTGTGCTGACCCTGTAATGACAGAAGCCATCCCAGTCTCCTGGCTGTGTCCCCATAGCAGCTAGAGTAGCAGTTTGCTTGCTAAGCTTCAGTGGAATTGGTTTGGCTTTGTTTCCATCTACACGAGTCCTTCCACCACTGAGCCCTGACAGCTCTCTTTGTTGCTCTTCCCTTGTAGTGAAGACTGAACCAGAAACTCCTGGGCCAAGCTGCCTGTCACAGGAGGGTCAGACAGCGGTGAAAACAGAAGAAAGCTCTGAGCTGGGAAACTATGTCATTAAGTAATCATTCTAGTCCCTTTCTAAAGGGTTCTGCTTTGGTTATTTTTATGATACTTTTTCAAATTCATGCTTATGACAGCTGAGTGTGTGTGGAATTCTATGTGGTAGTGAGCCTCTTGGGGAGAACTGTTTGTTCCTGCAGAGCTGAAGAGTCTCATTCATTCATTCTTTTTTTTTTGGCTGTCCCGGGATTTGAACTCAGGGCCTCACACTTGCTAGGCAGTCACTCAACCACTTGAACTTAGCTCCCAGGACCCCTCCCTCTCCCAAGTCTTTTTTTTATTCAGTGATTGACTTAAGGATGTCACTTGGTTTATAGCTTCAGAAGCCTCAGGTGGAGTTACAGAAGACTCCAGAGTTTGCCAACGTGTACTTTTTTCTGCTGAATCTTTTGGGGATGAGATTTCTCAAGATACAATCAAGTGTTCGTTCACATTTGATGACTCAGCATCTGTATACCACCTGTTCTTACACAGCATCCTCTTCATGAGCTGGGAGCACTCTTTGCCTTTTCTAAAAGTCCTTCCTAAGGTTTTTAGTTTCCAAATCAAGAATCTACCCCTGACAACACACTTTGAAGTGTTTTTGGACTTCTGGGCAGGCACAGTAGAAACTTTGCTTCTTTAGCATGACAGATGGAAACATCAACTGTAATAACCCTAAGACAGACATTTGTATAATAGAATTTTTCTGATCTAGTTGCAAGCACCTTGCAAAAAGATGTTGCTATTTAATTTAAAAATACAGATAAAATGGGTGTGATGAGATTTGTGTAATTTACCAAAACCTATTCGTGACACTTTGTTTTTAAGTAAGGCTATTAGAAGGAAAGACATGCCCATATAATGTTTTTTTAATTATAAAACCCTCAGAAAGGGGAACTGCATATAGAAATGTATGTGTGTATATAGTTAGAAATAGCTACATGTATTTAATTTGTTGTCTTCTTTCATCCTTCTCAGGATAGACCATTTGGAGAGTATGCAGCAGCTCTTAACAGCTGTAGTCAAGAAGATTCCATTAATCACTGCAAAAAGTAAGACAGTTATACTAAACATAGGGATGCATATTTTTAAAGTTGTGAACTACTTGGGAGTATTTTATCAACTTAAATCACTTGGTATTGTAAATTAATACTGATGTGCTGCTGAAATGAGTATGTACTCATTTTCATGGGTCTTTGAAGTCATAATATATAGTATCTTGGTCGTCTAGTCAATCTTTAAAAGTTTTTTGTTGGTGGTGGGACTGGGGTTTAAACTCAAAGCAGGTGCTCTACCACTTCAGCCACACCTCCAGTCCATTTTGCTCTGGTTATTTTGGAGATGGAGGTCTCACAGACTATTTGCCCATGTTGGCTTCAAACCACAGTCCTCCTGATCTCAGCCTCCCAAGTTGCTAGGATTACAGATGTGAGCCACTGGCACCTGGTGATCTTTAAAAGTTTTTACTGGACTGGCAGAGTGGCTCAAGTAGTAGAGCATATGCCTAGCAAGTGCAAGGCCCTGAGTTCAAACTCTAATACCACACAAAAAAAAGTTTTTGGTTTGATGTGTAGAAGGATTTTTTTAATATTTATTTTTGTATGTAAACCACAAGTTGTATATATTTAACTAAAACATTAATTTTTAGTATTTATTAATAAGGACAGAAGTTAAATTTGCCTACAATGGGCCAGACACTGTACCAGCTTATTAGATTTTCTGTCTTGTTAATCACAGTTCTGATGTGATAGGTATGTCATTTCCAGTTCATAGATGAAAACTGAGGTTAAGCAAGTTTAGGTAACTCATTCAAGACCACATAGCTGTCAGCAAAACAGGATGCAAATCTGGTTCTGTGTTCGTTAATATTTGCAGTATGGAAATAGAGAATTTTAAGAGGTTCAAAAGCAAAGTCTGCTCTTAGCAAAATTGAATGATACACATCTTAGCCTCAGTTGTCCTGACAGAATGGACAGCCTTTCCTGAGGGAGACCCTTGTGGGTGTGTTTGCTTGTGGGCCAGATCACATGGAGTTAGAAGTGTGACAGATCATCCTGTCCTTCACACTATGGGGATATGAAATGGTAGAGTAGGTTCAGCCCACACTCCTTATTTTTTCTTACTGTAAGAAATCATCTTTTTCTCAGTTGAAGTTCAGAGGAGTTTGAGGTGGTTCTGAGGCAGCCCAAAATAAACTTTCAATGGCAGTTTTCCTGCCTAGTGGGAAATTCTCATACTCCTGTTCATTCTCTCTCTTGCAAATTTAAACACAAATACAAAAGATTAGAGCTGGAAGGCAGTTCAAAGACCATCTTTCCCGTTATTCACATAAGAAAACTGAAGCCCAGAGAGGCATTATGACATCTCAAAAGCCACTTAGTGACTTGATGATAAATGGAGTGCTGTTGCATTTATTATTTTAACAACTTCATAATAGTAAATTTCCTTTCTCCACCAAAGAGGCCAATTTCCCAAGAAGAGTATTGTTTTGAGAACACAGGATTGAGATGCCTTTTCTTTTAAGGAATTTATCCAGTAAGGAGCATGTATGTGATGCAGAGGTCTGCAGACTCTGGGACATGCTAGTTTCTCATGTAAATGAGATTTGCCTGAACCATAACAGGTTTATTTAGAATTTTGCGGGGGTGGGGTCTATGCTTTCTAGGTGAAGATGCCAGCTGTTTTTCTGCAAAGTCTGTGGAGCAGTATTACGGCTGGAACATTGGAAAGAGGAGAGCTGCTGAGGTAAGACATGTCTGCCTGGATGCACAGGCCACCACAGAGAGCTGAAACAGCTCTTTATTCTTCCTGTCCTGGAACAGTGATAAAATTTACAGGATATATTATTAAAACATTTGGTGGTAGAACATTTTCCTCAGTTAAAAACTTCATTCTTCAAAGATCTTAGCTAGTTTTTGAAAGGTCTGCTTTTTTTTTTTTTTTTGGTAGCAACATCTCACATTTTCTAAGAGTTTGAATTTCAAAATAATAAAATGAATTCAAGTTTTTATTGGGTACTTCAGTATAGTAGCTACTTTGCCAGACACAGTGGGGTTATAAGAAGAGGAAGCAGCTTGTTTAAGGTTTTTAGAAAGCAGTGGAAGACTGGCATGGTTGCTTTGGGAAGGAAGGAGAAGTAGGAGATCATAGGTTGAGACCAGGTGAAAAGCTTAGGAGTATCTTATAAGCATTAGAAGCTGAGCTAATAGAAGTTCCTTTACTTTTTTTTTTTTTTAGCTGGAGGGTAATAAATCTGAGTTTTTTTCCTTAGGCAAAAATGATTCTAACAAGTTAAATTAGAGTGATGGTTTATAATTGGATGATTTGTTTCAATACATGACTTTTAAGTTGAAGGATTTAATTAATGGTCCAAATTTTTTAAGTGGCAAAGAGCAATGACAATGCGAAAAGTCTTACAAGAAATACTGGAGAAGAACCCAAGATTCCACCACCTGACCCCCCTTAAAACCAAGCACATTGCTCACTGGTGTCGCTGCCATGGCTACACCCCACCAGATCCTGAGAGCCTGCGGAATGATGGGGACTCCATTGAGGATGTGCTGACCCAGATTGACAGCGAGCCAGGTAGGCCTCCAGCAGGCTGCCCAAGCATCCCTGGTGGCCTGGCAGGCACTTGGTATTGAGTGCACCTACCCCCACACATACCCCAGCTCTCTACCAGCTGGCTTCACTGCTCTTACCTTAGCTGAGGGACTGCCACAGAGAACAAGAGCCTTTGTTTGGCCAAGCACGGTGGCTCACACCTACAATTCTAGCTACTCAAAAAAGAGGGTTATGATTTGAGGCCAGCCTGGGCAAAAGTTAGCAAGACCCCTCCTCAGCCAATAAAAAGCTGGGTATGGTGGCACACATCTGTCTTCCCAGCTACACAAGAAGCATAACTAGGAGGATTGTAGTCCAAGCTGCTTAGCCATAAGTGTGAAACCCTATTCGAAAAATATCTAAAGCAAGAAAGGTCATTGCTGAAGCAGTAGAGTGCCTGCCTAGCAAGTGCAAAGTCCTGATTTCAAAATCCCAGAACCACCCCCAAAGAAAACCTTTACTTCCTCTCTGTAATTATACAATCCTTTCAGAACTTTTGTGCGTGTCTAGTGTTGTGCCCCAGCTGGGACTGTTCATGTCATCTAGCAGGCACATGCTGTTCATTCTGGAGTCCCCTTCTTGGCATTATTTCTTCTTTGAAGACTCCTAATCCACTCCATTCCTCCAGATAGAGATGGCTTCTCATTCCTCTGCAACCTTAGGAACCCCCAATAGTCAAGTCTGCTCTATTTCCATGAAAATAGGGCCTGTGCCTTACCTGTTACTTTATCTCCAAATCTGGGTAGGAAGTATGCTACCCAGTATTAGAGGCACAAGTGAATAACTGGTAAAATGATAAAGAACAGACAACTGCTATATAATGGCAGAGTGGGTAGTAGGACATAAAAGGTATTTGGAAAGAAGCTTTTGAGTTTCACCATAAAGAATAAGGGTCAGGGTGCAGTAGCTTGTGACTGTAATCTCAGCTACCCAGGAAGTGGAGATTGAGAGGATCACAGTTTGAGACCAGCTTGAGCGAAAAATTAGCAAAATACCCCTGTCAATCAGTAAGTTGGGTTTGGCATTGTGTGCTGGTACTTGGGAGAGGGAAGCAGGTGGATCACAGTCCAGGCCAGGCTGGACTGTGCAAAAAACATCTGAGAAATAACTAAAACAAAAGGGCTAGATGCTTGGCTTAAGTGGTAAAACCTGCCTAGCAAGCACAGGCCTTGAGTTCAAACCCTAGTGATAGATAGATAGATAAAGAAGGGTTCAGCCTTATTTATGTAGAAGACAGAACTCCCATCTTCCAGTCTGAGGCAAGTTGGAGCACAGAGGTGGGATTGTTTTAAGAGTTAGCACATAGCCGGGCCCTAGTGGCTCACACCTGTAATCATAGCTACTCAGGAGGCAGAGATCAGGAGGTTCACTGTTCAGAGCCAGCCTGAGCAAATAGTTTGAGAGACCCTTTCTCAAAAAAAAAAAAAACATTGCAAAAAAGGACTGGTGGAGTGGCTTAAGGTGTAGGTCCTGAGTTCAAAACCCAGTACAGCCAAAAAAAAAAAAAACTTAGCAGAAGTCCCATTTCCTCCAGGAAGCTTCCTGAGAGTCCTTTGCAGGAGATCTTCATTTTGTCTGCTCTCCTGAGGCACTTAATTCAGTACCCTAAGGGTTTGTCTGACTTCTAAATTTCTTGGCAGGCAGAAGGCTGATAACCTCATCATTTACCAGTGCTCTGTATAAAGCACAGTATTTTGCACATGGGAAGCTTTCTGTTAACATGCCTGGTTGATTTGTTAGACAGTTAGCAAAACAAAAAGTCAGGAGCTGGATGCCTTGTCACGGTCTGGGTACTGTGAGCCCATCTTGTAGTCTGGCTCTGACTTCTTCGTCCATAAAATGGCAGAAGTGCACTGAAGTGGCTTGTGCTGTCCTGATGCCCTTTGAATGAATCTTATTAAAGGCTGGTGCACAGCACACACTAAAATGCCAGCAGTGTTTCTCTCAGAGCATTGAGGATAGGTCATTTTTACGTTCTTCGCTGTCCATTTCTAAGTTTTCCAGATGTTATTTTCCTTCTTTTTTGTTTTTGTTTTGTTTTTTCGCTTTATTAGGGCTTGAACTCAAGGCCTTATGCTTGCTAGGCAGGCACTCTACCACTTGAGCCACACCTCTAACCCCAATTTGCCAAATTGTACAAATGAAGAAATAGTCATTACTAGTCGGGGCAGGGCAATGACCCGGTTTTGGTAGAGGGTCAATTACGTGCTGTCTGTCTGGTCTTAGGTGGCAGCTACATAGCATATAATGCATGAGGTTGTCTTGATGCTTTTCTGCTTGGTGAAGCACTAGTTCTCATCATGATAGATCCATAGAACTTTAGAACTAGAAAGGAGATCAGCTCCCTGGAGACTGTCTCCTTCTTCAGATTGTTGGTCTTACAGAGATTGAAAGCCCTTTCCTGTTGTCACCACAGCTGTCATAAAACTGATTACCTCTCATTTAGAGTGCCCATCATCATTCTCCTCCGCTGACAACCTCTGCCGGAAACTGGAGGACCTGCAGCAGTTTCAGAAAAGAGAACCAGAGAATGAGGAGGAGGTGGACATCCTCAGCCTGTCAGAGCCATTAAAGATAAGCATCAAAAAGGAGCAGGAAGAGAAACAAGAAGAAACAAAATTCTACCTGCCACCAACTCCAGGTTCTGAATTTGTCAGTGACATCACACAGAAGGTAGGGAGCCATGTGGTGTTGACAGATGACAGATCAGGTGTGAGATGGCCAGATGTTCAGCCTCATAAACTGAGCCTACCCGAGTGATGTAACTGCCTGGTGTATTTCTGCATGTAACGCAGTTGTGCTCCCACTTTCCCATGTCACAGTCCTTTGGTAAGATGTGAAAAGGTTTTTTGTTGGACATGAACTTAAACCAAGAACGACTAAATGCAGACAGTTTATTATTTTCTGTCCATTTTCTCATCTGCCTCAAGAGAATCACCTCTTCTTCATGAGGCAAAGTGCACTATTTTCAGATATACTTCAGTGGGTAATCTTCCTCTGACATTTCTGTCTCCCAGTGCCTGCCTGGTGTGGATGTGCACACTACCCTGGTTACACAGGAAAGAGCTATTTTTCCACCTCTGATGACACTGAGCAGCGCTTTAGCATCTGCCAGCTGCTATGTGAAAGACAGTGTTCCCTCTCATTCGCAGGGTGGAATGAAACTCCGTTTCCAGGTCCATCTTCTTCACCTTTTACAAACAGGGCCCTTGAATCTTGGTTCCTGGCCTTCCAAAGTATTGATCCCACTATTCAGAATTCACAGCATATCAAAACCATATCACCCCTTGATAAAGATTTGGGAGTAGAAACAGGATTAAGTTTTATTCGGAATATTTGTAGAGCCCTTCTTCCCACCAGGCATCTCTTTGGGTTGGAGAAGTCTGCTTGTTTATTGAGAGTCTGGTTTTAACACAGAAATGGGAACAAATGACTCTCTTTTGCTTTTCCAGATTGGGATCACACTGCAGCCTGTGGCACTGCACAGGAACGTGTATGCATCAGTGGTAGAGGACATGATCTTAAAGGTGAGTGCCTGCTGGCAGCAGAAGACTAAGCAGTGGCCATGGCTTGCAGCACTAAGGGGCCAGCCAGGCAGAATGGTTGGATCTCAGGCTGTTTTGAGTAGGGGACAAGGACAGACAGAGAAGAGAGATGATAGGTTTTTAATTTCTCATCTGGGCTTTAGATTTTCTGATTTTTCAGTGAACTAAGTCATGTTTTCTCTTGATACTAAAGCACGTTTCAGAGTTTTTTTGTTTGTTTTTTTGTTTAACGTCATCTTAAAGATTTTTCTTTTTTCCCTGTGTTGGGAATGGAACCCAGGACCTTGTGCATCCTAGGCAAGGGCTATACCATTAACCTTGCCCTCGTCCGCCCCCCTTCCTTCCCCCAGCTGTAATGATATTTTTAGTGCCATTTCAGGTGCTCTAAGAAGTATCCTGGGTGAGAGTCAATGCTCTCATATGAGGAGATGGCAAAGACATAGTCTTGGGTTTTCTCTATAAGTCACAGCAACAGAGAAGCAGCAAAGCTTTCCTATCTCTGAGCAAAGAGTTGGAAAAGCCACAGCTTCCATGTCCAGCCTAAGTCCCTTCTCAGCATTTCCTTCCCCTAGTGCATCCCTTCCAACAACAGGGATACCGCAGTAGCAACCCTCACCTCTGTTTTCCTTAAAAACAATACCTCATTAATGAAAACCACTTCGGCTGTCAGAATCATGGCCTCTTACCATTCTTGGTCTGTTATTTAGACCTTTAGTTTTTGCGTTTTTTGAGGACTTTTTGATCCTTAGTTGCAGTTATTTCAAAAGTTTGGGTGAGGGATGAGATCAGATGCTTCCCTTCTCACCAGCAGGCAAGTGGCCATTTTAAGAATAACAGCATTTTCCATTGTAGGCTACAGAGCAGCTGGTGAGTGACATCCTGAGACAGGCGCTGGCTGTTGGGTACCAGACAGCATCTCACAACAGGTACTTTGTTTCTGGTCGGCAGCATGAGACTTGCAAGTTATTTCCTAGCAGCTAATTCCTGTGAAGGCATCTCACAACTAAATCAGTCCAGTAGGAAATGGAGTTGTCAGTGCTTGGGACTTTCTGAGCCATACAGAAATTACAGAGGGTCTGCTCTGTAATTTCAAGAGTCTCTTGGAGTGAAGGCTCAGCTTTGTCAGTGGTCTTTGCCCTCTGGTCATTACTTCATGATGCCGAGGACTCTGTTATGTTATAGGGTAGAACAGATAGCAGCTTTTGCAATTAAAGTTAGTTACAGCGCCTATTAAGTGGCAAAGACACGGGGGCCAAAATTTATAGATATATTACCAGATTAATTTTTCACTGCAGATCTATTACTACCTTTTTAGAAATTGGGAAATTAGGTTCTAGAAAGTACTCTTCTGTGACTTTCCCAACAAGTAGATGATAGAACTTAGATTCAAACCCAGGTCTCAGTGGCACTAAAGCCATGAGGCTCCTACCACTCTTTGCTGACTGTGTCTTTGACTGGGATACTGAATTTTACTCTTCCTAGTCCCTGAAAGAATAGGTCACATCCTGCTTTTCTAAGAAAAATGAGTATTTTTTTTTCCATTATACTAAAGACTATAATAAATTCCTCAAATTATAAAAGTGCCTGAGGACATGAGGAGGCCTACAACAGGAATATTAGATCAACTGTACAGTAATTTAATATATCAGACAATATAAGAAGTCTTGAGGAAAAAAAGGAAGGAGATGAAGAGTTCTGGTCATGCTGCTTATTGTCCTGCTTGAAACCAGGAGTGAGCCACATCTCATGCCTTCCATGGCTGCTGTTCACTTCCAGGGTCCTAATTCCAGAGATACAGAGAAATTGGTGTATTGGATGAGAACATTTATTTAACTTCACGCTCATCTGGGCATGTCTCCCATTTTTCAAAGAGATGGGAAATAAGGTCCTAGAGTTCCATGGTGCTTTGATTCAGCCTTTGTTCTGCTGAGACTGAATCAAAGCATAGCATTCTCTCCAGCTCTCCACTTTACTTCCCCTCTCTTCTCAGTCCTCAAAAGTCTTTTTTCCTAATCATTTAGCCAGCTTGAAATCTTTCTTAATCCTGTGAATAGGAAATGAGATTTGAACCAAGTAGGACTGTGGTTGAACGTAGGCCAGACCGTTCATCAAAGTGGGAGAGAATTAATGGAAAGGCCTCAGAGTGGCCCTAAGCCATGGCTTGGCACTTGTCATCATTCCCTTGCGTAAGACCCTTGCAAGGGTCGTGGTAAATTTACTGATTGAATTACTGTTAGCTACGTTTGACAGAATTACATCTGGTAACATCTTGATTTTTGGACCAGGATTCCCAGAGAAATTACCGTGAGTAACATTCACCAGGCCATCTGCAGCATTCCTTTTCTGGACTTCCTCACAAACAAACACATGGGGATATTGAATGTGGATCAGTGAACACAGTGAAGATGCTCCTGGAAAGGCAGGATTGGAAGCTCTGTCTGAACTTGGGAACTGTGGTGACTTCTGGGGAATGAGGTTGTTTTCTGTGTGTCTCAGAATATTGTGGCCACCAAGCCAGTGCCTCTGCTCAAGTAAGTAACAGCAGAGTGTTTAGTTCCAGGTGAAACCCTTCTAGGACAGAAGACTGATTCCTGATTCTGGAGTGAAGCTGAGTGAATAAGTGATCTGACAGCTTGTATTTCTTCACCTCCGTAAATGCTCCAGGAGGGGTCTTACGGGGCAGGGCAGGCTAGACTGGGTGGGCTGGGGTTTCCCTGAAGAGAGATTGGGTTTCACACTAAGTAAGTGGTTCTCTGCACCCACCTGGCCTTGGTGTGGAAGGTCTCCACTCCCAAGTTTGTCAGCTACAGGAAGAGATAATGCCATGTGAAAAACCTCTGAGAGGCTGCAGATGGGGCCCAAGAGCATGACCTTTGCAGATAGAGTCAAAGCAGTGTCACAGGGTGACCAGATCCCAGCAAAAGGCAGGAAAAGGTTTGAACCAAACTCAGAACACTGTGAATGTTAGTATATATAGACAGCATGGAGCTTCTGCTGCTGCCTTCACAAGTGGCCAGGAGAAGCAGCCTCTGGACACTCTTAGCCAGCATTATTTGTCCTCTCAGTGGACCTAGGGCCCTTTTTTTCCTCTGACAAGGAGTTTTTTCCAAGATGAAAGTGTTTAAAAGAAACACCTATGAGTGCCTTAGAGTTGGAGACTGCTGGAGCCCTGAGTCAGGGATGCCAGTGCTCAAAAGGAGAAGAGCTCATGTCCACAAGCAGCATGCCCCTCAGTGGGAGGGAGGAGCAGCCAGGAGGAAGACAGTTAGCAGTGCCCAGCAAGGGGTCCAGACCTCACATAGGTGTCAGGAGAGCAAAAGAGAGAACTTAATCCCATACGAGCCTATTCATATTCTGCTTGAAGAAAGCTTGAAGTCGCTGAATCAGAATAAGAGAAACTATCCAAGCAACATGATTGATTGAGGTTTGCATGGGTACCAGAAGTGCTTTTGTCAGGAAATTAATGCAGAGTGACTGAAGAAAATTTGCCTACCTAATTCAACATCTGAGAGTTGCTAGTGCAGAGTCTACTCAATAGGGCTTAGGGCACACCTGCTTAATAATCTGGGTAAGTACATAAGGCTCAAGTATTCTATACATAATCTACCCCATGAAAGACTGATAGGTGCACAGACTTACTCAGCAGGTGGACTGAGTGAGGCCAGCAGGGTGGAAGATCCAAATGAGAACAGGTTCGTTTAGTACAGGTATGAAAACTTGAGATTTATCTTTTCACTAAGGAAATATTAAATGATTTAACAGTCTTGTGAGTTAATGTTTCAGATGTGTTTCTGTCGTGATGTGTAACATAATTGCGTAACCAGAGCGTCCACAGTAACCTTTAGCATGGTGAGAGGCCTCTGAGTGGGAAGCACTGTGCTTAGGCTGCTTCTTCCGTTGAGGTTGAGGGAGGCACTGGAACGGGCAAGGCACAGGCTTTTGTGAGTTTGAATCAATTCCTCTACTTCTTGCCAAAAAGAATTTGCAGCCACACAAAATGAGAAGGATTGCAGTCACATAAAAGTTGGTACATGTTGACCATGGGCCTAACTATTCCTGACAGGCAGTGCGGGGCGGAGGAAGACTGCAGAAATGAATGCTGTTTGCTCAAAACCAAAGCAGAGGGAAACAGTGCATAACAAACACACTGGTGTATCTAATGAGTTGAAAGTGGCCTCTGCTGAGGTCCAGAAGTTACTTCTGTGACACAGTCCTTAGGCTGTGACCATCTTCTAGCATATGGCTAAAAAAAATTCAATGCAGAAACGAGCTGAAATGCTCAGAAAACTTGAATTCTTTGAAGGCAGTAATTGCTGTAAGAAGGTAGCTTTCTGGGGATCAGACTTCCTATTGGTCACAATCAAGAAAGCTGAGTAGCCTGGAGGAATCAGAAGAGGGGCACACTCAGGCTTACCTTCTGGAATGGAATGGTAGTTGTCTCAGCCAGGGTGTGGACAGAGCTGCAGAGCATCCATGTCACAAGAATACTCAAAGGGGAATTGATCAAGGAGCCCTGCATGAGTAGGGACAACAGTCAACTCGAGAAGCCTCTGCTGGACTGTAGGGCCACCATCCAGCAAGGGCCTAGCTTTTCTCAAAAGTTGCTGTTTTGTTTGGCCTGAAGTCCTGGAGTTCTATCCTGTGGAGCACAGAGAGATGGACTTTGATCTAAATGACTTCAAGCCCCCTTGACTTGTGAAAGGACCTCGGGAGCTTTCCACCTGGACTTCACAGCCGATTGAGGCAGTTCCTACAGTGGTCACTTTGATGTTAGGATGACTAATAGTATTTTCTTTGGGTTAGACTTAGCTTAACAGCTGCTTTTTATTTTTAAAAACTTCTACAGAATTAGTACAAAAATGCTTAAAGTTTTATAGAAACTTTAGCAAGTGTAATAAAGTATAAAATTACCCACAATCCCCTCTCAGATATACGAACCCCTGTTAGTCTCCAGTGCATTTCCTGCTGTCTGCATATTGTGTGCTGTGTGTAAGATGGGTGTGGGCTGGGAGCATAGGTGAGACTTGTCTCAGTTGTTTCTTGGGTTGCTGATCATGGGGTGAAGCCTTCCTCAGACCTTGGAGTGGGGGGGGGGTGAGGGGATTCAGGAGCCAGGTCTCCTAGTAACTGATGGGGCAAGGCTCTGGAGGTCAGCTGTCTGAGCAGTGCTGTCTGGTGATTGCAGAGGTTCTGGGCAACAGTTTACCTGTCCTCAGGGAGGCTCCACAGGTGTTGCAGGGCAGGAAAGCTGCTCTGCTTTCTGCCGGCCAAGTGCAGCACACCCATGTGTCTCTGGGCAGTACCCGGGCAATGAGCACATGGGCTTCCCAGGCAGGGTCTGGGGAGGAAAGTGGCTGCAGACAGGGGCTATGAGCACAGGGCGTGCTGGTGGCCACAGATGGAAACCAGGTGGCACTGTGGGAGGGGTGCTTAGGCTGGAAAGAACCTGCACTTGGTTGGCTTTACTCAGCAGCTTGAGCACAGCAAGGTGTGGGTGGTGGCAGCCTTGCCACCAGGGGAAGAAGCAGAAGCACCCTTGCCCACAGCTAGTGAGGGAAAAGCAGGGTTTAAGCTAGGACCAGCAGCATAGGTAGCTCCCTCATGATTCCGAGTGAGAGCTGGAAGTAATCTAAAGTACCACCTGCAGCACTGCAGTCATCTGCCCTCCGCCCTCAACGGGAAGGGCTCAGGGCTAACAAGTCTCCAAGGATACCTGCAGTAGCCACACTACATTAAAGTATTTAATCTTGAGACGGGATTTTTTAAAAAATGAGAGGGCACTCGTGTTTATAACTTAAAGACATAAATTAAGATGGAAACAGTATGTTTTTTAGTTTTAGTACAGTCATGTGAGTGGTAAATCTCGCCTCCCACATAGAATGCCCAGCAGGTAGCCTCTCAGAAACAGCTAACAGTGAGCCTGAATAGGTCCCCCTCCCTGTCGCCCCATACAGTCTGCCTTTTCACTTTACAACCCTTTGCTGCTCTGAGAGAGGCCTGTGCCTGCCAGAGTTAGCACCTCTGAGGGGACGCTGCACAGGTGGCCTGGGCTGGAAATGGCCCTCCTCCCAGTCTGCAGTGGCTTTGAAACCCTGAGTGCCACCACCTGGGGCCTCAGTGCTCAGCCCATTAGAGCCACCTGTGGACTGGGTGAGCCACAGGGAAATCCTTAGGTTTCCTTACTAAAAACTGTCCCATGGCCCTTGGACATAGGCTCCTTCGTATGTTTGCAGGGGGGCTGAGATTTGTGGTGACGGGAGAAGGCTCTCCAGACAAGATGAGCTGTGTCCACCACAGGTAGTGAGCTTGCCTGCAGTCATTGAGAGTGTCCTGGTAGGCATGAGGCAAAGGGCTGGAATAGGTGATGTTCTAAGGTCGTTAAGAGGAAAATCCACCTGATAAAAATGCTCCTGGTGCTAGGGGGTGTGCATGGTGGTCCTTTCTAGTCCTCTCTTTAAAGGGTCCAGCCTTTAGAAGCTACCACAGAGTAAATGACATCCCTTCACTACTTCACTCATCCTGAGAAACGTTTTGTAGAAAATGGAGATCGTCCTGGCTGTGAAGAAAGTACGCCTTTGAAATCCAAGCCCTGTGGTTGCTATGCCTTTTGTGAGGCTGGGATTTGGACTCGGGCTTTGCAGTTGAAAATCAAGTGCTCTACTGCTTGTGCCACACCTCCAGTTCATTTTGCTGTGGTTATTTTTGGAGATAGGGTCTTGTGAACTATTTGCCTGTACTGGCCTCAAACCATGATCCTCATGATCTCAGCCTCCCAAGGTAGCTAGGATTACAGGCGTGAGTCACTGGCGCCTGGCTGCTGCTCCTTCTCTTGGAAGTTTCTGGATCGCTCTGCATCATGAGTCACATGCAGATGGAGCCTAAGATTTCTTCTACTTAAACACATGGGCCATTGCAAGAAGATCCAAGGATATCACCTGGGATTACCATAGGTTATAAAATTAATAAAATTATCATGCATCCTGGGAAAACCACCCAAAGTAGACATGACTGGTTCTACCAAGGACCTGATACATATTCCACTACTGGATTGGTCCTCGGCTTCCTCAGGTGTAAACACTGAAGGATGGCCGAATGGCAATTAGGAAGCCTTCACACTTTTGAGGACGACGACATGGAGGTGGAGAGGTGGAGTCCTCGTGGAGTTGGTGGTTCTGTGTCCCTCTGCACCTCTGCTCCACACCAGGCCCCTGACCTAGGCCCCAAGCAGCAGTGGGTCCTGAGCCTGCTCCTCAATCCTCCACCCACCCACCAGTGCAGTTACACATTGAAAATCCGGGGAGCTGAAGCATGAAAGATGGCTGAGGGGTTAGGTGTGAACTTCCTTCTCACCTCGGGGACCTGAAAAACAAAATGCCATTTCAGTGGACCTTTCCTCATCTCCCTCCACCCCCTGCTCTTGGAAAAGAATTCCTCACCTCCAGGAATTGGGCAAATGTGTGTGGGGCTGGGAAGCCCAGCAGTCCCCGCCCTTTCCACCTGTTCCCTTTACGCAAATGCTAAAAAATTTGGGTTTGACTTTTGTTTTCTGTGGCACTGGGGATGCTACCCAGGGCCTCACGCATGCAAAGCAAGTACTCTACCACTGAGCTATGCCCCCGGCCCAGTGCTCACATGTTTGGCAGGGTAGCCCCTGGCACTCTGGCTGCTGGGTAGGTTGGGATTTATAAGCGGGGGACACCCTGCTCACCCAAGAAGCCCACACTTGCCCGGCTAATGACAAGGACCCTGGATTTCTGTGTGTTGGGGTTGACTGGGTATTGCCGTCCCTGACCATAATGACATCTTATGTAACCAAAATGTGACTCCTGACCCCTGCCCAAGAGAAAAGGTCTCTGTGGCCCCAGTCCACACAGCTACTCCCTCAGACTGACCTGGAAGCTGGGCCCAGGGGTGCCGTCCCATCCAGAGGTGTGGGTTGTGATGACTTGGGCTGGTTTTGCCTTTGTGGATCTTGAGGGCTTCACCCCAGTCCAAGCCTGGAATTCCTGTCTGGAGCAGAAGATGCAATCACAACCTTGCCCATCAGGACCTTGGAATGCCAGGCCCTGTGTGCTGCTGAGATCCTGCTTCACCTCAGATGGTCCTTCATCCCTGCTTCACAGACAAGCCTGGCAGAGCAGGTGCCCCAGACAGGCCCGGCTCAGGAGCTGTGCTCTGAGGCTGCCCTGCCCCTCACCCGAGAGAAGGGGAGCCTGGGTAGCTCCAGTCCCTAAAGCCATGGCGGGTGAGCAACAGGCACACTTAGAGCACAGCTCAGTCAACATCTGGGTCTATTCATCCAGAAGATGCCAGCTGCTGGTGTATGCTGGGCCTTGGGGACAGGTCCCGGTGCTTTCTGTACTTACAGTCTCCAGGCTTTCTAGAAGCCAGGCCATTTAGAGGAGCCCAGAACCAATGAAGTTCATTCACCTCCAGCCCAGGTCAGTTCAGTAGTGCCCACTTACATCCAGAGGAAGTGCCAGCCTAGACGGCACAGCAAGGCCCTCCACACCTACTTACAACTGGAAAGAAAGGCAGTTCAGCTTCTGTTTAGGTTTTCGTGTGTGTGTGTGTGTGTGTGTGTGTGTGTGTGTGTGTGTGTGTGTGAAGTAGGTTTTTTTGAGATAGAAGGGTCTCACGAACTATGTGTGTGTGTGTGTGTGTGTGAGAAGTAGGTTTTTTTGAGATAGAAGGGTCTCACGAACTATGTGTGTGTGTGTGTGTGTGTGTGTGTGAAGTAGGTTTTTTTGAGATAGAAGGGTCTCACGAACTGTGTGTGTGTGTGTGTGTGTGTGTGTGTGTGTGTGTGTGAAGTAGGTTTTTTTGAGATAGAAGGGTCTCACGAACTATGCCTGGACTGACCTCAAACTGTAGTCCTCCTGATCTCTTCTTTCTGAGCATGTAGGATTACAGGCATGAGCCACTGGGCACCTGGCTGTTGGTTTTTATAATTTGTCTCATTAATTCATGCAAAAGAGAATGAATTGTTAGTGACTGTCTCAGAAAAAAAACAACCCATCAGTCTGGCTTGGCATGTCATGGTCAGTAGATCTGTGAGCCTCCTGAGACTGCAGGGAGGAAGCCTTGTGGGAGAAGGCTGGCACAGGGTTGCCCTATGTCCTGGGAGTAGCTTTCTCTCGGCAAAAAGACTTAGTTCCTTTATTCTTTGGAACCAATCTTGTCAATGACCCTGCAAGCTGGTGAGCTCAGGAAGGCTGAGGTCCCCTGTGACCACAGGAGCACCTGGCCAAGGCAATGCTTTATGGAGAAGGGGCCATCTGGCCAGGGCCAGCCCTGCCTGTGCGCTAGGCTGCCCATGCTCATACCCTACCCACAGCCCAGCTGCTGCCCTGGCCCAGCTTCAGGCCATGAGGTCAACAAAGATAGATGCCTTTTCTCCTTGGCAGCAGCACAGCTGGGTCCTCACTGAGCATGGGCTGTCTGTGGTCAGCACTCTGGGAGCCTGGGGTGCCAGGAAGAGAGCTGAGCCAGGTCCTGTCGGGTAGCTTTTGCTCCTGAAGCTGCAAGGTTCTAAAGACCAGCTGCCCACACCATCTGCTGCCTGTTTCTCCTGGGGAAGCAGGCCCTCCCCTGGGTGTGCCCTTCTGTTCCCCACTGACTCTCAGGGGTCCCCTGTGTCATGGGTTAGCACAATACCTGGGCTGCCACAGAAAGAGCCCAGGCAGAGGGGACATCAGAGGTGGAATCAGCAGGACCCAGTGGCTTCCCAGGAGAGGAGTCAGGCAGACTTATGGCTCAGGTCAAGAAGAGTAAAATACAAGCCTGGCCGTACCCACTGTGCCACCCTTACGGTGTAACAAGCATGTTTCGGCATCAGCCAGCATTTGTGGGCCTCAGCCTGACCCAGCCAGCAGTGCCGAACAGCCCAGAGAGAACTGCGGGGACAAGGCTCTGGGAGGAGCTGTCAGGTGGAAGGACCAAGGCTTCGCTGGACCTCCCGTACCCACCACACAAACACGGCAGGTCGAGTCTAGCATGGAAAACAGAAGCCAGCAAAGCAGTGTCCACTGAAGAGAGGTCGAGGCCTAGGGTTCCCTGGCACTTACTCAAGGATCCTAAATTAGGAATGGCCGCACATCTGTTTTCATGTCTTTGGATCTATTTCCTTTTCTGAATTACTTTTAAGAGTTTCCTTAAATGACATGCATCTTGCAGGATGGAAGCCAGGGTGGAGCTGCTTGAGCCAGGTCCCAGAGCTAGAAGGAGGTGGAGGGTACCAGAGGCCAGTTGGTCTGGCTCTGGGGGAAGCCAAGTTCAGTTGTAATCCTGGGTCTTCCCCAACTGGGGATAGGGGCCTGGGCGGTCACATTCTTGCTATTCTGCTCTCCAGAGGAGGAGAGTCTAAGAGACAGAGGTCACACACCCGGAAGTCCACTGCTGGCTTCGGAACTCAGTTCAAGAAACTGGTTCCCAGGAGATGGCACCTTAAGGGATGGAAACCAGCAGGGGCTACAAATTTTGTCTCTGAAGCAAGACAGACTTAGGTTCCACAACCTCTGTCATTCGGTTTCATGGCCTTGCGCCAGTTCCTCAGCTGGGGACAGCCATGACGTGCTCCCTATGTCCGGGCTTCAGGGAGTGAACCAGAGGACACGCAGAGCCTGCACCTCTAAAGTGGAAAAAGTGGTAACCAGTACCGGTGCCATTGCGGAGCTGGGAGGGCCTAGCATGACATCCAAGCTGCCGTGGGCTCCACGTGGTGAGGGACAGCTTGGAGCAGCCCAGCCTTTGCTGGAACAGCCCCAGCGAGGACACAAGCACCACCCCACCAGGAGGCTCACTGCCAAGTTAGGATGGTAACTAGGAAGGACTTCCTCTCCAGGCCCCACCCGGAACCTCAGCCATCGCAAGGTTCACAACCTGCACACCCACGACCTCTCACCAAGACCCGGTCCTGCCCATGACCCCAGCCAGGGCCTAAGAGCCACGACTAACAGACAGTACCACTCGAATTCTAGCACCTGTCAGTGAGAACAAGGTTCACCCCGCCACCCTGCAACCACAGCCTCACCCCCCAACCCCTCCCCCCCCACCCCCGCCTTTGACTCTGTACCTTTAAGGTCTTTGGCTATCAGGACGTGTGGCTTCACAGCACCCCATCCTGTGGCAATGCCATAAACAGCCTGTCCCTACATCGGGACAACAGGCTGCTCCCATCTGTACAATGTTCCCATGTGCCCTAAACTCTTGAGCCCCCACCTCACCTTAAAGGAACCCGAAAGGAAAATTCCTAGAAGTATTTTAATACCTGCAACAAAAGAATAAGATTTTTTAACAGCTTCAAATTAGAGATCACCTAAATATTCAATGATAAGGGGCAAATAATATTAGGATGTAGAGATGTATGACCATAGGATAAAAACACGGATTAAAATTCATGTCGTAGAACATCCCGTAACATGGTCAGACCCCCACAATGGGCAGTAGGGATGGAACACGGGACACGAACGAGTGCACGTTAAGAACGGACAGCAGTCTGGGGAGGTGTTGGGGTATTTGTTATTTCGGTCACTTTGAATTTTTCTACAGTATGAGTTACTTCTGTAAGTGGGGGAGGGAGGGTGGGATGTCGCCCTGGGTTGGCCAGGAGCAGGGCCCGGGAGGGAGGTGGCAGGCCCTGCAGACCCGCCCCCAGCGCTGCGCCCCTGCTGCGGCTACGCCCACCGCGGGGAAGTGAAAGGGAAGCGGCTTCCAGCTCGGTGCTTGGCAGCCCTTTCGGACCAGATGCGGGCTGCGAGCGAGGAAGAAGGGAGTGAGCTCCCTGCCCGCGGGGGTGCGCGCGTACTCCGGGACTGCGCGGGCAACAGGGAAGGAAGGTGGCGCCTGCGGTGTCGGGGGACCGAGGCGTTGACCTCTCGAGGACATGTGGGATCCGCGCTCCAGGCGCCTCCTCGATCCCACCCACCCCCTTCCTCCGGCCTGGGGCCTCAGTTTCCTCCCACCACGGAGCCAGAATTGGAAGCGTCCCCCTGTGTCAACCCAGGGATACCTGTACGACGTGGTCGCCGATGCAGCCGCGTCCGTGTCGCCGATGGGCAGCACGTAGACGCCCCGCGCGGGGGTCGCGGAGGACTTGGCCCTGCGACCACCCGGCGCCGCATCTCGCGGCCCCGCGGGCGCCGTCCACACGCCGAAATCGCGCTGGTACTGAGTGAGCGGCACGTCCCGGCCAGGGTCCCGGGTGCCAGCGGCTGCCGGGCCCCTGCGCGACGCGGCGCCCCCCGGGCCCGGCTCCTCGCTCTCGAGGTCCGAGTAGCCGTGCAGGGTGAGCGGCACCGCCACGTCGGAGCGGTCCAGCTGGTTCCAGCGCCGCGCCAGGCAGCACAGGCGGCTGATGCAGGGCCACGCCATGCCAGCCCCGCCGCCCGCCGCTCCGCTCCGCTCCCCGCGCTCCGGGCCGCACCGCCCCCGCCCGGCGTCCCCGCCCCCGCGGCCCGCCCCGCGTCGCCGCAGCACCGCCCCCCGGCCTGGGCTCGGCACCCCGGGAGGGGACCGACTCGGTGATGGCCTGGCCCGGGTGCGCGCGGCTGGAGCCGGGCGCCGGCACCGGGACTGCGGGGACCCAGGGGGCACCTGAAACCGCCGGCGGCCTGCCCAACTTGAAGAATGTTTCCTAATTGAATCCAAAGTTCCCAAACGTTGTAAATCTGACCTGGCTTCGCAGGGGCGGAGGGCCAGATGGAGACAGTGCCTCCTCCATCACCCTCTGCCCGCCACTGGGAGGGTCTCTGTTGGGTCCGGTGGACGCAGAGTGGCTGCTGCATTTGTGGCCAGGCAGCACCGCGGGACTGGAGGGGAGAGGAGGCCATGGGGGTAACTGCAGGGAAACCCCGGGACCATGCTTCCCTGAGAACACGTGTTTGAATCGGCCTGTGAGTCACCAACTATCCGCCTGTACTATGCTAGTCTAAATCTATGCCAAGCAATCCAGTTTTTGTTAAGAACTTCTAGTTGACCTTTCCCTGGGTTCTAAAAACCTCTCGTTTCAAACCTTGACTGCAAAGGCTTTTGCTTGATGAAGGGGCCACCAAACTTTGGCCACTGTGCTACAAAGTTCCTTTCTCTTCTGTGCATGCACTATTGTTTCAATGCAGAATTAAGTGTGGGTAACTCCAGTCTTGAGGTCAGTTTAATGCGAAACAGGGGATCAGAAACAACTCCCTGGGTACTGTCAAAGCTTTCTGAGTATCAGACATGTCCTCAATATGCATCGTAAACCAATTACCAATGACAGTGCTTGGTTAAGCCGCATAATTACCCCGAGCTCCCTCTCAAAGCTGCACTTGGAAAGGATCCAGTCTGCACCTCAGAGGACTGCAGTATGCCCTGGCCAGTCATTCAGCTTCCAAAACATTGCTGGAAGTCACAGTGTAGCACAGTGGCATACAGCTGCCAGCCCAGCAGGGGAGGCCATGGCGCACCAGGCAGCCATGTGTACTGTGAACTCACATGCACGGAACTGGGGTTCAGAGATGACCAGCAGTGCTGGAGCTCTGAAAGCCTCTTACTGCCAACAACAACCCTAGGATTTGTGTGCGGAGGGACCCAAGGCACTGTGTTCAGGGCGACCCCACACACCTGCTCTGTAGGCTCAGAACAAGCTGCCTTTGGGAACTGTGTGCCAGACCCTGGATTAGTTACCCTTGCAGATAAAGTTCAGAAAGGAAATGTAGCTTTTTTTTTTTTTTTTCCAGTGCTGAGGATGGAATTTAGGGCCTCATGCGTGCTAGGCAAGCACTCTACCACTAAGCTACACTCCCCAGCCCCATTATTTCTTCATGCATCAAACAAGATGAAAGAGCACTTGCTATGTGCTAGGACTAATGACAGGTTCCCCCAGGTTTACTGCACAGGTGACAGGGAAGTGTGACTATAAAGCCAAGTGGGCACAGAGAGGGGGAAGGTTGCTGTCGCACCTGTCTCCAAGGAGGGGGGTTAAGTGGGAACACAGGTGTGGGGGATAAGGGTTCAGCCAGAGGTGACAGAGAGCAGGCCTAGATGGCCTTGGTGGCCACACAGAATTCAAAAGCTTTTTAGGTAACTGCACTCCGGAAGTACAAGGGCACTTTCCAGACCAGCTGGAAGACCAGTGTCCACAGTCCATGCAGGGACTGCAGACACGGGGCACTACACTGGGTAGGGCACAGGCACTGGGAATGGAGAGGAGGTGCTGAGTTCTAGAAAAGAAAGACAGGGTGATCACAAATGGCTCCTAGGTTTCTGCTTCAGCAATTGGTGATGTCACTCCTTAAGCCAGGAGTGACACTTGAGGTTCGTGCGCTGTGGGGTCCTAGCATCTGGAACCACCAATGTAGTGCGGTAGACACACTTACTGACTCCTGCGCTCAGCGGGTATGAAGCAACTCAGAGGGCCTAACACCAACTGAACAACAGAGATCCCTATTTGCAGAGGGAGGCGAGACAATGGCCATGGCTGCCTTTGGGGGACCCTTCACCTCAGAGGCAGCACAGCCCAAGTGGCACATAACCTTGGAGGCAGTGATCATAGGGTCACCAGAGAAGACAAGCCAGGGACACTCAATGCCCTAGTGGGCAATTAAGAGAGGACCCACAGCTAGGCCTTAGGTAGGCAGGCAGCATGAGGCTCTGATCTCAGAAGGCCACTGGCAGGGAACATGGTTCTCCCCTGTTCAAAGGCTCCAGCACTAAGGGACTTTATGGATGGCAAAGAGCTCCTAGGTACTTTTCCCCCAACTTTGGCAGTACTAGGGTTTGAACTCAGAGCCTTGTGCCCTGTAGCATGAGACAAGATGTTTCCCAGAGGTTGTGAAGATGTCTTCTGTGTCTGCTCTGAGACTGGGAAGGAATATTTGAAAAGCCAGGAGTGATGGCTCACACCTGCAATCCCACCACTGAGGCAGGAGTATCTAGTTTGGAGCTAGCTTGGGCTATATGGTGAGGCCCTGCCTCACACACACACATAGAAACAGGCCCAGCAAGCTGGCTCACTTCTGTAATAATCTCAGTTACTTGAGAGGTAGAGATGGAAAGGATCAAAGTTGGAGGCCAGCCTGGGCAAAAAAGCCCATCCTCACCAACAAAAACGGGCGTGGTGGTACTCAACTGCATCCTAACCATGGAAGGTCACAGTCCATCCTAACCATGGAGGATCACAGTCCACCCTAACCATAGAAGGTCTCAGTCCACCCTAACCATGGAGGGTCACAGTCCACCCTAACCATGGAAGGTCACAGTCCAGGCTGGAGGGAGGGGAGGGCTGGGGACGTCACCCAAGTGGTAGAGCACCTACCTAACAAGGGCAAGGCTCTGGGAAACATCTTGTCCCATCTGCTACAGGGCTGTTAACACAAAAACGTCACAGCAAAGCAGTGTCCCCCCACATCCTCCTGTCTCATTAGTGGCAAAACAAAGCTGGGTGAAGACAATTCTCTTCTAGCTCAGAAGAGGATCCTGCCTGCCGGGAGGAAGCAGTACTTCACAGCAGGCCATTCCAGGTTGGTGGGGAAAGGATACAAAGAACTGCCAAACACTGGGCTCTAAATAGGTGGACGCTGCTACCACTCGGTTCTCAGTCTGCCTAATGGGCAAAGCTTCCACTGCTTTTCAAAGCCTTGCCTCTCAGACTGCCCACTGGTGCCCAATCTGAGTGAATTCACAGAAGGCCAATGTGTGGGCCTCCATTTCTCCCCAGTGCAAGGGTACAAGATTTAGTATAACATTTTGAGGTCAACCAAAAGACTAAAAACTCTCCTGTAAGTGCTTTAAAGAAAAAAAAAAAAAAATCTCAAATGGCATTTCCTTGACGTAATTTCTGCATCCTGAGGCCACGTGCATCCTGCTCCAGTGTGGCTGTGATGACCACGGCCTGCTAGTTAAGGAAGGTGCTTCAAATAGAATGTAGTTTCAAATGTAAGATGCACTGGGGCTCAGATTCCAGTTGCATGTATCCAAGTCACTTCCCTCTCCTCTTAATTTAGCTATAATTTTAACCTAGAAAGCAAAACCTAAAAATAGTTTTTGTGTGTGCCACTCACTGCCAGAAAACACCACCTTTCTCAGAAACATTCAGAAAGCACTCAGCTGTGATTTCACACTATGCCAGAGAGAAGACAATCTCAACTAACCAAGGAGAGGGGTAGGTCAGTCAATGCAAAGCAGAGGTGCCAGAGGGCCAGGGACAAAAATCCGCATGCCTCTGAGTTTCTATCGGGCCTGTCGAGAGGCCCCTTGCCAGGTTCCCAGCTCAAACCATGTCACATGCAATAACCAAAAAGCAGCAACAGTGCTCTGAAAGACAGAAGACAAACCCTCTGTTTACAAACTAGATATAAACCTTTATTTCACACTTTTGTCATAATTCTCTATGAAGATGTACTGGAGGACCGTTTAAAATGCTGGGGAAGCTGGCGTGTCTTCCAGGCAGGAGCACAGCTGTGGCCCTTCAGGGCTGGTGCACTCGGGGTTCCCAGGCAGCACAGATCAGTTACGCAGTATCGGCCAGCCCAGCTTTACTTAGAGCCACCTCCTTTCTTGGGGCCATTAGTCCTCATTTCATGCCAGATTTTCACTAGAGGCTCCCTGTTCTTCCAAATGAGTTCATGGCCGTAAGTGATATACCATCTGGAGAAAAGAAAAACAAATCCAGGTCCAACATTCAAACAGTATGACATACAAATGTAAGTGCCATCAAAACATCATGCTGACATTTAAAAAATCAAATGCCACTGTCATTTACTATGTAGCTTATTAAAACAGATGATCAGGGCTGGGGGTGTGTAGCTCAATAGTAGAGTACAAGCATGAGGCTCTGGGTTTCTTGGCACTGAAAAAAAATTAATAAAATAGATGATCAACTTATTTGTTATAGATAGGCGCTTTTTTAACATACAGAGCATATAAAAGGTTGAAGTAGGATACCCAGTGGTGAATCCTCTGAAATGCACGAGGAGTTTACATGGCTACTTTTGATTCACCTTTGCCCTGCAAGTTAAGTACTGCACTGCCCACTGCAGACCTGAGGAAATCAAGTCCAAGAGAAAGTAACTTGTCCAAGGTATAACAGTTTCTACCCCACGTCAGCGTGACTCTAAGCCAAGGCTCTGTTTTTTACTGTGGACCAGTGTAAGAAATGTCAGATGTGGAATTTACTAATGATGACTGTAATGGCTTACACACCTCCTTGTCATTTTCCACCCTGCTACAAAGCCAGTTCTGCTGATCCAAATCCCGCCAGCCCTTTCAGGTGGGGGGATTCCCATCCCTCCGTAAACATGAACACAGACAACCTGAGACAATGAGCAGAGGAAACTGAGCTCTGAAGTGTTTAGTAACTTGCTCAGGCTCTGCAACTAGGAATCACCAGGCTGAGTCTAGAATGCAAACCTGACACTGAGGCCTGTGTTTTAACCTCTGTGCATCCTGCAGTGAGAGGGAGCATCTGCCAAACAGAGGAACACAGTGCTGAATGGAAAGAGTCTGCTTTAAAAGGGGCAGCACAGGCTGCAGGGATAACTCAGGGCACCTTCCACCCCTCGGAGGAGAGCGGGGAAGGCTGGATGGCTCCTGGAATGCCGGGGGGGAGGCAGGGGCTGATGTGGAAGGGGTAACTAAAGAAGCTTCTACTCTTTTGCTCTTGAAACTTTTACTTCTACCCCGATTTCCCCAGATTTCATGTTCCATGAGGCAGATACCAAATTTTGTTGATCGTTACTTCTCCCAGACGCCTGTTTTTAAAATGCTATTTGATTTACATTGGTATAATAGCAGCCTAATGTTTTAACTTTTTTTTTAATGTTCTGAACATTTTTTTATTATAAAAGGTTTGTACTTGAACTTTTTTTTTTTTAAGTTTTACCAGAGATTTTTGTATAACAAGTAGGAAGAAGTAGGGGGCAGGGAGAAAGAGAAACATTTCCTGTTTCCCATACAGGAAATGGAACCAAAGACTCCCGTGTCTGGATCTTAATACCCACTGACTATAGTTAAGATCTGATTGTGAAAGGCCACTATAAAACTTTCAAAATGAAATAGTCTGTAAATTTACAGAAAGAAAAAAGTCATTTAAAGAAACATGCAAATTAGTAGGCATGTAAGAAGAAGATTCATTGAACCTAAATTAAAATTCTCTAATGAAGTTAGAACAAGAGAAAAAGGATCACACTGACATTCAAATTCAGTTATAAAAATCCTCGCAAGAAACAAATCACTTGTCAGGAACTCACCGTTAACAGGGCATCTTTCCAAATCTTTTGAACCTACTAACTTTAAGCAGAGTCAAATACTTGAATCTTACAGGTACCCTATTGTGACTATACTCCAGAATCCAAATGTTACTGGTGATTTGGCTAAACTACATTAGGAAAATATTTCAAAATGACTAATTTCTTTTTTAAAACCCAGGACCTCCCACAGTCTTTTACCAGCAAGCTACACTCTAACCTCCAAATGACTAATTTCTGAGATACCTTTTTCATTGCAGTAGCCTAATGATCTAGTGCTCAGTATGAAATTCTAGCTCTGTAATTATTAGCCATGTGACCTTGGACAAGCTACCTTCTTTATGCAGTTTCCTCATCTATAAAATGGAGTACTCTCAAGATTTTAAGAGTATTAAATTAGTACTTAGCTGAGGGTATGGATCAAGTGGTAGAGCACCCTCCTAGCAAGCGTCAGGCCCTGAGTTCTACCCCCAGTACTGGGAAGAAAAAAAAAAAAAGGGAAAGATCTAAAAAAGTTAAAACTCATAAAACTTGAACCCCTTTTCATAAGTCTTTGTTTCTCGTACTGTAATAGCAGGTCAGTTTCTACTATTTATAGCGTGCTGCTGTACAGTGAAAGCGAGAACTCACATATGCTATTATTTAATCATCATGAGAATTATAAATGGCACAATGGCATTTAGTTCCACCGCCTACTAGGCAAAACTGTTTCACTTCAATGGATTTTTCTATTCTTTATTTTTGTTAAAAAATTTAAGTTTTCTACTGTCATGAAACAAAGTAAAACAACAGGCAAAAAGATTTTTTAAAAGCCATCAGGATGGAGCCATCAGACAGTAAACAACACTGATGAAAGGGCTGTCAGGTCATATGGGCTCCAAGAGCTGCTACCCCACTACTTACAACTTAGGCAAAACCCATCACCTGAAGTGCAAATGGAAGCACTGGTGCTGCATGCTGGGTGTGCTCAATCTGGTATGTTGGGAACTGAAAGGGCTATGGATGAGGGTTTAAATGTCTGTTTGCTACTGCAGAGCTGTCAGGCCTGGGGAAGATCACTCTGAGCCGCAGTTTCCTCTCAGTAAAACTGAAGGAGTGTTAACACAAGGTTAGGTACTAGCTTGGCACCTGCATGTAAGATGCTCGGTAAGTGCCCACACTCTACAGATGGGGGGTGTGGAACTCAGGGTCTTGTGCTTGCTAGGCAGGTATTCTATCACTTGAGCCATGCCACCTGTCCTCCATGTATTTTATTTATTTTTTTTTTTGTAGTGGGACTGGGGTTTGAACTGTACTCTGAGTAGAGTGCACTTCAGGCACAGAAACACCTCCACCAGCAAAATATGTCTGAACAACACTGGTGAAATGTGGCCAGCAGGGGAAAGAGGGCAAGGAGGTGACCTGGGTAAGCAGTTCAGCCATCAGTTACATTCAAACTTACATTCCAAAGAGAGCTCCCCCAAGATGTGCTGCATGATCAAAAAATTTCCATCCCAGGATCATTCCTGCTGTATCCATGGCAATAATGGCTTTTAGGGCCTGAAAGTCAGGTAGAAAGAACAGAAGTGGTACAACTTTGATTCCTCCAGCATTGACATTTCTGATTTAAGAGCAAGATTCAGTCACTGTAAAAACAACTACTATCCCAAGAATGTCATCCAGGTACTCACATTCCCTGCTGTGAAGGTGAACATCGGGAGGAAGATGATGGCGAGCCTCCCTTCCGGGATCTTAGTGCAGACCGCTGCAAGTACACTCATGATCGCACCTGACTGCAAGAAAACAAACTAGCTGGAGAAAAGCAAACACGTGTAACCCGTGTGTCCCGTGTCTGAAGTGGTAGGGCTTCTTCTAGGCTAGGTGTGTCACATCTTTAGAGAAGCTTGAAAGCTTTCAATTGCTAACATGCACAGTACCAGACAAAGGGGCTCCAGGCCTGACAAGAAGTGACGCTAGAGAGACTGAACTTTCATTATAGGGCAGTAAGATACATAATAACCAGTTCGTGATTGTTTAATGAACTTAAATGACAGTGTTAAGTGTGTCACATGCATCATTCCACTAATGCCTAATAAAGAACTTCTCAAATTTCTCTAACAAAGCTCCCCAACCACAAAAAATGAGCATGAATTTGCCAAAGAAAACCACACAACAGACTCGCCTCCAAGTTAATGCTGTTTTAGTTCAGGTGAAATTTCTATTTGACAAATGAAATTTGTATTTGTTTACTCTCAAAAAGAGACTGACATTTTCTTTTAAGGCCTTGGAGTTAACACCAGGGTCCAGGGAAGTGTGTTACATTTATCCATGGCTCTGTAAGAGCTGTCCCTCACAGAACCCTCCCAGTACACCTGCTTGGGAAGCACTTTCCCCAACAACTTCACAATACAGAATAAAAACCTAAACCAAAACCCTCAGTCTTGTGATGCACAAATCCACTACTTCTTACTTCTTATACCACTGAATAGTTATTATCACTAAGAAGATCATTAGTTTGTCCTCACATGCTTCTTTCCTGGTTGCCTACATAATTTTCATAATTTAAATTTATAATGGTTAAGAGAAATCTTCTGAGAGATTCTACTAATGTAACTACCTCTCTTAATGTCAGACATGTTCCCAAGTCCTCTAAATGGTAGAATATGTGAGGAACTGGATCATAACCTCTACTTTACATTGTCTCAGGACAACCTTTAGTTCCACTTGAGCCCTCCTGCATAGCAGGCACAACACAAGAGATGCAGAGGTGAACGAAAGGTCCCTGCCTTTGTGGAGCTTATAGGAAAGACATCTAAGGAAGTTTAAAACAACAAACTATGATGAGTTATGATGGGGAAGTGCTGCATTCTATAAGACAGCACATGGAAGGGAGAGCTAATGGAAGCTCAGGGTAACAAGTGACATCAAGCTTTGCACAGAAGGGTGATTAGGTGTTGGCCAGGTAGAGGAGGAGAAGACAGGAAAATGTTGTACGCAGAAATCCAGCATAACCTTAGCCTGGAGGTCAATGATCATGGCCTGGTGGAAGAATGGAAACAAACTGAGCTTGTTGTAGTGTGAACTGTGAGAACAGAGGAGAGCAAAGGGTGGCAGGTACTCTAGCTTAAACAAAGCTCTTAGGAAAGACAAATCTTAGTCATTTATTAAAAATAATGAAATTCCCATAAGAGACACTCTACAAGATACCATCCTGCCACTCTTCAAAAGGATCCAAGAGTGCAAAAAACAAAGACAGAAACTATTACAAACTAGAGGAGACTAGAAAGTATGATAAGTAATTGCAATGTAGCATCCTGAAACAAACAAAAAGGACAGCGTAGAAAAACTGGGGGAACTTGAATATGGTCTGTACTTAATTTCCTGCATTTGGTAAACATGCTGTAGTTATGGAAGATGTTAACATTAGAGAAAGCTAATCAGATGTACATTTTCACCCTTGCAACAACCATCATAGTAAAAACTGACTCAAGACAGAATAATTAGGGCTGGAGGAGTGGCTCAAACAGTAGAGTACCTGACTAGAGTCAGCATGAGGCCTAGTTCAAACCCTAGTACTGCCAAAAAAAAAAAAAAAAAAAGAAATCACCAAATTCAATTGAAAAAAGATTTGAAGAAATGCCTCAAAGATGGTAGATGGGTAGCAAATAAATACATGAAAAATGATCAACATCATTAGTCATCAGGAAAATGAAAATCCCAGTCATACTGCTATCACTATATACCTTTCAGATATTAAAAGTACTGACCAAATTAGATGTTGATGACATATGGATAAACTAGGACTCTGGTGAAAAAAGTAATAGCAAGTATTAAAACCACTTTGGACAAGAGATTGTAAATCCTTAGAAGCATGTATCTACCAAAGGATCTAGTTATTCTACTCTTAGGTGTTTACCCAAGAGAAAAATAAAGCATGTATTTATACAAAGATTTGTACTCAAATGTTTACAACAGTTCCCTCACCCTACACCAGCATTTTTTTAGAAAAATGGTCATAAAACTAGAAACAATCCATGTGTCCATCAAGTGAACAGGTAAACACAATACTGTGTCTATACAATGGAATATTCTTCAGTAATATAAAAGAATAATTGTACTAGGTGTAGTGGTTCACAACAGTAACCCCAACACCTGGGAGACTGAGGCAGGAAGACTGAATTATGTAGCCTGGGCTACACCATGAGACCCTGTCTTAAAAAAAAAAAAAAAAAAGTAATTCAAAGCAAGGATGTATTTTAGTATAGCAAGATAAAGTAGGGAGAAATGGGAGAGAAGGAGGAGAAACATTTCCTGCTCCTACACAGGAAATGGGAGTAAAGACGTTTTTTTGAGACAAGATCCCACTAAATTGCCTAGCCTGAACTCAAATTTGCAATCCTCTTACCTCAGTCTCCCAAGTAGCTGAGAATATAGGCATGAGCCACCACAGTCAGCTAGGAATAAATTATTGATACACACAACAGTATGGATGAATCTCAAGATAATTATATAGCAAATAAAGCCAGAACAACAAAAACAAGTCTGTGGTGCACATTTCATTTCTACTTTATAGAAAGCAGAGGATGAGGAGAGAGACAGCAAGGAGTGCCTGTAGAGGAAGACCAAGAAACTTTGGCGGGTAATGAACATGGTGCTCATCACTGAGTGAAGCCAAAGTGGCATGACTGTCTACGTGTCAAAACTTACCAAATCACAGACCTTAAATATGTGCACTTTTTTTTTTCCTTTTTTCTTTCTTTGTTTCTTTCTTTTGATGGCACTGGGGTTTGAACTCAGGGCTTCATGCTAGCTAGGCAGGTACTCTACCGATTGAGCCACTCCAGCCCACAGTGCAGATTTTGTGTGTCAAATAATATCTCAGTAAGCCTAAATTACTTCTTCATACTATGTCCTGCAATTTTTCTGTAAGTTTTAAATCATTTACTAATAGTTTGTCAAAAAACAAAATCACTTTTGAAAGGAATCCATATACTTAAAAGAGCTTTACATTTTCATATTGTTTTAAATATGGTAATTTTATTTCTCAAAAGTACCGCCTATCTGTCTTAATCAGAGTTTTCTTAGTGTCTTCCATATGAAGTGTTGCTTTACAATGTAGGATTACTGAACCAGGTCTCCAGCCCACTAATACTTTATATAAAATTAGGGACTGTCCCTAGTCCCTAATACATAGCTGCCAGCTGGCCTAAATAGAAACTAATTCAAGCTGCATTCCTAAGAACAAGCTGAGAGATGGAAGAAGAGCATAAACACCCCTGAGAAGAAACTCCGGGGCCTGAGTTAAGATGAGTAGACAGAAAACCCAGTGTTTCAGCTGAAAAGTGGAAGAACAGGAAAACCATAACCTCTTTACATATTAAAGGGAATGGCTGGATATGGAAATACCCACCAACTTTGGTTGGTATTCTGTATTCAGAATACAGAATTCTGAGCAGTAGTCAGAATTCTGTATTCTATACTTAGAATCAATACAATTATATATTGGCTAAACTGGCTTCTACCCAAGAATCTCTAATTGCAATACATGGGGTTTTGAAATCCCAACTTCCCTTAATAGGGTAATCACACCTTTGTGGAAATACATACACAAACACACAGCTCCCATGAATGGTTCCCTATTCTACACCCAAATGAGTCACAACTTTTAAGGATTACCAGAATCATCTCAGAAGGTGGTTTGCTTATTTTCCCATTAACTTCCCTGGGTCATGGTGCCCCTGAGGTATAACATTTTAAATTGACCATATTTATATTTATTCTGAAAGATTTGTTCTGGCTGGTACTTCAATGTCTCCCCCCAAAACCTATGGATGTGCACTATTTTAAGCAGAGTAGAAGTCGCTGTCACTAAGAATTTGAAAGCAAGAGTGAACAACAGCCTATCACCCTCTAGGCTTCAGGGCATATGTGCAACTTTAACATCTGAGGTTTATTTTGAAATGGAACTAAAAATTCCAGTTGAAACCGTATTTTCCTTGAGGAACACCCCTCCCTAAATTAAATCTTCCCCTCAAATGAAACAAATATAATTTGATTAGTTAAGACCATTAAAATTCTGTGGAATATCTCAGCATTATTTGTTTGGAGATGATTACTATTCTCCATATTAATAACTGTCATTAGCTGTGCAATTCTATGTAAAGTCAGTTTTTGCCAGTTTATGACTATTTTTACATATTATTTAAAAAGGCAGCTCCATTATACTTCTAGACTTTTCTCAATGTAAATATAAACAGATTTATGCAAATATAAACAAATATACATATGACTAAATCACAAGTTGTTTTTTGACAAGCATCTGGGCTTAAGCCAATATAAAGAAACTATTTTTAATTTTTTGTACATAGAGGGTGAGGGAGGAAGGTGAAGGGAACTAATGAAAATGTAGCCTCTCTTTCCTCAGAAAATTTTCACATTCGTATATATTTTAGGTACAAGCTGCAATTTCAGGACGTCATGAGCCCTAATCCAAGTAGGCACTACAGAAATGGATCCATATTTAAAGGTGAAGATTTTTGTTCTCCATCAAAAATCTTACGTACACTGGTTATATGTTTATAATCCTCATGCACTTACGACTTCATACTTATTTCATAAGAAACTTTCTCTAACTGTATAACCTTCAATTCTAGCATATTAATGGCTTTCTATTGTGATCCTTTAGCATTAAATTAATTTTTAAATTAATTTTCTCTAGGGAGCCCGTTTCCAGAAGCTAAGCAAGCTAAATGTCCTGACCATTACACCTAAAGCACATACAAAGATACTAAAAGGTGGAGGAAAGCAGGCCAGCCAAGAAACCGAGAGACAAGGAATGATGTATGAGTTCCCTGGATTTTCTTCTGCGGACCTGGAGTAGTGGAGCAACCTGGAAAGACCAATGGGTACAGACAAAATGGGTCTACCCCAGTCCATCCCCCAAATGCTCTTTTAGCTAAGGACCAAGAAAAAACAGTCTAGCAAGGCAGAAAACTGTTAAACAATTAACTACTCAGAAAACACTGTGGTCCAAGCCCCTCAGCAAAGGATGAGTGAAGAGCCTAGACTTCCACTCTTGCCATACTGTAGCGAGGCACCCCAGAATCCTAATGGGGTGCTGTCAATGGAAGTAGCTGTCACAAGGTCCCCTTGCTCCTCCTAGCCAAGGCGTATAATAGAGGCCCATGAGGAAGTGTGCACTCCCAGAACTCCCACCCTACCCTGCACTTCAAGTGGCAAAGGAGCCTGAGTGGCAACTCTGGACCAGCCCTTCATCCAGCAGTACCAAGTCAGTGTACCCATTTCCCTTAGCAGAGCATATCAGAGGCCTGCTAAAATAGTAGATTTAAATATGATGTAAAGACTCATAATATACAGAATATACAGGTTTCAACTGAAAATGACTCACAAAAGAGAAAAAAATGGCTCATCATGTCAAAGAAGCAGAAAAATTTAAACTTGAATGAGAAAAAAACAATAGACACGAATAGCAAAATGACACAAATGTTTAGAATTATCTGACAAACATTTTGAAGCAACCATAAAAATGCTTCAATGAATAATTACAAGCAAGTTTGAAGCAAGTGAAAATATAGCAAAATATAACTTGAAGTGAAAAAGATTTTCTGTAACAAACATTTTAACAAATGGTATTTCTTCTAACAAACTGACGATCTCTGCCACCTTGAGATTCAGGGTTACATTTCACAGACAGTAAGCTAATGAAAAGAAGAATATTAAAAAGTAGAATTTGAGAAAAGAAAAGATTAAAGTTTCTTGCCAAACTAGTAAGAAAATAATTTTTTTTGATGAGATTCAGAACATGTATGGTTTATACCAAAACTAGCAATTTTTTTTTTTTTTTCTTTTTAGGAGGCACTAGGGTTTGAACTCAGGGCCTCCAACTTGCTAGGCAGGTGATCTACCACTTGAGCTACTCTGTCAGCTAGTCAGTATTCTTGATCCCTAGTGTCAATATACTTAATAGTCTCCATCTTTAACAAAGGATTGTGACTAAGCCAGTAAGATCAATACTTTATTTTATAACATAATTTTGTCAATAGGACTTTTTCCAGATTTCTTATTAAAAATGACATTATAGGACTGAGGGTGTAACTTAAATGGTAGAGTGTCTACCTAGCAAGGCAAAGGGTTGAGTTCAAACCCTGGTACTGCCAAAAAAAATAAATAAATAAAAATAGAAATGCCATTATAACTAGTGATTCAATTTCATTTTAACTAAGTCTGAGTTAAAGTGTTTAGCAATAATAATTTTATCCTACCCTGGCTCTACAGGAGTTTGATGAGTGTATAAGAACTACCACCCCACATTTCTTATGTGTTCCTTACTGTGCTAAGCACCAAGTCAGAAATAGCTGGCATTATTGCCATTTCAGGTAGAAAAACTGAGGTTCAGAGATATTCAATAATCTGTCCTAGAAGTCACAGGAAAGTAACAGAGCTGAAACTCAACCTCACTCTATTTCCAAACACCATGCATGCTGTTATGTTTCATTAATTTTGGACTTCAGTTTGCTCTTATAAAATTCATAAAATGAGAATAACAACTGTACAAGGCACATCAAAATGCCCTACCAGATCCTTTCAGCTAATGTCTTCCCTACCCTCAGAACCCCAAAGTCCTCTAGAGAATTTTCATCCCTTCTGGTTTGTAGTATTAGATGCATGTTTTCTCCTTAACTAAAATTTCCAAGTCCACTTCTGATTCACCCTAGTGGCCTTCACTGCCTTCAAAAAACAAGATGCTTAGTTGTTGAATAAGGTAAGGAATAGGATTTGAAATATACATAGACATATTTTTCTGTGTGTATATATGTATATATGCATATATATACGTGTGTGTATATATATATATGTATATATACACACACGTATATATAGCAAAAATTACATGAAGAAAATGGTGGGGGGGGGCTTAAATTAAGAAACCATGTAGGCTATAGGAGAAGATATAGGCCTCATTACAAAACACAAATTAAGAGGGTGATTATTTTACATAAGGCTCTTTTCCAGAAATGAACATTTTTAGAGTTCCTATAATACCTCCTATTTGAAAAGCACTTAAATGTATCAGTACTTACATATGCACAAATTGAATATTTTGAATATTAAAGATTTCCATGTGCCTAGAATTCTGCCATTAAACTAAAAAGAAGATATGTATTTTTAAAGAATTTTAGGCACCCAGAATATAAGCTCCTGAGAACAGGAATCTTGACCATTTTGCTCACTGACTATATCTCTAAGCCCCAGCACAGTGCCTAGTAAGTCTTGTCTATCCAGTAGACAGTCAAACACTAACTCCATAGGAGGATTTAGTACAAGATTCAAATCAAGTCAGAATTTTCCAATCCTAGAGTTGGCTCTTTGGTTTATGGAGATTGGATTCTCTCATACTCCTCCCATTAGGTACTCTATTTCAGTGAGTAGATACAAATCACCAATGATAAAAGCCACAGCCTAAAAATTATAAGGTTTTACAAATGTTTAAATTCTATGTTACATGCAGGTCAGTCAAAAGTATTATTTCAATGTTAATTTCCTGGTTTTGATAATTGTGCTGTGACTCTGTAAGATAACCACATCCAAGATTCTGTTAGTTTAACAGCAGGGTGATGAGTATGTGGAAACTATTAATTTTGCAACCTTCTTGTAAGTATATAATTATTTCAAAATTAATTTAAAATTTAAATTAGAAAATGTTTAAATTCAAAATACTTACTGCACCAAGTGACGGTCCATATCTTCCTGTGGCAACTTTACACACATAACTGACAAAATTGGAAATAACACCTGAGAAATAAGTAATATTTCAACAATTTAAATTAAGTTATAAAAAATGTTTTGGTGGTGCTGGGGATCAACTCAGGTTCTCATGTTTGCCAGGCAAATGCTCTACCACTGAAGTTACCCCTTCAGCCACTGGTTTCCATTTTTTATCTCTATTCCACAGTTTAATAGTATCTGGTTTTTTTGGGGGGGGGCGCGGGGACTGTCTTGGTGGGGTTTTCTTTTTTGTGGTACTAGGGTTTGAACTCAGGGCCTTGTGCTTACTAGGCAGGTACTCTAGCACTTGAGCCATGCTCCGCACCCTACCCCACCCCGCCGCCGCCCTGGCTTTGGTTTTTTTGTTCTTGTTTTGTTTTTGTTTTTTTGTTTCTAGACAGGGTCTCACTTTGTAGCCCAGACTGATCTGGAACTGGCAATCCTACTGCTTCAGCCTCCAAAGTGCTAGAATTACAGACATGCACCACTACAGCTGTTAACAGTGTCAAGTTTCTACCTGGATCACTCTAAGGGTGCCGGTATGAATACTACCCTGCCTATCACTTCAGCTAGTTTATAGGGAAGGAAATAAATGGACTACCACATGACTTGCTGAGAGATATAGGCTCATTCACATAACCAGTCATCATTTTCCTCACCTATAACATCAAGGATGCAAGTTCCCAAATTCACTAGTTATCTCAGAATCTTCTGGGTTATACGCAGACATGCTAAAACAGAATCTCTGGGGTAGGACGTTAGGTGAGCCATTAGATCCCTTTGGTTTCAATGTCATTTGAGCTCAATATGACTCATTTAAAAAAAAAACTTCCTGAGGGGACTGGAGACATAGCTCAACAGGCAGAATGCCTGTGTGGCAAACATGAAGCCCTGTGTTCAAATTCTAGTACCACTACAAAAACGAACAAAAAACTTCCTACGAGACAGGAACTAATGGTATCTAAAACATATCCTTTGTACCAACAGCAACACAACTACTCCTTGGGTAAAACTATACCTTCAAGGCCAAAAAGATTGCTCAGCTTCTGTTTTTTTGGCAGTACTGGGGTTTGAACGTATTGCTTTGCACTTGCTAGGCAGATACTCTTTTGCTTAAGTCACAACTCCAGCCTCAGCTTCTGTTTTTGAGGGACTAGATATATATACATGAGCATTTTTTTCTTCTTTTTCTCCTTTTATTTTATCATTTTTTGCATTTACTTACATGTGTATGTATTGTTTGTGTCACATGAGCATTTTTAACTAACACTAATTGAACACTTACTCTGGGCCTTTTGGTAGATACTTTTATTTGATCGTTTGTATAAATCCTTGTCACAAAAAGCTAACTGTCATTATCTCCAGAAAGGTCATTTCTGCAACATCACACAATAGCTGGTAGCAGAACAGGCTCTGATCCCATTTCTATCTTAAAGCTCAGTACTTTTTCAATATAGCACACAGCCAAATGCATGGTTTTAAAATGTAGGGACTTTAGAAATGAATTCCTTATACTCTACTGTTTTATTTAAGTAAAATCTGCAAACATATAAATCTATCAGTTACTATAAGTAAAAACGTGGCCAACTATTCTCTTAGTAGCAGCAGCAACCTGCACTAGTACACTACCTTTCCCATTGAAATAGGGAACTGATGCCATCTCCAGGACCACAACTTAGGAAGTGGTTCCATGCCAACATGTATTCTTGCAAAAAAGAACATACTTACTGCTCTTGACAATCACACTGGATTGCTCTGATCTAAAGCTTTCTGCAAACTAAACACACTGGGGGAAATGAGGTTGTGTATAGTTATTTAACACAAACCCAGATAACTGAGATAGCTAGGAAGTCTTATAACCTAATCTATAAAATGGTGGGCCTAAACTAAAGAAATCAAGGCCCACTAAGATAAAAATGACACACTTAAGTTCTATTCTACCCCTTAACTCCTGTTTAACTCATTTAAAACCACAGCAGACCCAAATAATTCACAGAAATCTACAAAATGAGAAGCAGGAAAGGCACCAGAGCTATCAATCTGTGGTGTCCTTCTCTACATACAACTTGAGAAACAAGTATGTTCTCAGCACTTACTGTGTAGCGAATACGGCTATAATCAGTTCCTTTATCCCTTCTGTGGATAGATTAGAGTATTTATAATCTAAAAGATCCTGAGATTAAAGCTTATTACCTGCAGACAAGTACACTGCCATGAACTGCTCTTGACCAAGAATGTTCACTATGCTGGAGGAAAAGCTCCACAAAACATACATATTTGCTGCCATGTGAAACAAGGAGAAATGACTGAATGTTGACAGTAACATTGGAGAACAAAGGACCTCTACAAGAGAAAGAAAAACACAGTCTAGTAATTGTGAAACACAAAGCCAGTAAAAATGATCTATTTCAGACTTTTCTTTTGTTATTACACCAAATACAGGAATCTAAAACAGAGCCAGTTCAAGCTTAAATAAGATGATTTAAGATAGCATGTTTCAAAGTGGTAAAAAGCAATTTTAATAAATCTGTTTCTATTTAGTAAGCAACTAGTGAAAATGCTCAGTTAAATGAAAACAACTTGTCCTTACAACAAAAGCTAGAAATAGAACGAGTATGTTATTTCAATTACAGATATAAAGCTGCATACAATAGTCTCAAAGAATAAGCCTGTAGATTACAGATCTTAATTCACTAAAATATATTTAGGTATCTACTATGTGTAAGCCACTTTTTAGGTTCTTGGGATACAACAGTAAGACAGATGAAGTCCCTTCATCAAGGAGCTTAGAGTCTATTCTCCAGACTTCGCTTATAATTGTTGATAAGCAACTCATTTTCTACAGCATTTCAATTAACCTAAGGCAAATTTCTTTCATATTATCTGTAGCTAAAATCACACAAGTTAGACTTACTTGAGGCTGGATAAGCAACTCATTTTCTATAGCATTTCAATTAACCTAAGGCATATTTCTTTCATATTATCTCTAGCTAAAATCACACAAGTTAGACTTACTTGAGGCTGGATTAGATGTGAAATATCTGATCATTGTCCGCTGTAGAGAAGGTACTCTCCATAAACAGAATACAAGAACATTTGCAGCTATGATGCCTACAAAATAAATATAATTTAGGGAGGTTAAAAATAAGAAGCAAGAAATGTGATCAAAAGTCCACCTGAATAAGATTTTCTACAACTATATATGTACTATATATTTGGGGAGGGGATAGTGAGTTAAGGAAAGAAAATTAAATTAATGCCTTTAAAGTATCAAAACTGGCACAGGTTGGTAAAGTCAGAATTCTGAGAAAGTTGCAAATGCTCTAGGAGCTTACATCCTTCACCTGATCCATATTTTACTTCCGAACAATTTACTCTTCTTAATAAATAATCACATCCGTAATTATATAATGGCCAACTCAGAGATGTAATATTCTTCCACCAAAAGTAGAAAAACTAACATCAAACCTTTTTCTGCAGAGAAGGTATGCTTCTTAAACTTATCAATAGTTTATGGAAACAGCTATGGATCAGATGATCCACAGATAAAAGTGAAGGTGGGTCACCATATTTGAGAAAGTACTTACTTGATAAGAATTCAGGGGTAATCTAGAAGAATTTCTTTTTTTCTTTTTGGCAGTACTGGGGCTTGAACTCAGGGTCTACACCTTTGCCACTCCACCAGGTCTTTTTTTTTGTGATTTTTTTTTCGAGAACTATTTGCCTGGGCTGGCTTCAAACTGGCATCCTCCTAATCTCTGCCTCCTGAATAGCTAGGATTACAGGCACGAGTCACCAAAGCCTGGCTAGAAGAATTTTCTACTTCTCTTAAAATATGTTCACATGTGGGAACTGGGTGGCTGATTTTTCTTCAAGCTCCTGTGTTGTAAGAATTACCACTAACTAAATTGAGTAGGTTTGTTTAATATAGAATTAAGGTTATTTTTGAAAACTATGAACTTTTAAAAATACATTAATTTTTTGAATTGCCACACTTACACATAAAAGGGGCACTCATCTACTTATTCAATTAAGGGAATTTAAACATTTATTCATTGCTCCAGTCTCCTTTAGGTAACAGGTAAATAGTGCTTTCAAATTCTTCAGTGACACTAAGAACTGATTCCAGCAACATTCTGCTAAGACGATTTTGTTTAGACGTTATACTTTGTAAAGTAACTCTTTGGAGTTATCTTTGGTGTCCAGTACCTTTGTGTCCACATTTGCTCATTCAGTGGGGTTCTCAGCTATCCTCTAGCATCCTTAGTCTACTCAGGTTTTGTTCTCCAGCTTGAGAGTTAGGCAGGAAAGGAGGCTGTCATTTTTCACAGACCCTAAGACATTTGTTTCCCAGTTCAATATCTGAAATCAGGATGTATCTTATAACCCATGGTCTGTTATAGTTTACTTGGGAGCATCTTTTCCTTTCTTCAATGTACACTAAATAAAATTTACATTAGCAAGTTTTCATCCAAACACAAGAAGCCTTTCTGGCAATTTATAACAAAGTATTGACATTGGAACAGATTGTAGTAAAAAAAAAAAAAATCACTCATTTAATTTTAGTGATGTGTTCACTAAACTTCATTAAGCATCCCTCCAGTAAATAACTGAATATACACACACAATATATGAACATGTACTTGCAAATATGAACCACTGTAATTCACTGTAAAATATACAGATTGATTTAAAAAAATAAAGAAAATGCAGGTGTTTTTCTTGAAAATTCCATTTTGGAGGCCAATTATAAATGAGAAAACTGAGGCTCTAATATGTGCAAGTTGTTAGGAAAGTTCAATGTCCAAGTCAGAATTCCTGATCTAATATACACTTAGATGTAGGTCATACCAAGAGATTTATCTGACCCTGGCCACTCTAGGGCTTCACACACCAGACAAAGGGCTCTCCAGCATGAAATGCATAGGCTGGTCCCCAGAATCCGGTGAGCAGGAGAGGGTGTGTGATATCCAGGGCCTCTTGAGGCAGCAGTGAATGTTGACTGAAAGTATAGGAGAAGGAGTCCAGCAGAACTGACTCTGTCCTACTTATACTGTATCTTGGACAAGAGACTTAACCTCTTAGCCTCTTTCCTCTTCTGAAAAGCAAGGACAGTAAAATCTACCTAAAGGGGTGAGCGATGATGAAATGAGAAAGCATGATTAAATGCAGGAGTGACATAGTGACCACTCAATAAATGGAAAATACAGTGGAAAGAGAACAGCCTTTGTCGGCTTGAATCCTAGGTGTGCCACTTGTGACTCGGTGACAAGCAGTATTTCATTACCTGCACCACTTCGGTTCCTTTGTCAAGTGAGGATAGGTACCTCCCACCCCATAAAGGCTGTGGCAAGGCTTAAGACAGTGAACAGAGGTGATGGTATGCAGATGCTCAGCAATGGTTTCTTCACCATTCCTTTTCCTGTGAGAAATGGGACAGCTTAAGGTCTCTGCCTCTATCTCCACTTAGAAAAGGTGTTACCTGCTTCCTCCTAGTTTGGTTGTTGTTGGTTTTTTGTTTTGTTTTGTTTTTTGGTAGGACTGGAGCTTGAACTCAGGGATCACACTTCCTTCCTCCTGACTCAGTAACTTCTTGGACAAGCTTGGCACTAACTAATTAGGGAGGGTTGCTGTCCTAGTGTCTCCTAAACCAAGGATAATACTCTGGATTATGTCACTGAAAATACAAAGTAAGGATCTCTGGAAATTCTCTTCTACATAAAAGCAATGAAAAATTGTGGCAAAAACTGACAGGCTCAATCTTTTCAGAACGCTGGAAAACTGCAGAAAAACTAGGAAGCATTTAATTAAGAAAAGTGACTAAATCACATTATAGCTAGCTTTGTAGCATTTTAACCTGCCCTAGTCCCAGAACAAAATGTCTTCACTGGTATTTTAGTTTCCTAGGGCTGCTGTAACAAATTACCACAACTTGGTGATTTAAAACAACAGAAATTTATTCTCTTACAGTTTTGGAAGCTGGAAGTTTGAAATCAAGGTATCAAAGTGTTAGCAGAGTCATTCTTCCTTCAGAACATCCCAAGGAAGAATCTTTTCCTTCTTTCTGGCTAGTGGTGCTTGGCTTGTAGCTGTATCACTCCAATCTCTACTTCTATCTCCTCACACAGTCCTTTCTGTGTCACTGTACTCTTTTTGGGGGGTGGGACTTGGGATTAAACTTAGGGCTTCATGCTTACAAAGCAGGTACTCTACTGCTTGAGCCACACCTCCTGCCAATTCTGCAACGATTATTTTGAAGATGGGGTCTCATGACCTATTTGCCCAGGCTGGACTTGAATCGCAATCCTCTCAATTTCAGCCTTCCAAGTAGCCAGGATTAGAGGCGTGAGCCAAGCTCCTCTCCTCTTTTTATGAAAACATAAATCATTGGTTTTAGGACCCTACATATATTATAATGTAGTATGACCTCACTGTAACTAATTAATTAAAGGCCCTATTTCAATTAAGATAACCTTCTATGGTTCTGGAAGGATGTAAATTTTGGGGGAACACTAGTCATTACAACTACAAAAGAGAATTAGCATAATTTGTCTCAAAATCTCCTTAAGAAAACAGAAAGAGGAAGGAACATCTTCCAATGTACTCTATGCAGTCAGCATTACACCTTGATATCAAGACAACACAAACATCACAAGAAAACTATCAACACTGCTTTATGAACATAGATACCAAAATCCTAAAGAAAACATTAGCAAAACAAAACCATCAGCATATAAAAAAGACCAAACAGAATTTATCACAGGAATGGAAGGTTGGTTCAACATATGAAAATCAATGCAGTACTTCATTTTAATAAAGTTGAAGGACTGACTTGTGTTTCAAAACTTACAACATAAACTAGTGTGGTACTGGCGTAAGGACAGACAGACATTTAAAACAATGAAAGAGAATTGAGAGTCCAGAAATACAATCAATCATTGTATTAGTGGTCTTTCACTAATGTTCCAAGACAATTGAATGGGGAAAGAATAGTTTTCCAATAACAAACGGTGTTAGGACAAGTAGATATTCACAAGAATGAGTCTGAACCTCTACCTCATACCAAACACAAATGTAACTTAAACTGAATCAAAGGCCTAAATTTAAGAGTGAAAACTGTAAAGCTCTTAGAAGAAAACATAGGCATAAATCTTTCTGACCTTGAATTAGGCCAGTTTCCTTGAACCTGGAACCAATCCTTCATGGATATTAAGGAATGATTAAACTGATGCATACTGCAACATGGATATCCCATATCCTAAGTGAAAGCAGTAGACACAAAAGTTTACATATATTATGTGATTCTATTTATGTGAAATAAAAAAGGCAAATCCACAGAGAAAGAAAGTAGCTTAGTTGTTACCTAGGACTACTAAGAGGAATGGGAAGTAACAGAAAATGGGCATGAGGTTTCTTTTAGGGATAATGAAAATAGTTTGGGATTAGACAAGTGCATGACTTTGTTGAGTATTAAAAACCACTGCATTATATACTTTTGGGGGTACTAGGGTTTGAATGTGGGCCTCGTGCTCACTAGGCAGCTGTTCTACTACATGAGCCAGGTCTGCAGCCTGAATTGTATACTTCTAAATGGTGAATTACAGAGATGTGAATTATATCTCATTTTTTAAGAAGTGATACTTGGTTCAGTGATATCTAGCCTATCTTCTTCAAGCCCATGGATGGCAATACAACCTCTTTTTCACTATCCCACTTGGAATTCAATAGTTAAGGATAGGATCCCCTCTGTTTTAGGGTGAGCCATTTCCCCCTCCCAGCTTCTCTATCTAAAAGGGCTGAATATTGGCCTAGACCTGGCCAATCCAGACAGTGACAAGTGCTAACAGCCAAAGAACTGAACCCGAGCTGTCCCTACCTAAGGTTCGGGGGAACCAGGGAAGTTTAAGAATGAATCTATTGGCCTTACTTAGTGGCTACAAGCTCTCTTTCTAGGTAGCATCACATAGTTAGTTAAGGTGTGGGTGCACAGCTACATGCAATCAGGAGGAAACTCAGAAAGACTATCCACTTCCATTCTCTCACTGGGATGGAGACAAAGTTCAAAACATACATGGGAAAACAGAAACTAACATGGGACAAATTCACAATAA